AGACCCAGGTTTCCTTGTTCTATTGTCAGCACCACCTCATCCATCACCACAGCCCTAAAGTCCAGTTCCTCCTCACAACATATGGCCTTCAATGCTTGTAAGATCTCTTTTTGGGGATAGTCTTCCCTGATGCAGCGATCTGTCAAAAACCACAAGTTGGCAGCCACAGAGCTACACATCTTGATTTGTTTGTTCTTCTTTCACGTGGATTGTTTCCTCTTAAATGTAAAGTCTATCAGTTTATTGTAGAAGATATTATGAAGGACAGATGAAGAGAGATAGCTGGCGAGGTCTGGATGGGTCCTGGGCACAGGAGTTTCTTTCAGTGCCTTTGGAGTTGGGACGTTGGGATTTGCAACTCTCCTGCACGCGGATTTGGCTCACTAACCCGGATGCTCCTGAAATCATTTTAATAATGGGGTTCATATTCCCACTGACAATTTTAAAAAATAACATCAGTATCTGTTTATTGACTTTTACACTACTTAGGGCCTGTGGTAGATAGAGGTTGTGATTCAGCTGCAGGAAGAAATTTCCCTTTAGAAGAAACTCAAGACAGTCCAGATGGGCTACCTTGATTCCAATATCATAATGGATACATTTCCTTGGACCTAGAGACATAGGGTTACAACTGAAAACTCTTGTTTCTTAACTTGGTCCTATAGGAGGACATTCTATATGAAACATGTGGTGACGAATATGTTTTCTCTGTTTTCAGTGTTATTGTTCTTCTTAGATACACAAATATAAATTACAGGGAAGAGTTGTGTTTGTCTCTGATGTTTCATACCATGAAATCACAGTATGTTATTTTTAACTCTTTTTTACTCTCACATTTTAATAGCTCTATTGACACAATTCACATGTTATACAATTCACCAATTTAAAGAATACAACTGAACAGTTTTCAGTATGTTCAGAGTCATGCAACTATCACCACAGCAATTTTAAACATTTTCCGGCCAGGCGCGGTGGCTCACGCCTGTAATCCTAGCTCTGGGAGGCCGAGGCAGGCGGATTGCTCGAGGTCAGGAGTTCAAAACCAGCCTGAGCAAGAGCGAGACCCCGTCTCTACTATAAATAGAAATAAATTAATTGGCCAACTGATATATATATATAAAAATTAGCCGGGCATGGTGGCGCATGCCTGTAGTCCCAGCTACTCGGGAGGCTGAGGCAGAAGGATCGCTCGAGCCCAGGAGTTTGAGGTTGCTGTGAGCTAGGCTGACGCCACGGCACTCACTCTAGCCTGGACAACAAAGCGAGACTCTGTCTCAAAAAAAAAACAAACATTTTCCTTTTCACTCCCAAAAGAAACCCTGTACCCATTAGCAGTCATTGCCATTACTTTCCAAACTCTCCTCATGCCTCAGTCCTAGGCAACCACTAATCTACTTTCTGTCTGTATGTGTTATTATGCAGAACACCAAAATCCTCGGTTCATTCTTTTCTTTTTAAAAGTTTTTTTAGAGATGGGGGTCTCACTATATCACCCAGATTGGTCTTGAACTCCTGGCCTCAAGAGATCCTCCCACTACAACCTTCCTAGTAGCTGGGACTACAGGCATGAGCCACTGAGCCTGGCCTTGGTTCTTTCTATATCGGAACGTATTATGAACTGAATATTTGTTCCTCCCTAAATTCATATGTTGAATCCCTCATCTCCAATGTGATTATATTTGGAGATAGGGCCTTTATCTATAAAGGTGAATCAAGGTGAAAAATGAGGTCATAAGGGTGGGGCTCTGATATGAGAGGAGACATGAGACAGCTGGCTTGATCTCTCTCTCTGACTCCCTTTCTCTCTCTCTGTTTGCCATATGAGGGCATAGTAAGAAAGTACAGTCTATAACCCACGAAGAGGTCCCTCACCAGGAATTGAATCAGCTGACACTTTGGTCTGGGACTTCTAGACTCCAGATTGTGAGAAAATAAATTTCTGTTGTTTAAGCCTGTGGTCCCCCAACTCTTGGGCTACAGCCCAGTGCTGCTCCCCAGCCCCAGCCCTGCCTTCCCTTTCCTGCCTCTTCCCCTCCCTCTACCTTCCTCCACTGCACCCCTGCTCCAAGTCCTTGGAAAAACTGTCTTCCATGAAACTATTCCCTGGTGGCAAAAAGGTTGGGGACTGCTGGTTTAAGCTACCCAGTCTGTGGTATTTTGTTATGGCAGCCTGAGCAGACTAATACAGCACAACAGGTAAAAATAATAATCTGAAAATAACTTACAGTGTCCAAGGCTACTGGGATCTTCACAGTACATCCTCCCTCCCAATGAGCAAATGTCTTAGAGTCATACCAGACCTAAAAAGTAACAGACTCCAGTGAAAAAGAGTACATATGAGCCAACTCTGTTCATAATTTTGTTATTCAATAAAACATCCCCTTATGTGAATGTCAAATAATTGGAAAGCTAAAATAAATATAACTTCTAAAAAATTGGGTAGAAGTTAGGAAGAACATATGCTTTTAAGAAGATCCCTAAAGACTATGGTTGGTTAATTTAACTAAAATGCCATTCGTTTATCCACCTATCCATCCAAAAGTTATTTATTGAGCAATTTACCATGTGCCCAGCACTGTGCTAGGTACTGGGTATATATGAGTGAACAGAAAGGACATAGTTTCTGCCCTCATAGATCTTACAGTCCACTCGGCTTATAAAAACTTAATGCTTCTAGTAGTAAAGGCGATGATGGAAATGAGAAAAATACAACAAAGAAGAAAAGTACAACATAGGCAAATAAACTACAAAAGAGGCAGGAGAAAAAGAAAGCATCAGAGAAGGAAACAGATCTGGGAGGAAAACAAATGGACTCTGGGTTTGCTACTATAGTATGATTTTTTTTTACAAAGTACAATTCAGGGATAAGGTACTTATCTGGGATCTCTGTTGTTGAGTTGTCAAAGTACCAAAAAGGTCCCACAAACTAATTTGATGGGATAAACCCTTAAGAAATCATCAGAAGCAGCATGAAAACAAAAACCTCTTTTTCTCTCTTCTAGCCTAATATACTTTCTGGCAGCCACACAGTCAATTTTTCAGGTTCACCTCCTAGGGTTGCCACATGCTTTATATAGCAGGTTTGCAAAGTTATAGCAAGAGAACCAATCATAGATCACTCTGGGAAATAGTGTTTTTTAATTTAATTTTTTTTTTTTTTTTTTGGCTCATTCTCAGGCATGGGAAATAGTGTTGAAGGAATGTAATACATAGTCACAACAATATGCTTACAATGATAATAGATCATGAGTAAAAATTCATGGCTAAGTTGGAAAGGAGCCAGTTCCTCTTAATGCAGCCTACTGTTTTGTTGGAATCAACTTGAGAAACTCTCAACAGAAATGTTCTACAGGACCACTTATTTAGCTGTTGTTGAATTTAACATTTTTCTCTGGTTTTTACTTGGTAGGGGAACCTTAGTAAAGAGCCTACAACTTCAGAACTCCAAATTACTAGAGAAACCAAGAGGAAAGACCATCAATCATGAACGTTTGGAGAAAAGCCTGGTTATTATTGGGCAGATGGGGTGGGGTGGGTATATACACACATAATGAGTGTGATGTGCACTGACTGGGGGATGGACATGCTTGAAGCTCTGACTTGGGCAGGGGGTGGGAGCAAGAACAAGATACATAACCTAAACAATTGTACCACCATAATACGCTGAAATAAAAAAAAAGAAAATAAAAAGAAAAAAGATAATGACAAGAGACTGGAGTGATGTGGCTACAATACAAGGGATGCCAAGGACTGCCAGCAGCCACCAGAAACTGGCAGAGAGAATGGAACAGATTCTCCCTATAGCCTCCAGAAGGAACCAACCCTTCTAACACTTTAATTTTGGACTTCAAGCCTCCAGAACTGTGAGAGAATAAATTTTTGTTGTTTCAAGCCACCAGGTTTGTGAGGATTTATTAAAGCAGTCTCAGGAAACTCAGTAACAGAACCAGCAAACATGTGAAGCCAGGTTGAGGGTGAGCACTGGTGCTGGATCTGGCCATCTCAATGCTTGACAGGTACTCTGAGCAGCGGGAGTGGCCTGGCTCAGCTATCTCACCACTTGCCTTGACAGGCCAGTACTCCCTGACATGGCAGTCTAACACCAGCTCAGTACTGTCCTTGGCTCTTCCCCCTGGCTGCTGAAGCCTGTGGTGGTGATGCTCTAGTGCTCAAGGACTCTCTCTAGGGTCTGTTTCCTTCCTGCTCTCCATCCCATACTCTCCTTCCCTAGGCAGGTGCCCCGAATTTCTGCTCTGGCTCTTATCCTGGCTCCTTTGGATACATCTGCGTCTGTTTCTGGAGGCTGTTGCTCTTAGTAGCCATAGCTCTCCCCTGTGTCCTGCCTGGGTTTAGTGCCCTGAGCTCTAGCAGGTCCAGGATGATATAGTTATGGTAATTAATGACAATAACTAATAAAATAGCAGAGGAAGCCACCGGGGCATAGAGGGAAGTCATTGTTGTTACTTTTTACCCAATTTGATGAGCATCTTGAGATCAACTTTTGTAACAAAAACTCAGGATGCAGACAGAGCCAGAACCAAAGAGCAAAGTCTTTTTATACTTATGTTTCCCCACCAAATTTGATACCTAATAGTAGACTGAGTATTTCTTCCTATCCCAAGCCTCAGTGTTTGTAAGGAGTCACTTTTACAAGTCAAAGTGTCAAGATAAAAAACCATTCCAATCTTCCGTGGAGTCGTGGAGTTGTCACCTATTCATCTTTTACCCTGCCTCCTTCATTAAGTTTCTTGGCCTCTGAGGACAGTGGTCATGACTTATAAGAATCATCAGTTGCTACAGTCATTTGGGCTGTGTTCTCGACTGCATTATGAAGAAATCTGTTTCCTAAAAGAAATGAAGGGATTAGGGATATGGGATATATAAGATATGTGGTTGTCATTACTCTTACCTCATTTGATCCTGGCAGAAACACATCAACCATGGTGACTTTTGGTTCTGTTACTGGATGAACCAATAAAGCACTTCCTAAAAAATGGAGAAGAAATAAAGTTGAGTATCATCACAGGAGGTCTGAAAACCTCCTTTCCCTTTAATTGAATGCTAGTTATTATAGTTTTAAAAACCACCTGATAATGAACTTTGGCAAGGCAGAAGCTGTGGTAATTTGAACGAATGATTCATCAGAGAACTGCATTGTTAGAAAGAGGACAGGTGCTCAAAGAGGTGACTGTATTATCATCTGTCATTAATCTATTTATGCATAGTGAGATTATAGGAAGGGACCCTGACACAGTCTATTAGTCTCATTTTGTGCATAATTGCTAGTGTGCCGGTAGCACAAAGCACCTCTCCAAGTACTTCGTTGTTTGCTGTGAGTGACGTTGATGATGGTGAGCCCATAACTATTATCCAAAAGTTTGATCAGTATGGATACTCAGATCCTCTTGTTTGGGAAGTTTTCATCAGGAAGGCTGTAGTTTTCTTAGAAGCAATCTGGATTATTAATTTTGCTTTGACCTTGGTACCACACATATGTAAAATCCATCCATTTATAAATTTGTTCTTTTATTCAGTAAATATTTATTTATTGAGTATCTCCTGAATGCCAGGCACTGTGCTAGGCTCTGGAGATATAGTGGCCAAAACAACAAGCATGGTCTCTGCCTCCATGGAGTTTAATGGCAGTGATGACAAATATGAAAAAATAATTACAAATTAGAGTTAAGACACATGCCAAAAGAGGCAAAAGTATAAAATGGAATGAAAGTTACATAATAGGAGGGCCTGGCTTTGACTATGGGCAGTAGAATTAGGTATAAGAGAACACGTAGTAGTCAGGAAAGTTTCTCCAAGGCTATTAAACTATTCAACTGAAATCTAATGATGAGTGAGAAAGAGCTCAGGTTTTTTTGTGTTTTTTCCCTCCATTTTGGGGTTTCTAATGTTTAGAAATGGGATTCACCTTTTGGGAAACTCTATGTTTAGCCTGGCTTCTGGAGCCCTGTTCCTAAGATGACAAACTTTCATGTTCTGCATTTGATAGTTAATCCTTGTTAAAGAAGAGGTCAACCAAAGAAAAAAACTGTTATTGCATATGAAATAAGCTCTTCTGGTTCTGTACTGTAACCATGTGGTCTACTTTCTTCTACTTCCCTTCCCTGTAGTGGTCTCACAAGACTTAGAGGAGTGGACTTAGAACAAGAATCCCAAATGACATCCATGAATAGATTTATTTGAGGTTAACAGGAACAATACTATGAGAAATGCTACACAACAACAGAATAGAGCTATGATCCCACCAATGCATTAGAAATCTTGGTGAAGGAATTTCTTTTATTTTTATTTTTTGGCTTTCTTGGGATTAGGAATTTTTAAAGTGCTCTTATACTAGAAAACATAACAAAAACATAATTACAGTGTTTATCATAACTATAATTAATCAAGAAATTTGGCCGGGCGCTGTGGCTCACGCCTGTAATCCTAGCTCTTGGGAGGCCGAGGCGGGCGGATTGCTCAAGGTCAGGAGTTCAAAACCAGCCTGAGCAAGAGCGAGACCCCATATAAAATAGAAAGAAATTAATTGGCCAACTGATATATATATATAAAAAATTAGCCGGGCATAGTGGCACATGCCTGTAGTCCCAGCTACTCGGGAGGCTGAGGCAGAAGGATCACTCGAGCCCAGGAGTTTGAGGTTGCTGTGAGCTAGGCTGACGCCACGGCACTCACTCTAGCCTGGACAACAAAGTGAGACTCTGTCTCAAAAAAAAAAAAAAAAAAAAAAAAGAAATTCTCACCCAGCATGTATTCATCTTCTATACCAAAAGTCTCTAATTCATCAGGGAACTCTATCCACAGAGGCCTGGGGAAAGAAAAAAAATTCTCACTTCAACATCATTCAATGTTGCAACTGAATCACTTATATTTTAGTTTTATAACTATTCAAAGGAAATTAGAGAATGCCGAAGAGCCAAGACTCTTTTTCATACGATTCAAGATTTTATGAGCAATTACTAGGATTATTTTAAATTTTTCTTATGTCAAAGAGCTATCTATTAGCTCAAATGTTCCAATGAAATATTGAGAATTCTAGTACATGCAATTTTTCCTTCTGATTGTTGAGTACTAAATACTACTCTAAACAGACAGAATCAGATCTTTGGTGCAAGTCCAAGTGCCTAACACCTTTGGTGTAAAACAAATTAATATTTGTAAAGCCATATTTTATAATGATGTTATAATTCTATGTCTTTTCTTCACTCTGTCACTGCCTTTCACACATTACTTATTACTGATTTAAATGAACTGGTTTTTTTTGTTTTCAACAACTTCAACATTTTTGGAGCGTTGAAAATTTTCTATGTGTTCTTTCTTGTTTTTTTAATTGTTATTGTTGAACACAACTTATCTAAGAGACATTTGGGCTCATAAAAATAACAAAACTTTCAATATCTATGTATTTGGATATCAACTTAATGGTTCTAATTATTTCTCAATTTCGTGATGAAAATGTATTTTTTAAAAAGACATTTTTAGTTTATTCACTAGCTTTTGTAGTAATATATTCCTTTCCTACTGAATGGTAACAAAGCAGTGATCTCGGAACCTGGTTGATGTCTACAATCACCAGGGAAACTTCTAACAAATATAGATCGCTGGGACCTACTCAAGAAGGAAGATTCCTAGCAGGTTTGGAGGTGTGGCCTCAGAATCTGCATTTTTAAGAAGCTTCCCAGGTGATTCTGATCTGAGCCAAGTTTGGGAACTGCTGATCCAGAAGTCTTGGCGTTTTATGTATGTCTGTGTGTATCGTTCTCTATCCTAGAGAAGTTGGTTTTTCATATTTTGCCTTGAAGGGATTAGCCTTAAGGGTAAGATAAAGCCTAAGACTGGAAGAATAAGTTATTTTTCATGAGAGGAGGTTAAATACTGAATGAATTCAGTTATGAAGTCGCTTCCTTTTTCTTTGAAATATCTCTATTCTGTTCCCTGTCAAATATATTAACACATTAGTCACAAAGTAGCAGGGGATCCATCTAGTTTTTGTCTTCTGTGTTCACAACAGCTGGCTGTTCATTGGTGCTCAGTAAGCTGATTGAAACTTGATTAAACACGTAGCTTTTCTTGTTTTCTCTTAGAATCACTGTGTAACAGCCTTCTCTAATCACTGAGAGGATCTTCTGTTACACATTGATTGCTGGGGCTCCTGAATGGTAAAAAATGGGGCTTTTTTACCTCATAACAGGTTGGGAAGCCACATGTGCATGGTAGAACAGATAATACCAATAGGGCAGGAGGGCATAGCGCTCTCTGATGGCTTCGCAGATGAGCCGGGTGTTTTCTTCCCCGAACAGCCAGGGTTCCCGCCGCTTGGTGTTCATGGTGGCATGGCCACGGAAGAAAGGCTGGTAGGCTCCAGCCTGGTACCAACGCACTAGCAGCTCTGTCTCTGGATTCCCAATGAACCCACCTACATCAGCTAGTTAGGCAAAGAAAGTCTGAGTGAGGCAGCTGGGCTTTGAATCAATGATGCACACAGGTAAAATAAGGCCTTGAAGACTAACAGGAGAAAAGCACTGTGTAGCACTCAACATGACTAGATAAAACTGTGGCCTCAAATATGGGAGCACATATTACATAGATCTGACAAAATGCTCTTTGAATATTCTTTCCTGTCAAAAGGTCACAAGCGTTACTCCAAGATCAACATTCCTGTATGTTCCTGAACCCAGCCAACCCAGAAACTGCAAAATGTCTGCCTGATTAAATAAGTGTGTGTGTGTTGGGGGAGGGGAGCTGGCAATTGATTTCCTTTGAAAGCAACAGCTGAACCAAGATAAAAATAGAACTAAAGAGAAGCAAAAAATCAGAATTAGAGGTTTAGATAGAATATCATGCAGAGCCCTTGAGCTCATGAAATGGATATATGTATTCCTTGTATTATATGTGGACCAATGCCTTAAAAACACATATATCAAAAAAGTAATATTAATTTGTTTCTACTCCTACAGAAAACAAGCAGAAACTGTAACTACAGCCATACCGGGCACCTTCCATATTGAGATCTCCTATCTGCAGGGAAGGCAGTCCATCAGAAAACCTTATTTTAACAAAATTTATCTTTTCCAAGAACATATGTTTTTATTTAAACACAGTTAAAAATATGTCATAGAATTTTAAATCTGCTGAGAAGAGTTTCTTGTAAGGCTGACTTCCAATTTGCTAAATTCTTTGTAGTTCTATTTTTCTCACTGTCAAGTAGAAAAGATATGTGTTAAGAAGAGAAACTCAGTTTTCAATAGTGCCTAAGGAGGAAGCCATAAGAGGACGAGTGTCTTGGAAGAAGCACTCTGGCTCCCTTTTTGACAACTTGATTTCATATCCTCAATACAGACAAGACACAAAAAGCTCTAAGGTAGCCAATTCACTCTCCGCTCTAATCTGTTTCCCTTTACTTTCTTGCATTTTCTTTTCCCCACATTTATCCTTGCCTGAAACAGTAATAAGAAAGGATTTGTGACCAGTTTTGAAGAAAACACCCTCACTTTTTTTTTGCACTTCAAGACTAAGAATAGGATTTATCTTACCTCCACAAAAAGAGATCCCTGTAATGCTGAGAGTGAGTAACATTGGGATGGAAATTTTCAGGTAACTCCATTCTGCTGTGTTGTCACCTGTCCACACAGCACCTTTGGATACCAATAACAAGGTATTTTAAAAAAATCACAAATCAGCCCAAGCATTCAATTTCATATTTAGATTTCTAATTTTATTTATTTATTTATTTATTTATTTATTTATTTATTTATTTATTTATTTATTTATTTTTTGAGACAAGAGTCTCGCTTTGTTGCCCAGGCTAGAGTGAGTGCCGTGGCGTCAGCCTAGCTCACAGCAGCCTCAAACTCCTGGCTCAAGCAATCCTCCTGCCTCAGCCTCCCAAGTAGCTGGGACTACAGGCATTTGCCACCATGCCCGGCTAATTTTTTGTATATATATTAGTTGGCCAATTAATTTCTTTCTATTTATAGTAGAGACGGAATCTCGCTCTTGCTCAGGCTGGTTTCGACTCCTGACCTTGAGCAATCTGCCCGCCTCGGCCTCCCAGAGAGCTAGGATTACAGGCGTGAGCCACCGTGCCTGGCCAGATTTCTAATTTTAAAAGACAAATTAATAAAATGAAAACAGATTTTTCACCTTAAAATAAATACAGCCTGATTTTCTATACTAAAAATGTATTAATTTTCTTTCTTTCTTTTTTTTTTTGAGACAGAGTCTCACTTTGTTGCCCAGGCTACAGTGAGTGCCATGGCATCAGCCTAGCTCACAGAAACCTCAATCTCCTGGGCTCAAGCAATCCTGCTGCCTGAGCCTCCCGAGTAGCTGGGACTACAGGCATACGCCACCATGCCCGGCTAATTTTTTCTATATATATTAGTTGGCCAATTAGTTTCTTTCTATTTAGTATAGACGGGATCTCGCTCTTGCTCAGGCTAGTTTCGAACTCCTGACCTTGAGCAATCCGCCCGCCTCGGCCTCCCAGAGTGCTAGGATTACAGGCGTGAGCCACTGCGCCAGGACAATGTATTAATTTTCTAATGTAAAAAAGTTATTAGAATCCACAAAACATGGATTCTATGAAAATATTCTGAAATTGCACTTGCACTTTTTTAAGTATAATTAACCTGATTATAGGAGGACCATTAAAAAAATCAACTTGGAGACATAATTTCCATACAATTAATGTACCTCTTTTAAGTGAAGAATTTGATGAGTTTTGAAAAATGTATACATCGGCCAGGCTCATGCCTGTAACCTAGCTATTCTGGGAGGCCGAGACAGGAGGATTGCTTGAGCTCAGGAGTTTGAGAGCAGCCTGAGCAAGAGCGAGACCCCATCTCTATTATAAATAGAAAGAAATTAGCCAAACAACTAAAAATAGAAAAAATTAGCTGGGCATGGTGGCACATGCATGTAGTACTAGCTACCTGGGAGGCTGAGGCAGGAGGATCACTTGAGCCCAGGAGTTGGAGGTTGCTATGAGCTAGGCTGATGCCATGGCACTCTAGCCCAGGCAACAGAGCAAGACTGTCTCAAAAACAAAAAGAAAGGAAAAGAAAAATGTATATATTCAGGTAACCACCACCCTACCACCACAGGCAAGGCAAAGAACATTTCCATAACTGTAAAAGTTTCCTTGGACTTCTTTGCAGTCAATAACTTCTCCCAACAACTTAAGCCAACTATTGATTTGATTTCTATGAGTATAGATTAGTTCTTTCTAGAATTTCAGATAAAAGGAAATATATATACTGTTTTGTGTTCTAGCTATCTTTTCATTCTGGCGGGCCACGGGCAGATCAGCTACTTCTCCCCACGAGAAACCCAGTCCTTTAGGTAGGGGTCCTCACAGAGGATAAGAAATTAATAGGAAATAGAATAATGGAAATAAAAGAATACACAGAGATTAAGGTATAGTTTTATAGATTTATCTGAAGAAATTAAGACAAAATGAGGGTACTCAGGAGTCTCCCCTACATCTCTGTCAGTAGTGAAGCCATGAGGTTAATTTCATATAGGTTTTATAATCACAGATATCAGTTATTGGTTGCCAATGGTAACAGATTTACATACTAACAGTGTGTAGTGTGGTTGCTATGGGTAACAGATTTACATAACAGGTAGGGCTGGTTCACAGATTTACATAATAACAGGTAATTTCAGTTTGCGTTAAAAGTTTTTTCAAAGGGCTTCTAAAGATTTCTAATCTATTATATCTATGTGAACAAACAGTTACAAAATCTTTCAAGGACTAACTTCTAAATTCTAAGAGAGAGCTATAAATTATCAGAGGAGTAACAAGAGATATAGTGGCTCTATATTTCTTTTATCTAGTTATTGTGGATTTGAGACAGACAGGAGAAAGCAGGAAGCCCAGGTCTTCATTCTAAATTGCTCATAACCACAGAGGTTTGTCTCTGGGCTATGGCGCTCCTTGTTTCAGCTCCCACCCTGTGATGCCATGCATATACCTGTCTTGTCTTTCAAGATCAGGGAGGCTTCACAGGTCTGAGATATGAGAAGCCTCATGGAATGCATCCACCAGAGCTTTGAGAGCCCTCCCAAGGCGAGCCCTTGATATGCAAACTAAGGAGTTCACATATTCCTTCAGGGCAAAACTCTGCAAAAACTCCTGAAATCAATTCTGTCTTTAATATAGCAACATTGAGTGATAAAATAAAATAATAAACTTATGATGAGCCCATCTCATTAATTCCTCAATCATCTTTCCTCAACACTTTTCACTCAGCATAATGTTGTAGTTTATACTTCTTTTTATTTGCTGAGTAGTATTCCATGATATGGGTATATCATGAGTTGTTTATCTAGTCATCTATTAATGGTGAATGGATAAACAATGGATTCTTTCCAGGTTTTGGCTATTATAAATAAAGGTGTTATGAATGTTTGTATACAGATCTTTATGTGACATATTTTCATTTCTCTTTGGGTATATATCTAGAAGTGGGTCTTACATTCAGGGTATGTTAAAGACTTTAAGAAACTTTCAAACTGTTCAGCAAAGAGGTTGTACCATTTTATATTTTCAACTACAAAGTATGACAATACCAAAAGACAATACCAGTCTTTTTTTTTTTTTTTTTTTTTTTTGAGACAGAGTCTCGCTTTGTTGCCCAGGCTAGAGTGAGTGCTGTGGCGTCAGCCTAGCTCACAGCAACCTCAATCTCCTGGGCTCAAGCAATACTGCTGCCTCAGCCTCCCGAGTAGCTGGGACTACAGGCATGCGCCACCATGCCCAGCTAATTTTTTCTATATATAATAGTTGGCCAATTAATTTCTTTCTATTTATAGTAGAGACGGGGGTCTCACTCTTGCTCAGGCTGGTTTCAAACTCCTGACCTCGAGCAATTCACCCGCCTCAGCCTCCCAGAGTGCTACGATTACAGGCGTGAGCCACCGTGCCCGGCCCAGTCTTTTTAATTCTAGCCACTCTAATGGGTATGTAGTGGTATCTTTGTGTGGTTTTAATTTATATTTCCTTAATGACTAGTAATGTGGAGTATTTCTTCATGTGTTTATGGATCATATGTCTTCTTCAGTAAAGTATGTATTCAAACCTTCTCATTTTTTAAAGTAGGTTGTCCCGGCCAGGCATGGTGGCTCATGCTTGTAATCCTAGCACTCTGGGAGACCAAGGCGGGAGGATCGTTTGAATTCAGGAGTTTGAGACCAGCCTGAGCAAGAGCGAGACCCCGTCTCTAGTAAAAATAGAAAGAAATTAGCTGGACAACTAAAAATATATAGAAAAAATTAGCCAGGCATGGTGACACATGCCTGTAATCCCAGCTACTCAGGAGGCTGAGGCAGGAGGATTGCTTAAGCCCAAGAGTCTGAGGTTGCTGTGAGCTAGGCTAATGCTATGGCACTCTAGCTTGGGCAACAGAGTGAGACTCTGTCTCAAAATAAATAAATAAATAAAATAGATTGTCTTCTTATTATGAGTTGTAAAAGTTCTTTATATAATCTGGATACAAATTCTTTGACAGATATAAAAGTATATTGCAAATATTTTTCCCCAATTTCAGGACTGCCTTTTCATTTTCTTACCAATGTCTTTGAAAGGACAGAGATTTTAAATTTTGATGAAATGTAATTTACTTTTTTTTTCCTTTTATGGTTCATGCTTTTTGTGTTCTATCCAAGAAATCTTTGCCTATCTCAAACCCACAAATATTCTCCTATATTTTCTTCTAGAGATTTATTATTTTTATTTTTAGCTTTTATAACTTAGGTCTACATTCCATTTTGAGTTAATTTTTGAATATGGTGTATGGTAAGGGTATAGATTTTTTTTCCATATTCATATCTAGTTGTTTCGGAACCATCTAATGAAGAAAACTATCATTTTTCCATTGAATTGCCTTGGAAATTCCATTGCAATCAATCTATCACTTATGTGTTGGACTTTCTTCACTCTCTATTCTGTTCCATTGATCTATATACCTATTTCCTCCCACTTACATCCCCCTCCAAAAAAAAAATCCTCTAAAATTTAAGAGAAGTGGTACAGTTCATATAGGGCAGACATAATAACAATAGATAACATTAAGCTCTTCCTGAGCCACGTGTTATGCTAAGTACTTTCCTTGAATTATCCAATTTAGTCATCACAACAACCCTTATCAGGTAAACACCATTATTGACTCCGTTTTATAGATGAGGGAAATATGGCAAATAGGAGATTGATAATCTACCCAGAATTATACAGTTATTAAGTGGTAGAGGTAGGATTTGAGTCCAGGAAGTCTGATGCCAAAGCCAGTGTGCTTGTTCACTGTATAGGTGATAAGAATTTGTGATGATATATTATATACCAGTAAAGAGATCCATAAAAGCAAAAATCTTACTTTACTAAACCAAGATTACTCCTGAAGCATTTTTGTTTATTTTCTACCAAAATAGTTTTGATAGCTATTTTTGTTTTAATCTTTCATAGAAATTTTAGGCTGTCCTATGTCCTATTTTGAAAAGAAAAATGCTTTCAAGGGATTGCTCTTTTAAAAAAAGACTCTAATAATTTCATTTACACTTCAAATGAGATATGTATGTATGTACATGATGATTTTGAAATCCACATGGTAACATTTTTATCTTCCATGAATCTTCCTGTAATCTGAGCACTTTGGTAGGCCAACGCAGGAGGACTGCTTGAGCACTGGAGTTCAAGACCAGCCTGGGCAATATTGTGAGGACCGTGTCTCTATACAAAAAAAAAAAAAAAAATCAGCCAGGCCTGGTGGCACATGCCTAAAGTCCCAGCTACTCAGGAGGTTGAGGCAGGAGGATCATCTGAGCCCAGGAATTCCAGGTTACAGTGAGCTATGATTAGGCCACTTTACTCTAGTCTGGGCAACACAGTGAGACCCTGTCTCTAAAAAATATATAATAAAAATAAAAATAAATAAGAAAGCTCATGTAAGCATGCAGATGTTTTTATGTCTCATCTGGCTGTTTAGTCAGAAGCTCTCTCTGGCTATTAGCCTCAACATATGATTTAACAAAATAGTGTTCCTTGTAATTAATGCCTTGCTACACAATGAAGCAAAACTGATAGCATCACACAGAAGACTAGGCAGTGGGCCAAAATTTAGGAGATCAAAGATAACTTAATATTCACATCTTCTGTTATCTTTTTTAACTGCTGCTGATAAATATTTTCATTAAAATACTTTTTTTAGTGAATAAAATACTTACAGAGAATTTGGAAAATAAAGACAGATAAAAGAAGAAAAGTAAAATCACTCCTAATTGGCCAGGTACTATGGCTCACCCTTGTAATCCTAACATTCTGGGAGGCCAAGGATGGAAGATTGCTTGAGCTCAGGAATTTGAAGACCAGCCTGAGCAAGAGTAAGACATTGTCTCTACTTAAAATAGAAAAATTAGCCAGGCATGGTGGCACCTGCCTATAGTCCCAGCTACTGAGGAGGCTGAGGCAAGAGGATTGCTGGAACCCAGGAGTTTGAGGTTGCAGTGAGCCATGATGACGTCACTGCATTCTAGCCAGCCCAGGCAACAGAGAGACAGACCCTGTCTCCAAAAAAAAAAAAAAAAAAAAAAAACAAACCAAATAAATAAAATCACTCATAATCACCAAGGTACTAAATTTCCTTACATTTACCTGTCTGCCTGTCTACCTACCTACTTGTTAATTTAAATTACTATCTTACATTTATTTTTTATGAAATTGGGATAAGAAATATGACCTGGTATTTCATAGATCAGTATGGTAATTATAGTAAATATTAATCAATTGTACATTTCAAAATAGCTAGAAGAGAATAATTTGAATATTTAATTTTTTTTTTTTTTGAGACAGAGTCTCACTCTGTTGCCTGGGCTAGAGTGAGTGCCATGGAGTCAGCCTAGCTCACAGCAACCTCAAACTCCTGAGCTCAAGTGATCCTACCGCCCCAGCCTCCCGAGTGGCTGGGACTACAGGCATGTGCCACCATGCCTGGCTAATTTTTTCTATATGTATATTAGTTGGCCAATTGATTTCTTTCTATTTATAGTAGAGATGGGGTCTCGCTCTTGCTCAGGCTGGTTTCAAACTCCTGACCTCGAGCAATCCACCCGCCTCGGCCTTGGAGAGTGCTAGGATTACAGGTGTGAGCCACCGCGCCCGGCCTTGAGTATTTATAGTGTAAAGAAAAGATAAATATTTAAAGTAATAGATATCCTAATTACCGATTTGATTATATAAATGTGTTAAATTATCACATGTAATTTGAAAATATGTACATCTACTATGTATCAATAGAAAAAGTGGGATAATACCTACTTAGGTTTTTTTTCCATTTATCATGATCTCATAAACATTTTCTCATGCAATTAAAGTTACCATTTTAAACAGACTCTTATCATATAGCTACATCATCCTTTTATAACTATTCCCTTATTGTCACATTTTTAGCTTTTGTTCTTTCCCTCCCTCCCTCCTTTCTTCCTCTTTGTTTTTATTCTTTCCTTGTCTTTCTCTCTCTCCCTCCCTCCCTTCCTCTCTCTCTTTTGTTTCAAGCACTAGTGCTGTGATGAGCTCTCTGTACATGAATCTTTGGCTGAGATGATAATATTTTGGCCTTTTCCAAAGTACCACAGGGCTGGTTTTCAGAGGTAGAGTGGGAGGCCTAATAATGTCCACAGTATAGTAGGAGCTTGATTCTTCAAAGTAGGACCTAAGCTCTCAGTTGTTTATGCAAGGCCAGGGGACTTAAAATAGCCTTCCTGCCACAGGATGGTTAAGTTGAACTAGATCTGCATTCACTAGTAAACTGGATCCAGTTATAGATGACCCTGACCACAAGCAACAGCCAGGTCTATTTTAAGCCACATTGCTGAGTGCAACAGGTGGTTAATGGAATGTGTTAGAGGTATATTTCTCTGGTTTCGATAAATCAAAGAGACAGGATCAGAGATGACCATCCCAGCAGACTGCATACTTTGAAGTCTCTCTACCTACTACGAAGTAGCCATTTCTTCTGTGGGAAACAAGCATGAAACTTCATTAAAATTGCTTTAGTCAGTCTTGCAGGACAAAATGCATACTTCAGGGCACACCACTGTCTAAAATAAAAGGCTTGACCAATGGCTATTGAAAAGGAAGGCATCAAAATAATAGCAGCATATACCATAAATGATTTAAAAAAAGAGAGACAAATAAATAAATAAATAAAAGAGAGACTGGTTGCTACGTTGTGTTTTTCAGTCTGAGATGAGCCATTCCTTACCATACTTTTGTGATCCAGCAAAGAAAGAACGTGTAAGAACAAAGGGTCTTTCCTTCCCTTTAGATCGTTTTATCAGTCCTTCTGCAGTAGCCATTTGCTATAAAGTCAAAGGAGAAGAATTTCAAAGAATGATTAGATTAGGACATTGTAAAGACATCCCCAAAGCTATTTAATATGCAAAAAGTAAACGGTAGGTATGCATGTGAAATGGAAAATAGTAAATCCATCAGGCCGGGTGGGGTGGCTCACACATGCAATCCTAGGACTCTAGGAGGCCAAGGAGGGAGGATCGCTTGTGGTCAGGAGTTCAAGACCAGCCTCAGCAAAAGCAAGACCCTATCTCTACTAAAAATAGAAAGAAATTATCTGGGCAACTAAAAATAGAAAAAATTAGCCGCATATGGCGGCATATGCCTGTAGTCCCAGCTACTCGGGGGGCTGAGACAATAGGATTGCTTGAGCCCAGGAGTTTGAGGTTGCTATGAACTGGGCTGGCACTCTAGCCCAGGCAACAGAGTGACGCTCTGTCTAAAAAAAAAAAAAAAAAATGCATCAAATAATTTTCATGATTTAATGACACTCCTCTAAATTATCCTGTTAAAAGAATGAAAAAATTTTTTTGATTAACAATTAGCAATGAAATAATAGTAAACAATAAGCTAGCATTTATTTGCTGCTTACAATAGTAAGTATTGTATAATATTTTTTCATATAATAAACACAATCACCTCTGAGACACATAGTTTTCACTGGTTAAAAAAATGAGATTCAGGCCGGGCGCGGTGGCTCACGCCTGTAATCCTAGCTCTTTGGGAGGCCGAGGCGGGCGGATTGCTCGAGGTCAGGAGTTCGAAACCAGCCTGAGCAAGAGCGAGACCCTGTCTCTACTATAAATAGAAAGAAACTAATTGGCCAACTAATATATATAGAAAAAATTAGCCGGGCATGGTGGCTCATGCCTGTAGTCCCAGCTACTCGGGAGGCTGAGGCAGAAGGATTGCTTGAGTCCAGGAGTTTGAGGTTGCTGTGAGCTAGGCTGACACCACGGCACTCACTCTAGCCTAGGCAACAAAGCGAGACTCTGTCACAAAAAAAAAAAAAAAAATGAGATTCATAGAGGTTTGGTTACTAGCCTTGGCTCACATAAGAAAATTCTCTGACTAAAGCAGCTTGCAGTTATACTAACAGGTTGTTAGGGAAGCAAACACATACCATGTGAAAACTATGCTGTATCTAGCCAGTTGCTCCCACCGGAAAATACCAATTGATGCAAGGGGCATAGGAATATAGTCACATTTTGAAAATAATAAACAACCATGGGTATAAATTAGGGCAAGTGACTGCCAAATCTTTTGGATGTAATTGGCAAATGAAAGACAATTCTATCACCTTTATTGAGAAGGCTAAGTACTTAAAGAAGGCTTTCTACATTAAAAAACGTATATCTGTGTTCTAAATCTTGCTCACCTGGTATGAATGTAAGACTTGCTGTATTTAGATATTTGTGAAATTTTAAAAGGTTTGTTTTAATTACTTTTGTTTATATATATTTTTTATACTCCCTACATCAATAAAAGTTTGAAGTCATATTCAGTGAGTGCCATTTACTCTTGGCTCCTACCAAGGTAGATGTTTCTATGTTATCATTAATTTCATACTGTTTTAAAATTCATCAAGTTCATTACGGAAGGAAAAGAAGCAGAGGGAAGTAATAAAAAGTCTTGGTTGTGTGTGGTGGTTCATGCCTGTAATCCCAGGATTTGGGGAGGCTAAGGAGGGAGGGTTGTTTGAAGCCAGGAATTTGAGACCAACATGGGCAACGTAGTGAGATCCCATCCCTATACACACACACGGAAAGTCTTATATAGGCCACTCCTTAAGACTTATTGCAGAAAATTGTCAGAAAAGATAAAGAGAAATGAACAGTATAGTATAGCTATTACAAAGCAAATGACTTTCAGCCCAAAAGGCAGGTCACATGAGTCCAGCTGACTTCTTTTTATATGTCTTACCTGATAAAAACCATAGATGTTATGAAGTTCTCTGTGCTCCCAATTGCCATGATGAATGGCATTCTTCTGCATAGTTTGCTCTGGCCCTCTAAAGACAGAGGGCTCATTCATGTCATTCCATATGAAGAGGATGTCTGTAGATCCCTACGAAGTAAATCTTGGTCATAATAATATTTTCACACTGATGATGTTTACACAATAGCTGTCCCCATCCCCCTTTCCTACCCCATTTAATTAATTTCTTTATTATGTATATTATTGCTCAGTCCTTTGCACCGCTGCTAAATTATAAGCTCCACAGAGCAGGGAATTTTGTCTGCTTTGTTCATTAATAAATCCCAAATACCTAGAATGGTACTTGGCCCACAGAACATTCTTAATAAATATTTTTTGATGAATGAAAGAATGCTGCACTGTATAATCTGTGAAATATATATTCCTCAGCAAGTTCACTCTAAGATCTCCCTGGAGAACTCCTGAAGGGAAGCTTGTGAATGTTCATATTAGGCTCTTTTTTTTTTTTTGAGACAGAGTCTCACTCTGTTGCCCGGGCTAGAGTGCCGTGCGTCAGCCTCGCTCACAGCAACCTCAAACTCCTGGGCTCAAGTGATCCTCCCGCCTCGGCTTCCCAGAGTGCTAGGATTACAGGCATGAGCCACCACGCATGGCCCACATGAGGCTCTTTATCATTCATCATCTGCTACAACTCTTTTTTTTTTTTTTTTTTTTTGAGACAGAGTCTTGCATTGTTGCCCAGGCTAGAGTGAGTGAGTGCCATGGTATCAGCCTAGCTCATAGCAACCTCAATCTCCTGGGCTCAAGCAATCCTACTGCCTCAGCCTCCTGAGTAGCTGGGACTACAGGCATGCGCCACCATGCCCAGCTAATTTTTTCTATATATATTAGTTGGCCAATTAATTTCTTTCTATTTTTAGTAGAGATGGGGTCTTGCTCTTGCTCAGGCTAGTTTTGAACTCCTGACCTCGAGCAATCCGCCCACCTCGGAGTCTCGCTTTGTTGCCTAGGCTAGAGTGAGTGCCGTGGTGTCAGACTAACTCACAGCAACCTCAAACTCCTGGGCTCAAGCAATCCTTCTGCCTCAGCTTCCTGAAGCTGGGACTACAGGCATGCGCCACCATGCCCGGCTAATTTTTTCTATCTATATTAGTTAGCCAATTAATTTCTTTCTATTTATAGTAGAGACCGGGTCTCGGTCTTGTTCAGGCTGGTTTCGAACTCCTGAACTCGAGCAATCCGCCCACCTCGGCCTCCCAGAGAGCTAGGATTACAGGCGTGAGCCACCGCGCCTGGCCTACAACTCTTAATTAAGGGCAATTATACCCATACATAACAAGATTCTATCTTCTATTAATAATACATTAAAAGTTGGCATGATCTATAGTTTGTGTTCTATACAGAATTGTTCGGTTTAGAGTGGAAAGGGATATGAGTCATCTAGTTAACATGGTGTTGAAATCCCTTTTATAGAAACCCTGGTCTCTCAGCATTTCAATGAATAGCTAAAATCATAGGGAGCCCCTCAGACAGCTCATTCCATTATTTTCTGCTCCTTGTAACATTCTCCTCACAGGGCCTACCTAGCTTGCCTTCTGGAACACATGGAATATATCTGCTGCCTGGCCCACAGGAGAGATAGTCTTTCAAATGCCTGGAGGTGGCTTACTTGTTTTCTTTTGACTGCCACCATGACAGAGTTTAGTAATTGAAAAGGAGACCTCACGGCCTACAAAGCTGGGAGTATTTACTATCTGGCTCTTTACCAAGAAAGTTTGCCAATCCCCTAAGGACAGTTAAGGCAGTTAAATATTTGGAAACCATATAGCCTTGTTCATAGCAGTACTCATGTTGAGGAATAGTTGAAGGTATAGAGTCAAAAGAAAACAAGTCACTTATGGCATAAGATCTAATTATATTCCAACTTCACAGGGTTATTGTGAAGACAAATGGTATAATGCATGTGAAGTGCCTGGCACATAGAAAAGGCTCAGTTTGTACTACGTATCATCATCATTATCAAAATTGCTTGAAAACAGTTCTCCAGATGTGGTCTCTCCGGTTCTCTCTGTGGTTCTTATAAGATTTTTTATTTTTTTTAAGATTTTTTTAATAATTGATTTCTCATTATACTTCACTTTTAATGACATATTTGTAAGATATTTTCACATGCATCATCACCTTTAAGTAATAGTTATAGAATTCTATTTTATATAAAAATATATAGTCATTTGGGCCGGGCACGATGGCTCACGCCTGTAATCCTAGCACTCTGGGAGGCCGAGGCGGGAGGATCGCTTGAGGTCAGGAGTTCGAAACCAGCCTGAGCAAGAGTGAGACCTCGTCTCCACTAAAAATAGAAACAAATTAATTGCCCAACTAAAAATTAGCCAGGCATGGTGGTACATGCCTGTAGTCCTAGCTACTTGAGAGGCTGAGGCAGAAGGATCGCTTGAGCCCAGGAGTTTGAGGTTGCTGTGAGCCAGGCTGATGCCATGGCACTCTAGCTGGGGCAACAGAGTGAGACTCTGTCTCAAAAAAAAAAAAAAAAAATATATATATATATATAGTCATTTGAAAAGACAATGAAACTCTGTAAAGCACTTTGCTATATCACAGAGTCTATTATTACACTAGAGGTAAAAATCACAGCTTTTGTGCACTTGGTAATGCATACAGCACCTCTCCCAGCATCACCAAAGTTTGTAATGTGGTGGCCATCTGTGCCTTTTCATACAAGCACTATATATCAGGAACTACTCAATGAAGCAGAATAGTTCTATTCAATCACTTTTTTCCTTCTTTCATCCTTTCAAGTAACTAGAAAATAGCAAAAGAATAAAAACCAACCTGATAAACAGGGAAAGCAAAAAGACTTGAATACCACTCTCTGACCTTGGGATTGGTGAAATCCAGGTAAGAGGAGAGACCTGTAGAGGCAGAACAGTAGATAGCCTGGTTAGGAAGAGTGGTCCCTCACAGTAAGATGTTGTAAAGAAGACATCAGATATGAGAGCTGGGAAATCAATGGGCACCTTACATCACAAATAAAAGTTAGCTGGTAGAGGCACGGTCTGGTGAGAAGTGAATGAAGGCAATACTAGGCCACAGTAACAATGGCTACACCTTTCAATGCCAGATGCCCAGGGGGATGCAATGAGCAAGCATCAAGATGGAGCCCGTCCTGCACTAATGGCCCAAGACAGCTCAAGTAAGAATGGCAAATACCCTGCCGTGGATCCTTGGCTCTTAAAGAGAATAGAGACATGTGTTCAGTGGTGTAAGGTGAAAAAAAAGGCATGGGGTTTTTCTACAGTGCATGGATTTATGGTAGAGTGCTATGGTAGAATGGTGATTTCCTTTTGCCCTTGGGGAGTTTCTACCAAGTCTTCAAAGTAATAACTTTTGAAATGAAAAATCCATAGTTGCCAGGGGCACTTAGGTCATTCATGAAAGGTTGGAAGTCAAAACTACCGGCTAAAAGGGCAAATCACAAGGAGAAAGGCTGCAGGACTCCCTTTTCTATCTTTTTCCCACTCCCCTTTTCTCATTCCCTCACTTTTTATCTTTATCTACTTAGAGAAATAGCATGCCACAGAGGTTAGCTTGTTCATTTTTCATTCATCATTCAATTATTTTTTTTCTTTTTTTAAATTTTTAAACTTTTTTTTTTTTTTTTAATAGCGACAGGGTCTTGCTTTTGCTCAGGCTGGTCTTGAACTCCTGAGCTCAAGCAATCCTCCCAGCTTGGCCTCCCAGAGTGTTAGGATTTACATGCATGAGCCACCATGTCCAGCCTCATTCAATTATTGATTAATAAATATATACAAAGCAGACTATACCAGGTATTACAAAAGATACAAAAGGCGGCAATACTATCTCTTCCTTTTAAAACATAGCTCTATAGGAACAAGAGATATCTACAGGGAACAAGAAGGACAGCCACGAAGCCTTCATTGATTGGGACTGAATAGGTGGAAATAATGGACGTATAAAGTGATTTCATACCAGGCCAGCAAACCCCTTCGAAGTCTCCCCCTTCACGTTTCCTCACAAAGAATCCCTGTTCTTTGGCCTTAGCATACACTGAGTAGTCAGGATCAACCTTGATGTGGGGGTCACTGATGACCACAAGCTGTGAGGACACAAAGGTGTGAAGATCTCATCAGTTTTATAGGAGACATATGTTCACTCCCATGTTATTTGTATGTTTTTACCATAGTTTTAGGGTTCAAATTTTACTCAGAAACAACTATAACCAGTATTAAAATATTTCAGATACCAGTAAAATCCTATAATCTTTCATCTGCTTATGAAAATTTTAATTGATATCAAAACCAGGCCAATGCTTTTACAATTATTGCTACCTAACCAATAGGTGTTCTTAAGATGGCATTTACTAAGCTTCTGTCCATAATGCTGGATGTTGGATACTATATATAAAGGATTAAATAGGCAAGTTGCCTGCTCCCTAGACATTTAGAGGTTATGATAAGACTATATAAACAAACATTAATGAAACAAAGAGAATAACATGTTTAAAACAAACAAAACCCCTGTATGCCCAATGGTACAGGCATATTAAAAAGGTTTCAGAAAAGTTGTGAGCCATAGCTCCAATGCTTCTAGCATCTCTCCCAGCCTTTCTAAAACCATCACTTCCACCCAGTTTAGGGCCTCAATACCACTCTATTTGGCTAGAACAACCTTCTAATCCTCCTTCTTCATCTCTATTCTTTTTTTAAAAAAAGTAATTAAATTTATTTATTTATTTATGTATGAAACAAAGTCTTGCTATATTGCCCAGGCTGGTCTCACATTCTAGGCCTGAAGGAATCCTTCTGCCTTGGCTTCCTGAATAGCTGGGACTACAGGTATATGTCAGTATGCCTGGTCCTTATCTCCATTCTAATCCATCCTACATATTAAAGTTTAATACTTCATTGCTCAAAAACTTCCTTAAATTTTAAATTGTGGTGAAATACATATAACACAAAATTTACCAGGTTAGCCATAAAGTATACAGTTCAGTAGTGTTTAGTATGTACATTCACATTGTTTTGCAACTAATCTCCAGAAGTCTTTTCATTTTGTAAAACTAAAATTCTATATTCTTTTTTTTTTTGAGACAGAGTCTTCCTTTGTTGCCCAGGCTAGAGTAAGTGCCGTGGTGTCAGCCTAGCTCGCAGCAGCCTCAAACTCCTGGGTTTAAGCAATCCTACCGCCTCAGCCTCCTGAGTAGCTGGGACTACAGGCATGCGCCACCATGCCCGGCTGCTAATTTTTTCTATATATATTAGTTGGCCAATTGATTTCTTTCTATTTATAGTAGAGACAGGGTCTTACTCTTGCTCGGACTGGTTTCAAACTCCTGAGCTCGAGCAATCCGCCTGCCTCGGCCTTCCAGAGTGCTAGGATTACAAGCGTGAGCCACCACGCCCGCCTAAAACTCTATATTTTTTAAACAATAATTCCCCATTCCCTCCTTCCAGCCACTGGCAACCACCATTCTACTTTCTATCTCTATGAATTTGACTACTTCATTTACTTCAGATTAGTGGAATCATACAATATTTGTGTTTTTATGAATGGTTTATTTCATTTAACATATGTCCTCAAGGTTCATCCATGTTGTAGCATCTATTAGAATTTTCTTCCTTTTTAAGGCTGAATTATATTCCACTGTATGCATATACCACATTTTGTTTATTTATTCATCTGTTCATGGACCTACTTTTTGGCTACTGTAACTAATGCTGCTATGAACATGGGTATGCAAATATCTGTTCAAGTTCCTGCTTTCAATTTCTGTGGGTATATACCCAGAAGTGGAATTGGTAAATCATATGGTAATTTTATTTTTAAGTTTTTGAGGAACTGCCATACTTCTTTCTACAGCAGCTATACCATTTTACATTCCCACCAACAGTGCACAGATGTTCCAATTTCTCCACATCCTTGTAACACTTATTATTTTCTGCTTTTTAAAATAGTAGCCACCCTAATGGTATAAAGTGATATTTCATTGTAGTTTTGATTTGCATTTCCCTAATGATTAATAATGTTGAGTATCTTTTCATGTGCTTGTTGAATTTGTATCTTCTTTAGAGAAACGTATATTCAAGTTCTTTGCCCATTTTTTAATTGTTTGTTTTTTTGTTGTTGAGTTGTAGGAGTCTGTTATATATTCTGGATATTAACACCTTATTCAAAAATTTTTAATGTCTCCAAATGCATACAAAGCAGCCTACAAAATGATCTCAACCTTTCTGGTCAGATCTTCTACTACTCAAACCTTCACATTCCTTGTTTTTCTGTCAAACCAGCGTGTGCACTGTTTTCCAAACACCCCCGCATGCTCCATCCTCTGGCTGCATTGCCCTTTTCTTTCTCCCAGCTTCTCTACTAGTTAGAGACTCATCCTTTAGGGCTCATCTAAAATGCACCTTTAGGCTGGGTGTGGTGGCTCATGCCTCTAATCCTAGCACTCTGGGAGGTTGAGGTGGGAGGATCACTTGAGCTCAAGAGTTTGAGACCAGCCTGAGCAAGAGTGAGACCCTACTAGAAATGGAAAAAATTAGCCAGACGTGGTGGGGTGCACCTGTAGTCCCAGCTCCTTGGGAGGTTGAGGCAGGAGGATCACATGAGCCCAGGAATTTGAGGTTGCTGTGAGCTAGGCTGACACCCCAATACTCTAGTCTGGGCAAAAGAGTGAGACTCTGTCTCAAAATTAAATAAAATAAAATGTACCTCTAGGCTGGGTGCAGTGATACATGTCTGTAAACCCTGCTACTAGGGAGGCTAAGGCAGGAGGATCGCTTGAGGCTAGGAGTTCGAGACAAGCCTGGGCAACGCAAGTGAGACTGCCATCCAAAAAATAAAGTAAGATAAAATAAAATAAAATAAATAAAATATACCTCTGGCACAAAGCCCTGCTTGAGTCCTTCAGCAAGATACAATCTTCCCTCTCCTGCCCTGCCTCACACCTCAACCCTTATATTTCTGCCCTGTATTGTGACTGTATACTTGCCTTTCCCCCATTCAGTGTAAGATCCTGAGGAGCTCATCTCTGCATTCTCTTCAGCACTAGCATAGCATCTAGGACATTCATAGTCCTCAGTAAATAACTGCTTATAAGGATAGAAGTTCTAGAGTCAGGTAGGCCAGAGTTCAGATTCTTGTCCTGCTACTTATTCATTGTGTGCCTTTGTGGAAATTTCCAAACCACTCTAAGCCTTACTTCATGTGAAAAATAGGGTATCAAGACCTAGCTTATAGTTTTGTGATGACTGGATGGAATAATGTGTTTTATCCTACTGTCTAGCCCATAATAATGCTTGATCAATGGTAGTTAACAGAATTGGCTCTGGCCATCGGTGAAAAGTCTGGAGAATCAAAGGAATGGGTTGAAAAGGCAACTTTAATTTCAGGGAGCAAGACTATCTATTTACAGGATACATATGGAGTTTTGCCCCCCTTTTCCTCTCTCCATTTTCTTCTCTCCTTTAATCTTTTCATTTTTGCTATTATCACCACCACCACTTCTAGATCTGGAAAGCAGCATTATACACTTTCCAGTGGCTTCTCCTCCTCCCCATTTTCTTTCTTTCTTTTTTTTTTACTTTTTATTTTATTTTTTTTTAGACAGACTCTCGCTTTGTTGCCCAGGCTAGAGTGAGTGCCATGGCATCAGCCTAGCTCACAGCAACCTCAAACTCCTGGGCTCAAGCGATCCTCCTGTCTCAACCTCCTGAGTAGCTGGGACTACAGGCATGCATGACCATGCCCGGCTAATTTTTTCTATATATATATTAGTTAGCCAATTAATTTCTTTTCTATTTATAGTAGAGGTGGGGTCTTGTTCTTGCTCAGGCTGGTTTCGAACTCCTGAGCTAGAGCAATCTGCCTGCCTCGGCCTCCCAGAGTGCTAGGATTACAGGTGTGAGCCACCACACCCGGCCCCCCTTTTTTTTTGAGACAGAGTCTCATTCTGTTGCCCAGGCTAGAGTGCCGTGGCATCGGCATAGCTCACAGCAACCTCAAACTCCTGGCTCAAGTGATCCTCCCACCTCAGCCTCCTGAGTAGCTGGGACTATAGGCATGTGCCACCATGCCCGGCTAATTTTTTCTATATATGTTAGTTGGCCAATTAATTTTCTTTCTACTTTTAGTAGAGATGGGGTCTCACTCTTGCTCAGGCTGGTTTCGAACTCCTGACCTTGAGCCATTCACCCACCTTGGCCTCCCAGAGTGCTAGGATTATAGGCATGAGCCACCGCGGCCAGCCTCCATTTTCTTTTTTGAGATAAAGTCTCTGTCACCCTAGCTAAAGTGCAGTGGCATTATCATAGCTCACAGCAACCTCAAACTCCTGGGCTCAAGTGACCTTCCTGCCACAGCCTCCCCAGTAGCTGGGACTACAGGCATGTGCCACCATGCCCTGCTAATTTTTTCTATTTTTAGTGGAAACAGGGTCTCACTATTGCTCAGGCTGGTTTCGAACACCTGAGCTCAAGCAATCCTCCCGCCTCAGCCTCCCAGAGTGCTAGGATTTCAGGCATGAGCCACTGCACCCAGCCTCCTCTCCATTTTCTATTTCAGTTCTTTCCTTGGCCAGATTCACAGGTGGGAAGCATGCAGGAAAAATAGTGTAATAAAGACTCTAGGTTGAGACTAGGAGTTCAAGATCAGTCTGGGCAACAGAGTGAGACTTCGTCTCTACAAGAAATGGTTTAAAAATATTGGCTGGGTGTGGTGGCATGTGTGCCTGTGGTCCTAACTACTTGGAAGGCTGAGGCAGGAGGATCCCTTAAGCCCAGGAGTTCAAGGTTGCAGTGAGCCATGATCATGTCACTTCACTCCAGCTTAAAAGAAAGAGTGAGACCCTGTCTCTAAGAATAAATAAATAAGAAGAATCTGATACCATATTTGATGTTTGACTTTTAAGGGCTTTTAAGCTCCACCACTTCCCCTTACCTTCTGTCCAAATTTGGACAAGCTGACAAAGAAAGCTCCAGTGCTCTCTCCTTTGGTGTCAACAGGAGGTTCAAACCATGCAAACACCAGCCCATGTGCAAAAACCTTCACCTCATCCCTATCCTCTAACCACCATAGAAGCTGAGACACTCTCCTTTTCCAGTTCTCAGACATTTTCATACCAGTTTGGCAGCCAGCCCTGCTCTTCCTCAAAAGCCTCATTATGTGAGTAATACACTTATTCATACAATCTTGGTGCATGTGTGGTGCCATCAATTGTGACATTAGAACTAAATTTTGAGTGGTGGGATCCATCACATTACTGGAGGGTGGCCACAACAAATGGAATTGAAAATGCTAGGCCCCTTCATCATTATAGGGACCTAGACAACCGAGGCAGGGATGGATGGAATCACCACCTTTCTCACCCAGGCTAGGGTCCAGTGGCACCACCACATTTCACTGTAGCCTCAACTGATCCTCCTGTTTCAGCCTCCTGAGTAGCTGGGATTACAGGTGTGAGCCACTACACAGCAAAATCACCACCTTTTCACCATTCATTTTCTCTGTTATCCCAGGTACGATTACATTTGAAGGTACTATTTTTGTGGCCATTTGTTATTGGATGATTCTCCTCTACTAATGTGCCAAGACAAGTTTCAAAAATTTTAAAAAGCTTTGTAACTAAAAGGTTCAGGAGTGTTGGCTTATCTTACCTTACGTTTTTTGCTCCTGAGCAACTCTTGCATCCTTTTGGGGTTTGGAAATCTTTTTTTGTCCCAGGTGAAGTACCTTTTGCCCTCAGTGTGCTCTATGTCCAACCACATGACATCATAAGGAATGTCATGTTCATCAAATCCTGCATCCACTGCTTTCACATCCTGCTCATCTTCATAGTTCCAGCGGCACTGGTGGTACCCCAAGGAGAAGAGAGGGGGCATGGCTTGTGTGCCTAAAAGAGGAAGATGACAACTGAGTCAACTGCCACCATAATGATCATTATTTTAATAAACATTTCCCAAATGTCTAGAGGGTACTAAGCACTGAGCTAGGTACTTAGAATGTCAAAGAGAAGAAAGTACAGGCCTTTAAGGAAGTGACAATTTGGCCAAAGAGGCCAGCGTGTAAATAAATTGCTCAGGCCAGCGTGTAAATAAACTGTTCTGTCCTGAGGTATAACTGCTGTGTTAAAGATATCGATTGAGTGTTATCAGAGGTTAATAAATTCTGACTGCATGAGGGTGGAATCTTGAAGGCTTCACAGAATAGGTAACACTTGGTGTAGACCTTGAAGAATAAGTAGGAATATACTAGACAGGAAGAATAGATAGAGTGATCCAGGCACAGGGAATAGAAAAGACACAGAGGCAGAGATGTATATAACAGGCTTAGAGAAAAAGAAATATCCAGGGTGTTACAGTGTGAAAGAGACCAGCAGAAGATGAAACTGTAGAGAGTCAGTTTTTGAAGCATCCTGTGGTTCAGGCTAGGAATTCTGAATCTCACCTTATGAGAAGCCATCAGAACTTTGGTAAGAGGTAACTGTGGCAGACCTATGTTTTAGAAAAATTAAGTCAGGGTACACTGACTTGAAGGGAAGAGACTGAAGTCAAGAAGAATTGTCAGGAAATTATTATCAAAATGTTTACTGAAAACATGAAGGACTTCTGGTCAACCACTTGCATTTACCTTTTTCCCCTCCTAAAATAAAGTCCCACTAAAATCAGAGTCAAGAAAAGAAAAAAGGGCCGGGCAAGGTGGCTCACGCCTGTAATCCTAGCACTCTGAGGGGCCGAGGTGGGCGGACTGCTCGAGGTCAGGAGTTCAAAACCAGCCTGAGCAAGAGCGAGACCCCATCTCTACTATAAATAGAAAGAAATTAATTGGCCAACTAACATATATAGAAAAAATTAGCCAGGCATGGTGGTGCATGCCTGTAGTCCCAGCCACTCGGAAGGCTGAGGCAGTAGGATTGCTTGAGCTCAAGAGAATGAGGTTGCTGTGAGCTAGGCTGATGCCAGGGCACTCACTCTAGCCTGGGCAACAAAAGCGAGACTCTGTCTCCAAAAAAAAAAGGAAGAAGAAGAAAAAGAAAAAAGGAATAAAATCACAAAAATAAAGAGAATGGGAGAGAAGTAATTTCAACAAAAAATATGGAAGGTAGCAGGTGGGAGAGGGAGTGGTCACTACTGAGCAAAGCCAGGGATTTCATATTTTTTTGGATTTTGGAATATTTGTATTTACTTAATGGTTGAACCTCAGTCTTTTTCTCTTAAGGCTTTCAGCTGATTAGATGAGGCCCACTTACATAATGGAGAGTGATCTGTTTTACTCAAAGTCAACTGATTTAAATGTTAATCACATCTGAAAATAACTTCACAGTGACACCAGTGACTGGTGTTTAATTAAATATCTGGTCACCATGATCTAGCTAAAACACAGAATTAATTATCACACTGGGTCACATGGTAATTCCAAGTTTAACTTTTTTAGGAATGCCAAACTGTGTCCACAGTGGCTGAACCATTTTATATTTCTACAAGTAATGTATGAGGTTCTAATTTCTCCACATCTCAACATTTATTTCCATTTTTATGATTTAGCTATCCTAGTGGGTGTGAAGTAGCATCTTACTGTGGTTTTGATTTGCATTTTCTTAATGAATAATGATGTTGAGAATCTTTTCATGAACTTGTTGTCCATTTATATATATTCTTTGGAGAAATATCTATTCAAGTGCTTGCCCGTTTTAGAATTGGGCTGCATCATTTTGTTTTATTTTTTGGGAAAGATTTTTTTCCCATTTCCAGTCTTATAAAATAGACACAGATTTGCTTAGGATAAAGCTGATTTTAAGAGCACACAAAAGTCGAGGACAAAGGATAGGATTAAATTTAGCAATCCAGAGTGATGAAGAGTAAAAGATGAGCAGGTACCTTTGATAGGTGACTATCTAATAGTCAGAGGTTGAAGTCCTTCTATTGCAAAAGCAGGAACAGTTTAGTGCTTGCTACTTAAAATGCTTGGGTAAGTTGTTTATAAATTTTACATAGTGTGCAAAAAATACTAACTTACAGTGATGACACATGGGATAGAGGATATATAATGGAACTAGAAACTGGCATTTCTACATGCAAATACCTGTAAGGTGTGAGTACTGCTTGAAGATGTCAGAAGGTGTAGGTCCTGTCAGCAGAAAAACATCAATGATTCCACTCTCTGACATCCAGTGCACATGAGTTTGAGATCTGACCTTTTGCTTAGCAGCAACTGGACCCATCTGGGTCTGTGTGTACTGGAAAAGGAATGGAATGAAAACATGAGAAATTCCCCTTTAACCTACAACCTACATCCATTCATATGTGAGTTCTTTTAGTAGCTATTACTGACATTAACTGATTACACTGCAAAGCCTTTGGTGGTAGAGAAGTGACCCTACAAAGAAGAGCTATGATCACACTGCAGTGGTTTTGTTTCTCTGTAAGTGTGACGTACAGCCATGATCCACAGCTCACCTCTACTGCAGGCTCTGTATTGATCTCCACTAGTGTTTCCGAGGCATTCAGCCAGAAAATGCCTATAGTCCTCCCTAGTTTGTGGGCCAGGAGATAAGGTATTGAACCATAAATGCCCATTTTGTCATGTATTTTATATCCATAGACATCCAGGTTATAAAGACGGTAAGCATCTCCATCACTGAAACACAAATAAGGGTTATCATTAACTACTATTACAAATATATTATTAATAAATAGCTTCACTCTCCCCTGCAAACACTTAGGTCTCATGCATCTTTCAAGGCTCAACTCTTGCCACTTCCATAAAGATTTCCTGACCCAACGTGGGTGAATGTGATTCTCCTCCTTTGATTCCTGCGGCACCCCTTCCTGAGACAATTGGCATACATGATCTCATCTTAGATATCTTTTCTAAATATCTCTTGTGTGGGGAGGACTATCTCCTATGAATCCTCTATAATACCAAGCACACAGTAAATATCCATTGATGAATTTTTTAAGCACTTCTCTGCAGCTAAAATGAAAGGATAGTGTCTTTTTTTTTTTTTTTTTTTTTTGAGACGGAGTCTCACTCTGTTGGGCTAGAGTGAGTGCCGTGGCGTCAGCCTAGCTCACAGCAACCTCAAACTCCTGGCTCAAGTGATCCTTCTGCCTCAGCCTCCCGAGTAGCTGGGACTACAGGCATGCGCCACCATGCCCGGCTAATTTTTTATATATATATCAGTTGGCCAATTAATTTCTTTCTATTTATAGTAGAGACGGGGTCTCGCTCTTGCTCAGGCTGGTTTTGAACTCCTGACCTTGAGCAATCCGCCCGCCTCGGCCTCCCAAGAGCTAGGATTACAGGCGTGAGCCACAGCGCCCGGCCAGGATAGTGTCTTAATAGACTTCCAGGAAAGACCGTTCCTGGTCTTTCCATAGGGAAAGACCAGGAATGGAACTGGGAGTGGCAAGCACAGAGTTCAGGCTGGTGTTACAGCAGCAGTTTCTGGCAGACTTGTCACTATGCCCACCTGTTGAGTAAATGGCACCTGAACCTGGCAACCTTCATTAGACTCTAATTTTCTTTGGTTTTGTTTCCTTTTGGTCTGATGCCTCTGGCAACTACTTGTCAATAGTATTAGCCTGAAATGATCTTCCTGGGGGAATCAAAAGTGATATGAGATACCACACTTTTCTGTTCTCTGGCTTGCTGTCTCCTTTCAGTAAAAGCCTTTTTCTAGGTCAGTGATTTTTCACAGTATATTTTCCCAGGGTTCTGCAAAAAAGGTGAAAGTAAAACCCAGTGATAAAGATCTCTCCCAAAGGCAGAGTGTTAAAAAAAAAAAAAAAAAAAAAAAAAAAAGATCTCTCCCTACTTTGATCACAGCAGCTCCATAATTTTACGTCAGCTATACTTTTAGGTTCAATATTACAGTTTGTATAATTGTCTAATTTTAACAAAAAATAAAAAAAAAATTGAAAGCTATTGCTCTGGGTGATCTTCAAGGAAGGTTCTTAAAGATCCATAAGCAATATCAAGGAGGAAAAGGCTTGGCACACATTAGCATTGGCTCAGACATCTCACAAAAGTTCTTTTCAATCCAGAAACTAGAGCCTCCTGTGAAAATTGTTGTTTTCACTTACCCGGTATTTTTGAGTTGGTGTGATTCTGCATGTTGTGGGATCCCATATAGATGCTCAAATCCATGCAAGGAGAAATCCAAACCAATGGAGGTTGGACCTGCAGAGACCAGGATACTGACTGAGTTTTGCTTCTCAATGGGATAATTAAGGAGATCAGTTAACTATGAGTGTAGCAAGATGACTAAACTAGGAGTCCAGAGACCTGAGCTTGCTCTGATCAGCAAATGCTGTGTACTGACTCTGTAAGATGGTATATTTAGGTATTGTAGGGATAAAAAACAGCAAATGCTGTGTACTGACTCTGTAAGGTGGTATATTCAGATATTGTGGGGATACCAAAATGTATAAGGCAAAGTTCTGTTCACTTATTAGTTATATTGCCTTAGTTGTATGCTGAAGCTCTCTGTGTCCTCATTTATAGTAAATCTCTTTTCTACCTGTAAAATATGGTTATAAGTGTTAGAATTTTCCCTAATCAAAACATTGCTAAAATATATTGCATATATCTTTGCTTTAGGAAGCAAAGGACACTGAGCACTTTTAATCTGTGCAAGATGAATGACTGAGTGTCTCCCACCTGATCAGTTCTTACTGCCAGCCTTGTCTGTGACTCTCTACAGGGAACACAATGGCAGGGGCACCAGTAGGGCCTTACCTGACTCCCCAAAATACTTCTTCCCTGTGATTGATTGTAGGTATATAAATTTCCTTTAACCAAAGACAAAGTCCTTTATTAACAATTATCTTAGGGAACTTTCCAGAACACTTGGTGAGAGGTGGAGGAGCAGCGGCTGCCCAAGCTGCGCATAGCTACATGCTCCTTCCCACTCCTCCATGTCGGCCCGCTCATCGGCTATAGAAAATGGTGAAAGAAACCACTTACTATAATATATATAGAAAAAATTAGCCAAGCATGGTGGTGCATGCCTGTAGTCCCAGCTACTTGGGAGGCTGAGGCAGCAGGATTGCTTGAGCCCAGGAGTTTGAGGGTGCTGTGAGCTAGGCTGATGCCACGGTACTCACTCTAGCCTGGGCAACAAAGCAAGACTCTGTCTCAAAAAAAAAGAAACCACTTACTATGATGTTTTGGGGGTCAAATGCAATGCCACTCACGAAGAATTGAAAAAGGCTTATAGGAAACTGGCCATGAAGTACCACCCTGATAAAAATCCAAATGAAGGAGAGAAGTTTAAACAGATTTCTCAAGCTTACGAAGTTCTCTCTGATGCAAAGAAAAGGGAACTATATGACAAAAGAGGAGAACAGGCAATTAAAGAGAGTGGAGCCGGTGGTGGTTTTGGCTCCCCCATGGACATCTTTGGTATGTTTTTTGGAGGAAGAGGAAGGATGCAAAGAGAAAGTAGAGGTAAAAATGTTGTACATCAGCTCTCAGTAACTTAGAAGATTTATATAATGGTGCAACAAGAAAAACTGGCTCTGCAAAAGAATGTGATTTATGACAAATGTGAAGGCTGAGGTGGTAAGAAAGGAGCAGTAGAGTGCTGTCCCAATTGCCGAGGTACTGGAATGCAAATAAGAATTCATCAGATAGGACCTGGAATGGTTCAGCAAATTCAGTCAGTGTGCATGGAGTGCCAGGGCCATGGGGAACGGATCAGTCCTAAAGACAGATGTAAAAGTTCCAATGGAAGAAAGATAGTTCAAGAAAAGAAGATTCTAGAAGCTCATATCGACAAAGGCATGAAAGATGGCCAGAAGATAACATTCCATGTTGAAGGAGACCAAGAACCAGGACTAGAGCCAGGAGATATTATCATTGTGTTAGATCAGAAGGACCATGCTTTTCATGTGTATGGACATACAGCTGGTTGAAGCATTATGTGGCTTCCAAAAGCCAATATCTACTCAGGACAACTGAACCATAGTCATCACCTCCCATCCAGGTCAAATTGTCAAGCATGGAGATATCAAGTATGTGCTAAATGAAGGCATGCCAATTTATCATAGACCATATGAAAAGGGTTGCCTAATCATCGAATTGAAGGTAAATTTTCCTGAAAATGTCTTTCTTTCTCCTGATAAACTGTCTTTGTTTGAAAAACTCCTACCTGAGAGGAAGGAAGTAGAAGAGACTGATAAAATGGATCAAGTAGAACTCGAGGACTTTGATCCAAATTAAGAGAGACGGCACCATTACAATGGAGAAGCATATGAGGGTGATGAACATTATCCCAGAGGTGGTGTTCAGTGTCAAACCTCTTAATGAGGCCAGTGAATGACACTCACTGCTGACATTTAATATGCAGTAGTGAATGACTGAAGGACTATAATCATAATACGCTCACTACTTGCTATTGTTTTTCTTATAATATTCAACTATAGTAGTGTTTTAAAAGTTAAATGAATAAACACAATTATAAAAGCTGAAAACAAAACAAAACAATTATTTTAGAGATATGGGAAAAATGCAAATAATTAGGAGACGTAATATGGACTTAAACTTATGCTTAGGTTAATGCATTTGACATCAAATGTTCCTGTTTGTAGGAGTTTGTGGAAAAGGGGTGCTACAGAGAAGTTAAAAAAGATTGTGATGATATAGAAAAGAAACCCTGAGAACCTTCCCTACTTATAAATTTCAGGCATTCTGTCAGCCCTGATCATTGAACTATGCTGTAGATATAAAATAGGGTACCAAAGGAGTTAGAGACAATCTGTGATTCTACAGTGTAGGGAGAAGGAAGGAGGAAAGTGAGTGCTTTTTTAATAACATAAGCCCCAAGTATCTGAAAGGCATCTCCTAAAGAGACAAACCTGGCCTCCCTACCTAAGCCCTGTGAGAATCGTCACAGATGGGCATGTGATACCCATGTGAATGATGGGGAGGCCTGGAAATGGTTCAGAACTACTGGCTTGGAATGTTGAAGCTGATGAGCTCTAGAATTCAGTTTCTCATCACTTGACTTTCATAAAAATAGAATGTGGAATTTGTAGCATCTGATCTACTGGATGGTGCAAGCAGTGTGCTGACCTAGGCCGCTCCAGGAGACCACAGGCTCCATGTTGCCTACACTTCTCTTATACTCCCCATAAAAGACAAATAATGAATATTTCTCTGTGGCAATGCATTATTGAAGAAGAGGGGACACAAACCTGAGATTTCTATTCACCTTACTGAAGTCACTTGCTTTAGGTGCCAAAGATCAAGGGATATTTTTTTTCTTTTATTGATTGATTGATTGATTGAAACAGTCTCACTCTATCACCTGGGCTAGAGTGCCGTGGTGTCAGCCTAGATCACAGCAACCTCAAATTCCTGGGCTCAAGCAATCCTCCTGCCTCAGCCTCTCGAGTAGCTGGGACTACAGGCATGTGCCACCATGCCCGGCTAATTTTTCTATATTTTTAGTTGGCAAATGAATTTCTTTCTATTTTTATTAAAGACAGGGTCTCGCTCTTGCTCAGGCTGGTTTCGAACTCCTGGCCTTGAGCAATCTGCCCAGAGTGCTAGGATTAAAGGCGTGAGCCACCACGCCCGGCCTTCAAGGGACTTTTAGATAAAGATTTTTAGCCATTTTGGAATGATCTGTTTTAATACTAATACCAGTTTCAATTTTACCATTAGCTTTGACATCTACAAAATTTCCACATTTCTCCTCCCACAGGCCTAGATCCTCTTGATTTTCCTGTTGGTATAAAAAAAGGAAGCAATGAGTTTATAAATTGCAACAAATCTGGTTACCATAATAGCACATTTTATTTGGATTATTAAAAAACAAAACAGAAAGTTCATCTTTTAAAAGACCAATTTATGATGTTAGCACATGTAACAAATCAAATCTTTGTTCTACATAAATGTCAATAATCCTCCTTATGAACCACAGCTGACATGAGTATACATTTTTATTGTGGTTGTGTTATTATGTTTATATATACACAACATAAAATTTATCATTTAAACCATTTTCAAGTATACAGTTCATTCACATTAAATACATTCACACTGTTGTGCAACCATCATCACCCATCTCCAGAAGTTTATCATCATCCCAAACTGAACCTCCCTACCCATTAAACAATAGCTCCTCATTTTCCCCTTTCCCCATCATGACAACACCCTCTATGAATCTGACTATGAATTTTACATATAAGTGGAATCATGTAGTATTTGTCCTTTTGTGATTGTCTTATTTAACTTAGGATAACGTCTTAAGTTTCATCCATTTTGTAGCATGTGTCAGAATTTTGTTCCACTTTAAGGCTGAATAATATTCCATTGTGTGTGTGTGTGTATACGATGATAGAGGGGAAGACAACAATAAATTGCTGAATCTAGATTACCTGAGAGGTGTCAATTGATGCATCCTCCTTGTTTTCTTTAACAGTTCTGTTATAATAAGAATAAAGTTATTTCACTCAATGGCAAGAATGATAAAATTTTGTTCAATCATAAAGATTTTCATTTCCAACTTTTGAGACTCCATCCTTTAACTTATTAAATATAACATCAGTATAAAAAATAAAATGAAACTTGACTGGGCGAGGTGGCTCGTGCCTGTAATCTCAGCACTCTGGGAGGCTAAGGCAGGAGGATCACTTGAGCTGAGGAGTTTGAGACCAGCCTGAGCAAGAGCAAGACACTGTCTCTACTAAAAATTAGCCGGGCATAGTGTCACACACCGGTAGTCCCAGCTACTCGGGAGCCCAGAGGTTTTAGGTTGCTGTGAGTTAGGTTGATGCCATGGTACTCTAGCCTGGGCAACAGAGTGAGACTCTGTCTCAAAATAAATAAATAAATAAAATAAGATAAAATAAAATTGAAACTTAACAATGAACATTAATCCAATAGCTTGATTTCTTTTATAAAAATAAAGATGTATTTGAATTGTTAACCCTTTTAAAAATACCTTTATCAACTTTTTATTATAAATGTAATAAATGCTCATAATATTTCAAAAAAACATAAATAAACAAGGTAGAACATAGCTCCCCTTACTCAGTGTTACCCTAGTACACAGCAACATAATATACAGTCTTCCCGAGTGAGTATGACAATTCTGTTATATGTGAGTGCTCTTTTCTCCATATTCTTAACACTGGACTTTATCAGTCTTTGCCAATCTAAAATTTTAGAAAAAATAATGCATTTTCATTTGTATTTCTACAATTGATGGAGACTACCTCTTTTTATATTTATTGGCACTTCTACCTCTTTCTCTGTGAATTATTTATTTTTATACATACATTTATTTTTGTCTTCAGTATAAAATATAGCATGCATATGAAGAATATACAATATATATGCAGAGTTTAAAGAATACTAAAGTGAACAACTATTAACTGACCACTGAGCTTAAGCAACAGAAATGACTTGTTTCTTTAAAGTCTCTGTGCCTTTGTATTGAAATACATCTGCCTCCTTATCCCATCCTTCAGAGGTAACTACTTTACTAAATTTTGTGTTAATCATTCCTTTAGTGTCTTTATAGCATTCCCACATATGTATGAATACTAAATAATATATTACTTGAATTTGCTCTTCCTTTATAAAAATTTTTATATAAATAAAAGTATATTATATATATTTTTATGACATGTTTTTTCACTCAATTTTAATTTTTTTGACATTATGTTACTATGTATTGCTACAGTTTGTATCACCCATTTTTTGGTTGCTGTTCTTTTTCTTATTGACTTGTATGAGCTCTTTCTATATTATGTATATTAATTTTTGATTCTTATATATGTTGAAAAATTTTGAGGAGGAAAAAAGAAAAATTTTCCTGGTATGTTGCCTTCTATTTTTTTTTTTAATTTTAAACTTTATTTTTCAGAGCAGTTTTAGGTTCACAGCATAACTGAGCGGACATCTATTAAAATTACAAATGCACAAACCATTTGATCAGCAACTATACTTTTATGACGCTATCCTATGGATATACTTACTTATATGCAAATGACACATAAGCAAGGTTATTCATAAAGTAATTAGTTATAAAACAAGATTAGAAACAAATTTAAAGTCCATCAATATGGACTTTATTCAGTGAATCATGTTGCAATCATACTAGTATAATAGAAACAAGGTAGCTGCTTTAAAGAAATTAGGGCCGGGCGCGGTGGCTCACGCCTATAATCCTAGCCCTCTGGGAGGCTGAGGAGGGCGGATCGCTCAAGGTCAGGAGTTCGAAACCAGCCTAAGCAAGAGCGAGACCCTGTCTCTACTATAAATAGAAAGAAATTAATTGGCCAACTAATATATAATATATATATAGAAAAAAATTGGCCGGGCATGGTGGCACATGCCTGTAGTCCCAGCTACTCGGGAGGCTGAGGCAGTAGGATTGCTTGAGCCCAGGAGTTTGACGTTGCTGTGAGCTAGGTTGATACCACGGCACTCACTCTATCCTGGGCAACAAAGCAAGACTCTGCCTCAAAAAAATAAAAAATAATAAAAAATAAAGAAATTAGGAACTATCACATTGTCAAAAAAAAGTAAGGTGCAAAATAATGTGTAAAGGTGGCACCACTGTGTCAGGAAAGGAAAAGGTAGAATATATGTGCTGTATAGGCATAAATTATCTCTGAAAGAATCCAATCCACAAAATACTGGAAATATTGATTACTTTCAAGGATAGGAACTGGGGAGCTAAATGACAAAGGGTGAGGGAGACTTTTTACTATATACTCCTTTGTACCATGTGCCTATTCTAAATAAATAAATTAATTAAAAAGGACCAACTTAGATATCACCTCTGAATGAAAACAAAACAAAATAATGGGATTTATAAAATAAAAAGGTTTTAAATATAAACACCCTGGGTACACAGGTATTTATTATGTTATTATTAGTATTTTTTAGTACAAAAAAAGTACTTGAAGAATATTCATAAGGCATTAACAAAGTAGGTGGTGGGATTATAGGTATTTTAAATCTTCTTCTTTTTGATATTTTATAACTTGCCTACAATGAACATTAGTTCTGTGATAAGAAAATCAGATGTTTTTAATATTAAAATTTTAAAATAGAAACAACTTAAAACTTATAAAAAAATCACTATATTGGAATAATGATGTTGAATGCTGTCTACATATAGACCATATAATATGTTCACTATTATAATTAAAATAGAAAGAACTATATATTGGAAGATGTAAAAACAATATTGATAAAAATGTAAGAATCTCCTCCTTAGCACCACCTCCCAGTTCACGTGATCCCCCATACAAACAGCTTTGATTAAATGGATGGTCCCAGAAAATTCCTGGACAACTATTAAAGTCTAGGGTAATTCATGTTATTGTAAGTCAGTAAGTGAAATGATGAAAGCATGCTAGCTCATATCAACATTTGTCAAATCAACAGAATGCTTTTTCAGAAGGGTGTGGAAGATAGAGAATGCCACAGCCGCACATAAGACATGTTAAGAGTGTAACATTTGCAAAAATTTGGCAATCATTTTTGTCATAAGTCCTATATGCACCTTCACAGGTGAAAAGACGAAATTTCTCATCACAATTTATAATAAAAAGGCAAACCAATGTTCTATGATGATATGTTTTCTATTTAGGCAATTGGTATTCAGGTTTTCTAAAGGTTGTTACATATCAAGTAATGTGCAGAAATACCTTTGTTTATGAGGAATCTGCAGGTGCTCAAAGTATAATTGGCCCAGGGAATTGATGCTTATCACAACCTCTTCTTCAGACACCAGGTCTACCTTGAATGGGTTTGCTGTGATATGACACTTCAGGTCTCCTTTTCCATCTGCCAATACTAGATTGCCTGCATCCCCTGAGCATGAAATCAGCCTAGAAAACAAAGCAGGAAAAGAAAAATAAATTGCTGTAGGTTTACATGGCTCTATGCAATCTGCAATTCCAAGTAATCAACTAGCAAATCAATATTTATGTGACATAGCATAAATAAGGCAATAGACAACCACTAATGAGAGCGCAGGCTTTGGTGTCAGACAGCTCAGATTGAGCATAACTCTAACCATACACTTTCTAATTTTGGATAACAAAGTTATCCAACCTTTATTGCTCTCAGTTTCCTTATCTGTGAAGTGGCAATAATAAAAGCAACAACAAACAGAATTTTTGGAGAGAATTAAATGAGCTCATGCATGTAAAGCACTTCACACAATGCCTGACCCATAAATAATCCACTCAATAAAAGTTAGCTAGAATCATCATTATTACTTCAATCTGGAAAGTCTAGTAATACTTTGGTGCATTGAATCTAAACATTGCTTTTCTTTCTGATTCCAACAATATCTTCAGAAACTGTGGAAATAACACAGATTGGGTCCATGGTGAGATGGAACCAGGTCAAATTATTATTAATCTATTTATCCCCTAACTCCTATCAGCCTCCAATTTGACATGTTCACTGATAGGATATTTTGGATCTTCAGAAATTATGTAAGCTCAAAGCCAGCACTTAAAATCCCTCAAAGGTCTAAATATTTCCTTTTCTCCAGTGCATAGTCACTCTGATAAATGGTCACAGGACTCTTTTTTTTTTTTTTTTTTTTTGAGACAGAGTCTTGCTTTGTTGCCCAGGCTAGAGTGAGTGCCGTGGCGTCAGCCTAGCTCACAGCAACCTCAAACTCCTGGGCTCGAGCGATCCTTCTGCCTCAGCCTCCCGAGTAGCTGGGACTACAGGCATGCGCCACCATGCCCGGCTAATTTTTATATATATATATCAGTTGGCCAATTAGTTTCTTTCTATTTATAGTAGAGACGGGGTCTCGCTCTTGCTCAGGCTGGTTTTGAACTCCTGACCTTGAGCAATCCGCCCGCCTCGGCCTCCCAGAGACCTAGGATTACAGGCGTGAGCCACCGCGCCCGGCCGGTCACAGGACTCTTTAAGGGAGGTAAGAAGAGATAGTTTATGTTCTTATTATGTCTTTTCAGTTCTTCTCCATGGATTCTAGGCCTCTCTTTCAAACAAAATGCTTGGGATCTGAAAACTAACTCCAGAGTTGGCTGAGAGGCTGTGTCTCACTGTCCATCAAACCTAGATAGAATTCTTTTGATTATTCTATCAAACAGGACTTTAGTCCATCTATTTCAGTCTAATGGACCCAACAGTAAATTGTTCACTGAGCGTTAAACCATTTTAGGTACTACATGGGCACTACTGCATGTAATGGAATTAAGTTCACCTGTCTCTGACAACTAAATGTTGTTACTTTGTCTCTTCTACCTGGAGTCTTGTGAAATCTGAGAGCCCTGTGAAATCTGAGAGCCCCTTTTAATGGCATCATTTTCAACCATTATCTCCAGCCCACAATAGGAAGGCATTTACTACAATGCTTTCCCAGTGTTTCCTCTCCAATGTATTTCTCAATGAAGGGGGTTTCTTCTGGATCCTTTTTAGGAAACAATTAGGGCTAGAATGAGCTGATTGCATATGACAAATCCACTTCAACATCTTTATCTTCCTAATTCTATGCATCGTTTCTTCTACACTGTGCCTAGGAATTTTTGGTATCTCAGCTTCATCCAGAAGAATCCATACCAGAGTTCATATTATAGCTAACCAACTAAGCAAATAATTAGAACTACTCTCAGCTATCCAAGTTAGCATATCGAATCTATATTCTGTGGTACATGTACCTGTGTCAATAAATTTAGCCTGATCTAAAATTAAGTTCCTTTCTTCTCGTCTAGGAATTCCCCAGAAACCATTTTCATGCATATTTCCCAGGTTTTTGCCATTATAATATCTTATAATTCTACAGGCATGCACACCTTCTCCTCCTGGTTTTGACTGTAATTGGCTCTCTGGGCATGTTGGGATCTGACTCTGAGAGTGGGCCTGGAGGCAGTGAAGGATAGTAGGGATGAGGCACAAGGAGCATTCGAATCCCTTTGTAGGGATGTCTTAGGTGAAGTCAATACAAGGTATCCAAGCAAGGCAAGATCAGCTTTAACCTGTTTTTATGGGAGGAGCTGCTTCTGATGGAATGGGAGGCTCAGTGGAGTTTTGAGATTTGGGCATTTAGAATTTCCCAAATCTTCCCAAATGTTGCTATTCAATTTTGAGGAGTCACAGACATGATGAGGTTGTGACTTCAATTTATGGTCTAATTCAGCATGCTGCAGTATCAAACTCTTTATCTTATTTTCAGCTACAAGTACCCTGAAGCGACAAGAGATAGGAGAGTCTCTTAGGATTGTCATAGAAATGTATTAGTTTTCTTTTTGTTTGTTTGTTTTTGAGACAGAGTCTCGCTCTGTTGCCTGGGCTAGAGTGCTGTGGCATCAGCCTAGCTCACAGCAACCTCAAACTCCTGGGCTTAAGTGATCCTCCTACCTCAGCCTCCCAAGTAGCTGGGATTACAGGCACACACCACCATGTCCGGGTAATTTTTTTTATTTTTAGTAGAGATGGAGTCTCACTCTTGTTCAGGCTGGTCTTGAACTCCTGAGCTCAACGGATCCCCATCCTCCTGCCTACGCCTCCCAGAGTGCTAGGATTACAGGGGTAAGCTACCACGCTGGCCCTTATTGGTTTTCTGACAATATCTTGAGCTAAGAATTTAAAGCCCTGAGACTGTTCTTTCAGCTCTTCAGTGAAACTAATAGCAGCTAGGCTACCTCAGAGTTTTTTTTTTTTTGTTTTTTTTTGGAGACAGAGTCTCGCTTTCTTGCCTAGGCTAGAGTGCAATAGCGTCAGCCTAGCTCACAGCAACCTCAGACTCCTGGGCTCAAGCGATCCTCCTGCCTCAGCCTCCCGAGTAGCTGGGACTACAGGCACGAGCCACCATGCCTGGCTGATTTTTTTTATATTATATATATTAGTTGGCCAATTAATTTCTTTCTATTTATAGTAGAGACGGGGTCTTGCTCTTGCTCAGGCTGGTTTTGAACTCCTGACCTTGAGCAATCCGCCTGCCTTGGCCTCCCAGAGTGCTAGGATTACAGGCGTGAGCCACCGCGCCCGGCCTACCTCAGAGTTTTGAACTCTGCATGACAATCATAGTGTGGTATGGCTCTACCACTTGGTCTGCTTTCAATAAGCACTTTATTTTTAGTTGACCACTGGTACTAATTTAAGTAACTTTGTCATGGAACGTCATGGTCTATTACCAGTTGTATTAGTAGAGCTATCAAAACAAAATATCACAGACTGGGTGACTTAAACATCAGATTTCCCCACAATTCTGGAGCCTAGAAGTCTGAGATGAAGGTGTGTTGGCAGGTTTAGTTTCTTATGAGTCCTATATCCTTGGCTTGCAGAAGGCTGCCTTCTCACTGTGTCCTCAACGTAGTTGTCTGTCTGTGTGTGTACCCTAATCTCCTCTTCTTATAAGGACACCAGTCATGATGGATTAGAGCTTACTCAAATGACCCCATTTTAGCTTAATTACTTCTTTAAAGGTCCTATTTCTCTATCTCTAAATATAGTCACATTCTAAGGTATTGGGGGTTGGGCTTCAACATATGAATTTTGGGAGGACACAATAAAATTCAGCCCATAACACTAGTATCCTGTTCTCTTTTGGTAATTAGGTTCTCATTGCCTTTAAATCCAACTAGGTCAGCCAGCCAATCTCATATTCCCATCCTTGAGGGGCTGTTGCTTACACCCACTTCTGACACCAACTACTGTATCAACCAGAGCTCAACTGTAGATAACAGAAACAACTCTGGCTATTTTAAGCAGAAAGCAAATTCCTTAATATAGAGAATTAGTTTCTTATATCATGGGAAGGGCTGAGGTAGTAGGTTCTAAGTTGAGTGTCCAGTAATGAACCCTAGAACAATACTGCATAATTGTATGGCCAGCGGACCTTCTAGCTCAGCCAGAATCAGGAATTTGGGTAATCAGAAGTTACAGTGGCAACTGCTGGGCTTTAGGATCATCTACCTGAGCTGTAATCCAGAGACCAGGACACTATGGCCCTAATTAATGGCCTTAGAGCCACTCTATAGCTGCCAAATCCACAGAAGCAAAATGGGGATCTCAATTCTGAAATCAAGATTTCTATAAGTGCATCTGATTTGTGGAAATAGAATTACATCAGAAATTCTAGCTATAAGGGAGTCAGGGAAATGGAGAAATATAGTTTTAAGCTTTCTAGTTACTGCAGTAGCCAAAGGCCCTCTAGAAAGAAGTTGGAACAGAAACAGAACCAATATACCATATTTACAATACAAAGCTAATATCATTCTGACCCTAAAACATGGCAAAGAAAGCACAGAAAAAGAAAATTCAGACTAATTTTGTTTATGAACACAGATGTAAAAATGCTGAAGGATCTACTAGCAAAGTTAATCTTCCAGGATAGTAAAAAATAATACATTGTGACTAAGTGGTTATATATATGCATTGATACAACTGTCAAACTGCAAAAGCCCTGACAATAGTCTCTTTAATTCCAGTTTCCTAACTCCTTAATTTTTTTTCTTAGAGACAGGGTCTTACTCTGTTGCCAAGGCTGGAGTATGGTGGTATCATCATAGCTTACTGCAGCCTGGAACTCCTGGGCTTAAGTGATTTGCCTCCCAAGGCGCTGGGAGCACAGGCATGTGCCACCACACCCAGCTAATGTTATTCTTTTTTTTCTCTCTCTCTTTCTTTTTTAGTGATAGGGTCTTGCTATGTTGTCCAGGCTGCTTTTGAACTCCTAGGCTCAACTGATCCTCCTGTCTCAGCCTCCTGAGTCAATGGGATTACAGAATAAGTCACTGTGTTCAGCTCAATATAGTGAAAATTAAAGCATCTGGACATGTGTGGTGACTCATGCCTATAATTCCAGTGTTTTGGGAGAACAAGATGGCAGGGTTACTTTGGGCCAAGAGTTTGAAACCAGCCTGGGCAACATAGCAAGACACAAAAAATACAAATAGGGTGGGCGCGGTGGCTCACGCCTGTAATACTAGCACTCTGGGAGGCCAAAGCGGGCAGAGTACTTGAGCTCAGTAGTTCAAAACCAGCCTGAGCAAGAGCGAGACCCTGTCTCTACTAAAAAAATAGAAAGAAATGAGCTGGAAAACTAAAAACATATACAGAAAAAATTAGCAGGAAATAGTGGCACATGCCTGTAGTACCAGCTACTCGGGAGGCTGAGGCAGGAGGATCGCTTGAGCTCAGGAGTTTGCAGTTGCTGTGAGCTAGGCTGATGCCATGGTGCTCTAGCTTGGGCAACAAAACAAGACACTATCTCAAAAAAAAATAAATAAATACAAATAAAAAAATTAGCTGGGGGTGGTAGCAAACACATATAGTCCTATTGCTTGAGCCTAGGAATTCAGAACTGCAGTGAGCTATTATAATGCCACTGTACTCCAGCCTGGGTGACAGAGTGAGGTCCGATCTCTAAAAATGAAAAATAAATAAATGAATAAAAAATTAAAAAGCAAAGCATCTGGCATAATCTTATATTCCCTTAGTTAAATAATAGAAACCAATATGCAAAACTGAGTTGAAATATCCCTGGAAAATGTGATACCTGAAAAAGATTTTTGCAAGTGCTTCAAAAATGCTTTAGTCTCCAAAGATTTTTTTCACCTAGACACTGATTATTAATTTATTTCTGACTCTAAGTAAAATGACATGTTAGACTTCTGAGAATAAACTTAATTAAAAATGAGTAGGTGAGGGAGGCCGAGGCGGGCGGATTGCTCAAGGTCAGGAGTTCGAAACCAGCCTGAGCAAGAGCGAGACCCCGTCTCTACTATAAAATAGAAAGAAATTAATTGGCCAACTGATATATATATAAAAATTAGCCGGGCATGCCTGTAGTCCCAGCTACCCGGGAGGCTGAGGCAGAAGGATCACTCGAGCCCAGGAGTTTGAGGTTGCTGTGAGCTAGGCTGACGCCATGGCACTCACTCTAGCCTGGGCAACAAAGCGAGACTCTGTCTCAAAAAAAAAAAAAAAATGAGTAGGTGTAACTGTATAAATTACTATAAGCATGGGAGTTTGGCTAGTATATTAGATCTCTGGAGCCCTGCTGCTAATTTGAGTTAGTAAATTAAGTAGCTTTTCTTCTATTTGCTCCCGAAGTCTGGCTAAATAATCCAATTTCTTTATGAGAAGGAGAGTAGGTATCAAAGTTCTGCTTCTTCCCATTATCACATGCTGATGAGTCAAATGGTAGATGAAGAAAAAACAGAATATTCATAGAAAATAGATAAACTTATCCCCAAATAACTGAATACTAACTCTGCAAATCACTGTAGCTTTGAAAAGATAAAATAGGAGGCACATACAAAATCTACTATTCAAGGTATGATGAAAGAATACATTGAGGCTGTATCTAAGATATCTTATTCCTTGGCTTACCTTACAGTGCCTGGCTTGCTTGTGACGACATCGGGAACTTCATACCTAGGTTTCAGGGGAGCCTCTTCATTAATTTTAAGCCTGAAAATGTTTCCCTCTAGACCATAAACTTCAGCCAGGAGAGGAACCTGGAAATAGAATCATGAGATTAGCTTTAACAGGTTACTCCAGTGATGGTCAATTCTACACAAATTATAATAATGAGAAAAGTATTTGTATAAATTATGATAGGCAAAACAAATTGGGGAACAATGTCAATAATAAAAAGAAAAAGGTCCCCGGTCTATGTATTAATATGTACTTGCTCAGCCATACCTGTGGTAGCAACAAGAAATACCTTTTATGTGTTCTATGGCTAGGTAAACATATAATTGTCTAAACCAGGATCTTTAGAGTGAAAGGAATCTCTATCAATAATTACATGGGATGACAGGCATAAACTGAAACTGGCCTAGGAAAATCGGGACATATGGCTACTGTATCTATGATAAACTAGAGATATGTTAAGAGTAAGAGTTTGGGTGTTAAAACCAGAGTAACTAGATTCCAGCTTAATGAAAGATGAAGGGTAACAGGCTACAGAAAAGAATAGAGAGTAAAACAATGATCATTGGATTTCTCTTGTGGTGGATGAAATGAGACTTGCTACACTAAAATCAAGCTGGGATTGATTCTTCTACAGCTGGTAACAAGGCCTTGGGGAACTTTTTCAAGAGGCTGGGGAATTTACATAAAACTCTGCCCACAATGGGAGATAGAAACAAAATAGAACTATGAAGAGAATGTAGAATTTGAAAAATAAAACACAAAACAACAAAACTCCAGGAGAATAGAAATGGTTGGATTCAGGTTAAAAAATGAGGCATCTAGATCAGAAAAATATTTTAAGGCAGTGCTTTACAACTGGTGTGCAATGCCACACTGGTCTATTGCAAATTCTTCACGAAGTGTGATGACAAATTTTGGTTACAGCTGGGTACCTGTATTGTTACCATTATGTCTGTTAAATGGAGGTAAGCTGGGTAGGCTTTCTGACATAGTGTAGAAAAGGGACCATGTGGTACAAGTAAGGCATAGGAAGTATGGAGAAATAAGCTAGCACACACACACACAAAAAGATGTTACTGTTACTATGACTTAGCTTCTTGGGAATGTAGAGCAGTCAGGGCAGTTAAACAGTGACATGATACTGAAGAGTAACCAGGTAAATAGTGCTATGGCTGTGGATGCTTTTATAGATACTCTAAGACAGGGTTATGATATAGTAATGATCATACTGTAATTCTTACATGTTTAATGTTCTTTTGCTTGAGTGTCCTATCTGAATGTAACATTTGAAAATGTGTCCAAGTACAAATTAAAGCTGAAATCCTGTTAGATTATATATTCTCTTCCTAGTTAGACATATATTTCTACTGCTCTCTCAAATTCAATTCAGTTAACATTTATTTGGCATCTAATACTGTGATGACTGAACTCTTGGGCAAACTGAAATTTAGAGTAGATGAAAGAGATACAAAGTTAACATAAAGCATTCCAAGATAAGTGCTGAGACAGAAGGACAAGAACAGTGGGAGAATAAGGAAGGGGAATATTAATGACTGCAAGGTGAGGAGTTCTGGGACGTCTCCTTGGAGTAGGAAGGATTTAAGCAGGGCCTTCAGGGATTAGTAGGATTTAGGGTAGGCAAAAATGGGCAAGAACATTGTAAGCAGAGAGCACATAGGTTGTCTGCTTACATATGATTAACAAATCATATCTAGTTATGCACTCAGAGACCTTCCTATTTTTAGTAAAATAGCTTTTTCTTAAATTGTTTTAAACCAAAGACTACTCTGTATGTTCTGTTCTTAAGGCTGTACAGCCCAGGAAAAAAATCTTAATTGTGTATGAAGAGGTAGCAATAATGTTGCTTTCACCGTAATGACTTTATGTATAAATCAGAGTTAAAGCTCCATTTAAATTTTAACTTAACTTAGCTAGCAAAGATTTCCTATAGGGTGGCCTGTTTCAAGGCCAACATCCAGATTCATTCCTATCTCTTATTATCAGCAATATAGCTTTCACGGTCCTAACACAAACTTTCCTTAGACCTTAACATGCATCATCTGCTCCTATGATCTGGCTCATGTAGTTTTTCTCTATCAGCTTAATTTTTTTTTAAAGGTCAGCAGACTTCTAGAAGTCCAATAAGTAAAGCCACTTGGGTTGAAGATAGCATAGAGTGGCTCACTGCTGCCACCTGAGAGTTGAAAGTCTCCTCCTCTCCCTGTATTAAGCCCTGAGGTACCTCCATGGAAACCTCAGGGCTCTATGGATGACAGTTTAAAAGCCACTTCCTTGTGGCTTAACTGCCAGTTCTTGCCTAATTCTTCCACCAAAACCTTGATCTTTCAAAAAGTTTGTACATAAATGTTGTATTCTTCTATCTAAAATATTAAGAATTTCTAGATATTCCTGTTCTTGGGACCTATTTGGATATTTATAAACAAATAATATATAAATAAACTACCAAATCTCTTCCTTCTATTAGTGGTGATTGGAAATAACAATGAAAAAATATTAATACATTAAGAAGATAAATTATAGAAGTTGGATTGCTTAAATTGAGAATTTGGTATTAATCCTTAGATAAAATGAGTAGTTATGCTCAAACTGCTGCCAGACCAATTTATGTAAAATAAATGAACAAACACACACCTAAACATTTTAAATGGACATTTAAAATGAGGTGAGACAGCATGTATTTTGCTCCCTTAGAAATATTTAAGATGAGCTAGGGCACGGTAACACACGTGGTAATCCTAGCTACTGGTAGGGGGAGGGGGGTGGGGTGGGAAGAGAGCTTGAGCCCAGGAGTTTGAAGCTATAGTATATGATGATTGTGCCTGTGAACAGCCACTGGACTCAAGCCTGGACAACAAGTCAGACTCTGTCTCTTAAAAAAATTTTTTTGTTAAGATGTGTAAATGTTCACTTAGACGGAGCTTAGATGAATCCTCAGAGAAAGGAATACATTTTAGAAGTTCCTTAGAGTACTACAAGTCTCCACTTGTTTTTTTGCCCACATTTCTCACAGTTTAGAAAAGAGTATTAATTCCTGGCTGGGCGCAGTGGCTCATGCCTGTAATCCTAGCACTCTGGGAGGCCAAGGTGGGCAGATTGCTCGACGTCAGGAGTTCGAAACCAGCCTGAGCAAGAGCGATACCCCCGTCTCTACTATAAATAGAAACAAATTAATTGGTCAACTAATATATATATATATATATATAAAATTAGCCGGGCATGGTGGCGCATGCCTGTAGTCCCAGCTACTCGGGAGGCTGAGGCAGAAGGATTGCTTGAGCCCAGGAGTTTGAGGTTGCAGTGAGCTAGGCTGACGCCACGGCACTCACTCTAAAAAAAAAAAAAAAAAAAAAAAAAAAAAAGAGTATTAATTCCTTTTCCTATCTTATTTCTCCCATACTCAATAATAACAATTAAAACCTGGTAGTATTTTATTGATAAGTCTAGATTTTTAAGGCCACGTGGGCAAAAATATCAGACATTTTGTAAAGATCATGCTGATAGAAATAGCTTTGTCTGCATATTCAAGCAGACGGTTGATCACAAATATTTTAAAAAAGCTTTTTATTCACCCCAAACTGGGATCACAACTAGCATAGACTGTAATAGAATTAACAGAACAGCCCTAGAACACATATTTAAATGGCAGTGGGTATTAAGGGAAATTATGACTCCATCAATTCCTCCTTGATGGGTTGATTTTGTTTTCCTCTGATACCAGGTCTCCCCATTAGGCTATAAAGAAGACTTAACCTAAAAACCCTAGAAAAGTGAGCAACCATCTCCCCCAGCTGTTCATCAGCACCTCCCAGGATCTAGACAATGGTCTAAGAGTTCATTAAATTGCTGGAGGCCACTAATGGTGCCTTCCACAGTTGCAGCCAATCAGTTTATTCCAAGCACTGATTCTCTACAAGAGAACATTGGCAACCTCATGCTTGGCATTGGCATGTTCCCCAACGATAATTAGCCTGTCCAGGTATCTTGCTGACTGTTTAGCCAGTTCCCAAATTAGCTGCCTGTTCCTGGCCATTTTTGCAGAAACAATACTGGATAACAAGTGGTAACTGTGCCTTATCTGCTGAGGAGGTGGCTGGTTGGGCAAAGCCTCATTTTTATCAATCTTTGATGAAGAAGCAAGTGGCAACTTCATGGAGGTGCTCAAAGATATCCCTATACCCTGGATACTGTACCCTGGGATGCTAGCAGTGTTGTCTCTCTGGTGAAACTTGGCAAATAGGCTACAAACAAAAATAAATATATTGCTAAATGGTCATCCATTTTATGAGAAAGCATCAAAATTAGCAACATAAAGTAGCTTGAAGACAAAGGCCTGCTTCAAGGTCTAGCAGTGCTTTTTAGCTAGACTTAAGAGACAGTATACATTTCCCTGTGGTGAGGTCACGTGACCAGATCTTCTCTGTTTCTCAAGCCAGGTCAAATTTTCACTAAAGATAGAAAATTGATAATAGTAGGGGGAAAAAGGAGTTCTAAAAAAGCAGTCAACAATTTCCTGATCACTTTCTTATTAGATTTTCTCTAGGAGCTTCTTTACTAAATATCTACCTGATTATTCTGTCATCATGAATAAGCATTGGGACCCTATATGAGAAAACTTATGGATCTGAACCTGTAATTAGCCTTTCTTCAAAGCCTTGATTGTCCTGACCTTCTGACAGCACATAGGTCAGCACTTCAGCTTGTTCTATAATATATCCATGTTCTAGAAACATCATGTTTGCTATGGATTGAATTATGTCTCACCAAAATTTGCATCTTGAAGTTCAATGTGATGGTATTTGGAGATGGGGCCTTTGAGAGGTAATTAGGTTTAGATGAGGTCACGAGAGTAGAGTCTTCAGGTAGGATTAGTGCCCTTATAAGAAAAGACCAAAGAGGCTGTGCGTGTGCTCGCCCTCTCTCTACCTCTCTCTCTTTCCACCATGTGAGGGCACAGCAAGAAGGTGGCTGTCTACAAACCAGGAAGAGGCCCTTCACCAGACAGTGAATCTGCTGGGACCTTGATCTTGGAATTTTCAGCCTTCAGAACTGTGAAAAATAAACATCTGTTGTTCAAGCCACCCAGTCTACGTTATTTGGTTATGGCAGCCTGAGCAGAGTAAGACAATGCTGAATGAAGCTTAGCTCTACTTCCTGGTTGTTTATTAAGCGGCAGATTGGGGGAAGGGAATTGGGAGGAAGGATTTCAAAAATTAACAACAAATCTTGACAACTCCAAAGTTACCACGTTAAGGATTTTTAAAGGTGTAGAGGCAGGCAGGCAGGCACTAAGCGTGCTGGGTTTGTCAAAATCTGCCTCATCAGTGCAATTTGAGAACTGCAGCTGTGAGCTAAATATGATCCTCTTAGACTCTGGGCTCTCTCTGAACCTGAAATAAAAAACTATCATTCTGAACAAGTGGATGTATGCAGCTTGTTTTAAATTTTTGGACATTTGTGCCATATCCTAATGTGCAATCCCCTTGAAACACCCATCTCATCCCAGAAATAACCTTTAATCAAGGCTCTTTGATTATGCAATGAACTGGATATAAGGTACAGACAACTTTAGAGATTACAGTCCTTACCAGATTGACAGAGGGTGTGGGGAGCGACAAGTGGTGTTTCGGTTCCGGGAACCGAAACAACTTTGAGGCACCAGCGGAAGATGACCTTGATAGAGGAGAGTTCAGAACTGACGCGTGGGACGGAACCGAATTCGGACCTTTGCTGACCAAGGTAGACTGTTATTGAGAGCCCGTGAGCTCCCTGCTTTCGTTACAGGCAGGGCAAAAGGTGCTCTCTGACCATCAAGACAGTACTTCAGAGTCAGACAAAGGGAGAAGGCCGAGAAAGAAGAAAAGGGAGAGAAAGAAGAAAAGGGAGAGAAAGAAGAAAAGGGAGAGAAAGAAAAGAGAAAAGGGAGAGAAAGAAAAAAGGGAGAGAAAGAGACGTAAAGGTACCAAAAATAAAAATGATAGAGGAAACGACGGGACGGAAGACGCAGAGGACAGAGGAGATGGCCTTTTTTCGGTCAGAATTTGGGAAATTGGATATTTCTGAGGATGGTTCCTCTTCTTCCTCTTCTCTTACTTCCTCAAGTTCAGGGGAGGAGGCGAGGGAGGAGCTAGATTCAGAGGAGGAAGCTACTTTGGAGAACATTGTATCTGAGACACCTGCTACTTCACTGCTTAATTGTACATCATCCACTTGTAACTGTACGTTGTGTTGGAATGCCACTTCGCATCCTGTTGCTGTTGCTCGTTTACCCAGATATATTCCTGTTCCTGTAGACGCTCCTAATTCCTTAACATTGTTCAGGACTCGCAGGAACTTTGGAATAACGGCTGCAATTGTTGCAGCTATCGCTACGGCTGCCGCAGCGTCGGCTGTAGCTTTGAGCACAACCCTGCAGACCGCATATGCGCTTAATAACCTGCCAGCCGGCGTAGCTACGGCCCTTGCAACGTGGATTCATCAAGCCACTCAGCACCTGAAAGAGTGGGCTGGCCTTGGGACCATGACCATCTTGCTGGTCGTCACTTCCTTCGGAGGCCTATGGTGTCTCCTTGGGATGCGAGCCCAGAGACGGAGAGACAATGTTATAGTGGCGCAGGCCTTTGCTGCTATGGAACTGGGACTGTCAACACAGGTGTGGTTGACCATGCTTGGCCGGTAGCCTCTGTATGGGTTGCACTTGCCCTCGTTCCTCCTTGTTTTTTAGACATGGCCTTTGCACTCTGAGGGATCTCTCCCATTGCACCAGATAAGGCATGTCTCCAATCCCACAGCCAGCCTTTGCACACCTCGGAGTTTTCCTCATTGCACGAGATAAGGTGGCCGTTGGGTAGATGAGACTCTGCGACTTTGATCTTGGTTGCTCAGTTCTCATTAATTAATAAAACAGGGGGAGATGTGGGGCGCGGTGTTAACGCCATTGCAAGATGGCACCGGCTTCCTGGTCACACCCATACTACAAGACTGATAAACAGGGTGAACCGCGCAGGTGTAGGGGCTTTTCCTGTCTCTCATCAAGTATGCTAATGAGGGCTTTTGCGTGAGCCAATCAGATTCTGCCTAATGAACTTAGTGCCTACATAAGCCCGCTCTGAGAGCTCCTCGGGGTCTTCTGCATGTAACCAGTTAAGCAATCCCCATTAAAGCGCTGTCAGAAGAACTCCAGTTGCCGTGTCTTCCCTGCTGGCGAGGCGGGCGTGACAAGAGTGCATGAAACCTTAAGTCTCTATTAGTTCTCTCAACAACTTATGACAAGGGAGACATTAAGATAGAGTTCAGTCCAGAATTTCCAGGTCATCTCCCAAAATATACGTTTGCATGCATTTGCCTGAGATCAGAGCATGCAGATTCCCTATGTGGCTCTGACATTTCTAATACCTGAACATGGAGTCTGATCCAAGGGGTCCTCAAGGTTCTTAGTCTTGGGAGCTATGTTGCTGACATCCCAGATAATCTGTCATCACTTATTGGGCTCCACAGCTTCCTTCTTGGCCAGGTGCTGCCTTGTGCTGAGATCCCGTAGCTCTTCTGAGACTGTGGCTTCTTGTCCTTTGAAGGCATTCAGATCTGCTGGGTTCCTGGCACCTAACCTGAACAGCATTGTCCCTCACATTTTCAGGATCCAAAAAAGGAAACTGATCCATAGTAGTGTAAAAGGGTATGTGTGGGCATCTACCATTAACTGGTATTGGGCTATGTTGACAAATTTCATTTTGGCCCACCACTGATACTCAGGGTAATTTTGTCTCATTTACTTGCCTCAGCAGGTGTTTTCATGCCAGTGGATTGTTTAGGTGCTCAATATAATAAGCCTCCTCAAGAATGAATATGGATTCTTGCCTTGACCATGAACAACTACAACTCTCTGGGGTTAGGCACAATGGAAACAGGAAGGAAAATGAGAAAATGACAGGAAAAATGAGACAGGAAGACTCCTGACATTTCATAGAAGGCCTAAAGACTTTTGGAAGGCCTCTGGTGGATGCATTGCATTTCCTGGAGCCAACTGTTTCTGCTGACCCTGAATAGAGGAGTTAGGCTGGGTATCAGGCTGTTAGACCACATGCAAAAAGTGGGTGGCTCTCCAGGAAAGAAATTAATGCTGCCTCATTTTTTTCCCATGAACAGCTATCAAACTAGGCTACAAAAGGATATATAATATGGGAGACCTGGATCAGCAGTAGATGATCTATGATTTTGGGAGTACTATGAGCTGAGAACTCAAAGATATCAAAGATGCTAAGCAAGGGGGCATATTCCTCCAGAAAAATGGCTGGTATAAGAATCAGCACTAGGTTTTAGAGAAAGGCTAACTGTCTCATCTGTGTAGCTATGAGAGATGAACTAAGTGTACTGCCACCAGAACTACCATAGACGTTACAGAAGTTGAAGACAAGGGACAGGGAAAGAGAACACAGAACTGTTGATGATCCTAGCCCATGTTTTGAATTTGGGCAAGAAAGTTATGATAGATTATTCCACATCTATGAAATAGCTAAAATCTCTAAAACTTCATAACAATGGGAGCTCTCTGTACAATTGCTCCTTCTGTCTGGGAATAAAGTTGGGACCCCTTTCCAAATTAAAGGCCTTACAAATATTATAGAGAACCCACTGATGTTGTGAGCAGTTTTTGTTTTGTCTGCTCTGATGAGTTTCCTCAGTACAATGCTACAGGGCAGAAGCCATGGTGGTCACAGGAGTTCTCTCACAGCTTTGGTGTGAAAGTCAGCTTCCCAGAACTGGGATTTGTTAGTGAGTTGGTAAAGTTATTATCCAAGCTGTTAGAGGATCCAGACTGCATGGCCTTAACTATGTTTTCAATTATGTCAGATTGGTCTGAGAGGCCTTAGCAACTTCAGATGCTTTTAGATAGAAGATGGGGGAGGATCTGGAAGTGAGTGTCATATTGAGCGCCTCAGGCAGTTGTTCATAGTCACACTTCTTAGCACAGCCCATAGTGCTTTTTTTATGACTGGCCCCTCTGAAGTAGCATGGCAACTTGACAGGTGAGAAAAAGCACTTTAGATATATTGCTCTAATCCTTTCAGTAGAGAAGAACTATGGTGATTTGCCAGAGAAGCACTTCAGGTGATGGAACACCTGTGACTTAAATTTTCAACTGCATAGTCCCTTTGCCTCTCCCCTGTTCCACCTGCATTTTGAAGTTTGGACATTCACTGAATCTGTACCTTCCTCAACTGTGCATTGTGTAATAGTGCTAGAAAGGTTAGAAAGCACACGGGTGTTTGATGGAGTCTGACAGGAGAAATTCTGGTTACTGTGTGACTTTGGGCAAGTGATTTTCTAGATTTCATTTTCCTTATCTGAAAATTGGGGATAGTACAATGTACCTCTTAGTGCATAGTGAAGATTAATTAAAAAGAAATAACATTTGTAAAACATCTAGAAAAACATCTAATACACAGGCAATCTATATGTTGATATTCATATTAATATTAAAGTGTATTGTAGAGATGCGAAAAAGATGACATTCCTTCTCTAACAAAGTTTATTTTTGAAGCATATATAGCTTTAATGAGCTTTTATGGAAATTTACTTCATTTAACTAAAATAAATGCAGAAACAAATTATTCTCTGTAAAAAACACTTCTATCTCACCTTAGTCGCTTCATTGATGATTTTGAACTTGGTAGAGACTTCGCTTGTTGTGATTGAGTCTAGTAATGCCTGATAGGTGGACTTCTTGGAGAGATACTGTTTCTGACGCCTATAGATATGAAGTATAAAGATGCATGAGAATTATTTGTGACTGTCAGTATCCAATATGTTATATTATCATGTGGAAGTCATTAAAACTCACTATAATATTAAGTGATTGGGCACAGACAGTATTAGTACTCTAATAAAGTACTAATAAGAGTACTCTTAGAGTGCTAATAAGATGAGTACTAATAAAAATACTAATGAAATTGTACAACATAACACTGCTCAAAGGATGGTATCTTGTCTTCTTTATTGAGAAGGTGGGACAATTTTCATAGATGACATTTATAAGCTTGTTAATTTCTTTCCCTCTTTCCATGAAATGGACACTTTAGTAGTAACTCAATAAATTCTAGTGGAAATCTCATATAATCTAGTGGTTTAACAAAGTGAACAGACATTCATTGTAGACTACCCTCTAGGCCCCTGTTTAGAATTAAAATGATATTCTTTTCTTCTTCTAGAACAAAGAGTGAATAAATTATAAAGTCATAACATATAATAACATTTTTGATGATTTCAGTTTCAGGATCACATAAAGACATTCAAAAATGAAGATTTTAAAGACATCATTTTTGAGGATCTGGTGAAACAGACAATCTCATACCTGATGGGAATACAAAATGGAACAATTCCTATAGAAGAAAATCTGGCAATATTTAACATATTTCAAATGTATTAACTCTTTGACCCAGTAATCCCACTCCTAGAAATCTATCCTATAAATATACCCACATGTGTAGGAAATGACATATGTTAACATCTAGTGTTATTTTAACAAGATTAAAAACATCCCACAAGGTCTAGCAGTAGCAGACAGACTGCATAAATTATAAATAAATAATTAAAAATAAATTAAATAAACTAATTAAAAATAAATTCCATCTACCTAAATGGAATACTGTACAACTATAAAAAGGGAGGGCAATCTCCACTTACAGAGACAAGATGAGGAATGAAGCAGAAGGAGAAAGGGGTAAGAGTAACACTTTCCAATGTATATACCTTTTTTTAACAGACAGGGTCTCCCTCTGTCACCCAGGCCAGAGTACAGTGGCACAATCATAGCTCACTGTAACTTCAAACTCCTGGGCTCAAGTGGTCTTCTTGCCTTGGCTTTCCAAAGTGCTGAAATTACAAGTGTGAGCCACTGAGCCTGGCCTCAGTGGCCTATACCTTTTTATGTTATTATTATTATTTTAAAAATCACCTATCAGCTGCTTTATATTACTTTTGAGCCATGTAAAAATATTATTTACTCAAAGACATAAAATTTAAAAGTTAGTCTGAAACAATTTTAGCTTTTAAAATAAAATACCTGTTTACTGAAAAATTTAAAATAGTATAGCAGTAAGCACATAAAGTTAAAGGTGAAAGTCTCCTGTCCAATGAATTCCTTAATCATTAAATTTCCTAACTGACCCTTCACTTAGAAAGTCTAACATTTTTCAAAAATTTAATAAGCATCAACTTTGAAATAGTCAGAAAAAGTTTGATCTAGATAATATATTTACTTTCCTTACCTGTAGAAAGAAATCTTGCTGCAGTCTTTGAAAATGTTTTTATCCACAGCTTCATCTTCAACACTAAATAAGACATTTTAAGAAACTTATTTTACACAGGGTTTGTGAGTCCAATTTTTATACCTTCTCTTAATTGTGAACAGACAAAATAAACCTTTGGAGTCTATTCTGCAATGGAAAATTGTGTTATAGCCATAATATAGCACAATAGCACATGTGCTGCAGAACAATATCCTTTTGTAAATCATCCAGGGTAAATAACATAACACCAAGTTCTGGGATTACTCTGAAGGCAATGGAAAAAGAGGACTGTCACTTATGAGGAAGGGTTCTTTTAAAATAATGTCTGAAGGCTATGACTGCAACAGTAAAATCTGAAGGAGCAAAACCAAACCAAACCAAACAACACCCACCAAACAAACCAATCAACAAACCAAAACCAACCAACCAACCACAACCTATCCCCCCTATTTATTCAACAAAATGTTTTCAGAATATCCTTACTGGGTGCTGGGCTCTGAGGAAGATATGGACTGTCTAAGCTTTCTGCAAGAGCTTAACGAGCAATCACAATGCAAGCTAACAAAAGTATAACAGAGGTGCAAGGTATTGGTATAAAAACAGAAACAAAGGTGCTTCTAATTTTGGGTATAAAGAGAAAAGAAAAAAGAATAGAAACAGATGTAGAAGAAAAATTTCTTGCTTTTTAAGATGAAGCTGGCAATCTAGGGGCCTATGTTTTTTAAAGCCAAGTTTTAAAACATGAACAAAATGTATATATATTGCTGCTTGAGTACTATATGTATTTAAACTAGCCTCCATTTGATTAAAACAATTATAGGCCATAGGAGAAAAAAACCACATTGGATTTCACACAGAGGTGTAGCTGAATACATCTGTAATCAGCATGTCCATGGTTATGTAGGAAAATATAATTGAACACAAATCTGAAAATATTATGAAAGCCCAGGCAGATATACTTGGCCATAATAAAAAATTGGTTATCTTTCGTTGAACTCAGTCTTTGTCACTGTTTTGAGTGTGCAAAGAGTAATCTGCAGTCTCCTCTTTGAAGAATGAGCTCTGGAAATAATATAGGAAGAGATAAGTATAGCTGAACTTGGAAAGCAACACACTTGATATTGATGTTAGAGTTCTGATCACAACTTTTCCACTGCTAATGTTATTTAACCATCCTGAAAGTATTTTTGATGGGCTATTAATATCAACTAACTCCCTGCAGAATTGAGAAAAAAGTAAAAGTGCACAAATACCGAACATTTAAATAAAAAGTGCAATTACAAAAATCTGTGAAAACTTCAAAGTCAGAAATGTTGCTTTTAGGTACTTTCAGGTACTATCCCTTGCCTCAGTGGGCCTGGGGTCAGTGGCTGCAGGAGCACTGGGCCTTTACCTGATTTCTTCTTTCTCAGCAGCTTCCATGACTCCCCAGGTCTCAGGCCAATGCCCAGGGCGATGTCTTCAATCTCCTCAAGAAGCCAGCACTTCACCACTCTCAAGTTTCTGGGAAAAGGAGTCTCCTCCAGATCCTTATGGAGTGATAGATCTTGACTCCTGCTCCTTGAATTTTTCAGGCCCAAACTAGTTTCTACGATGACTTATTTGGCAAATTTTTCTTGATTATGGGTGGCTGATGAGGAACCTGCTTTTATTAGGAACTGTCTCGTGTATGCAATGAACTCTAGAGGCTAAAAATCAAAAGCGTGAGAACTAGGAAGTACAGAGACAGCCTCTTTGATTGGGGCAAGGCATCTGCAGGTTTATCTCAGTGGCGGTCACGCCACAGATTTTGAAAACTGACCCATTCTCTCCCTATTTTTAGTTTTGAGTGGGAAGTGCCGGCCAGGTCTTTGCTGGAGGCTGATGTCTCTGGCCAGATTCTACTGCAGCATCGTACTTTTCAAGGCTAGAAAGTGACTTTGAAGTCTATTTATTACATCATCCAGTCTAGGAATTGACTGTACTTCACCACCGCCAAATTTCAGCCTTTGCTTAAATACCTCACGAACCAGAGAACTCACTACAAGACTCCATTCGGGCAGCCAGATTTACGGCTTTCCCAGACTTCTGGCCCCAACGTCTGACTTTGAGTTGGAAGGGATGAAGGGCCGGGACGAGCGGAAGGAGAGAACCAAACGCCGCATGAGGTGCTTGCCTGGTCCCTAAACCCGTTAATGGCTGGGAAAGAGAAGACAGAGGCCAGGGTGACATCTGGCAATCACCCTAACCCAGTTGAGCCGCTTACAACTAGACGACGCCTGCGCAGTAGGTCCGGAGCCTCACCACTGACAACAGTCTGAGGGAGGGGCACGGCAAACAAGCCCCGCGAAGTTTCGAGGACCCGGATAATCCCGCCCCCAGAACAGAGCCGGAAGAGGGCGGGGCGAGCCGGAAGAAGGTGAAATGCTTTCAGTAGGCACTCCATGGCTGTGAAGATGGCGGCGGCTGCGTGGCTTCAGGTGTTGCCTGTCATTCTTCTGCTTCTGGGGGCTCAGCCGTCCCCGTTGTCACTTTTCGGTGCAGGACCGGCACCCGTGTCTGCTGCCGACCGGTCGAAGTGGCACATTCCGATACCGTCGGTGAGTGCTCACTTCAGTAGCGACTAAACCCGGAGGAGCAAGGGGTGGGGCTACGGCGGCCCAAGGGGTCCATGAAGGTTCCGCAAAAGTCGCTTCCGAAGGGGTGGGGTTGCCGGGATGGTCTGTGTCGCTGGCTAACAGGGACCCACCTCCCCGGAGCAGAAAGCCACTCAGTGTGGGTAGGCTAGCGGGACTGTCAGAGTCACTTCAGCCACGGAAATGAGTGGCGAAGTGGGTTCTCGTCAGAAAAGTAACAGAACTTTCAGTGCCTGATTTGAGATGTAAACTTGACATACATGCACAGAGTAGTTTATCTTTCAGATTAAATTTCAGAATCCAATGCCCCTGGGTTGAATGAGAGGGACATGTAAATAGGCTTTTTCAGTTCTTCCTTTTTTTTTCCTCTGCACTTTTTTTGTTGTTTCTGGGTAATTCTACTTACAAGATGGTTTTATTTCTTTAAACTTTGAAACGATTAGTCTTTGCTGTGTGATTAGGAAGCATAGGAATTTTAAAAAATGTATTTTAACATGGTAATGGTTAAAATGGAAGAAGTAGTATTCTAAAATCTAATGTGGTAAGGCTAGTCTTTCATTCCACAATCTAAATAGGTTGATGCTTTCTACCACCCCCCGTCCCCCAAACCGCATTTGAGTAAGAGGTATAGTTCCGTCAGTAGACAAAGACCAGGAGGGAGGAAATGCCGAAAAGTATTAGTTAGTACTTTTAAAACTACTAATACATTGGCCTTTTTGTTTCATTTTGCTCTGGTCACTGATTGTAATGCCCAAGTCATATTTAGGCTTTCATATGGCAAGCATTATAGCTTTTATTCATTTGGTGAAGATCTTTATGTTCTCAATTTTAGGTTTTTACTTGTTATTAAAATGGTTAAGTCTTTTTAGATATAAAAATAAAACTGTGGTTGTCTGCTCATTGTTTTTTAAAAAAAATTGGTTATTCTGGACAGTGATCAGTAATAGCAATGAAAGGGTTTTATGTCCTATGAAGATTTAAGTTAAGTTGGGATATTCCAGCAGCCTCCCTTCTAGAGTCTGTGCTTCATGGCCTGTGGGGAAAAAATCGTGTCTCTGTTCTAAGGAGCAAAATCCTGCGTTCGGATATAGTTAAACTTTACCAAAAGAAAGGATGTTGTCTTTTCTTGGTTAAGAAAACTAATTTGAACATTTTATAAATTTAGGTAGTTATATTCTGCCTTGGGAATTAAAGTGATCTAATGCTAATTATCTTTCCTTTATCTTTTCAGGGGAAAAATTATTTTAGTTTTGGAAAGATCCTCTTCAGAAATACCACTATATTCCTGAAATGTGAGTTTTTGAATTTCATGAAGTTTTTGAGTTTTTAAAAAGTTATAGGTAAACTTTTAAATTACCAATTTTCTACCTCTGATGGGCTACTTGCAACCTGTTTTTAAGTTCTAAAATTTAATAGTCAGGTACTATCTAGGTATAAACATATTTAGTGTAACTAAGGTCCTTTCACTGAATAATTTTCAGAAGACTTGTGTGAACTTTGTTTTTCTTTATTATTTTAATTTTTTGGTGGGGACAGTGCAAGGGGCGAGGAGGTGGCACCCACCCACTCCCACCCCCCTGTGAACTTTGTTTTCTTCCTTTGTTTTTCTATTGTTCACCTTACATATATACACACACTATATATGATATATAATACATATGTATATATACTAATATGTATTATATATTAATATATATTCTATATATACTATATTGAGCATATATTCAGTCACATCTCAGTTGAATGACATTTACAGTCATGTGTTGCTTAATGACAGGGATACATTTTGAGAATGTCCTTGGGTGATTTCATCATTATGCAAACATCACAGTATATGTACACAAATCTAGATGATATAGCCTACTACACGTCTAGGCTATATGGTGTTGTGGGCTGTTCCTAGGCTACAAACCTGTACAGCATATTACTATACTGAATTTTGTAGGCATTTGTAACACAGTGGTATTCGTGCATCTAAACATATGTAAACATGGAAAAGATACAGTAAAAACACAGTATTAAAATCTTACAGGATCACCATTGTATATGCAGTCTGTCATTGACGGAAACATGCATCACATGATTGTAATTGCATTGGTTAATTGCCTGCATGGGGTTTTAATCTGTTCTGAGTCATAGAGATACCACTACTTTTACTTTTGTGTGCTTGTTCAATGGTTACTGAAAACACGACCTACGTTTGTTAGACCATTGGCTCTGAATAAATACATTCAGCAGATCTTTTATTTACATAAGGAGTATTTTACCACCTCAGAAAAAGGAAGCTCAGAAATACTGTCACGAAATAGAGATACGTAGAACAAAACCAGTTTGTCTAGTGGGAAAGCCACTGTGTTAAAGAAAAGCTTCCTTTTAGTTCTGAAAGTAGCTTTAATTTAGAGAATGATCATGGGCAGTGTTATTTCAAGATCAGGGATAAAAATCTAGATCATCAATGCATGATTTTGTGCATATTCTTTCCATGAAAGTGCAAAATTTGTAAGTGGACAATTGGATGATTTTATTCTTTCAATTGTTTAGTAAGTAGTTATTAATATTTACTATATGCCAGGCACTGTTTAGACATCAGAGAAGAGAGAGAAAAATTTCCTTCCCTCATCGACCTTACATTCTAGTTGGGGGTGAAGCAGGAAGTAGAATTTCTATGAAGAGTACACTATGTCCATGAAAATATAATCTCCTGACTAATGGCTTACATTTGCTTTAAATTAAATCTACTCTGACATACTGGCCTTTCTTGTGAGATTGGTGTACTAGGTAAGAGTAGCTGTTAGGGATAGCAGGATTTTGTCTTTGGAATAGCCTGACAGCCTGTTTGCTATTTTTATTCTTTTATTAGGTACATACTTTTCCTCACCTGTATTTTTTTTTCTTTTTTTTTTTTTTTTACTACAATGAGGTCATGAATCCTTACCTGTATTTTGATCTAATAGTGTTTTGCCAAGTTAAACAAGCTTCATATTTTAAAAGTGTCTGCATTCCATTGTTTTTGGAGGATTAAGGCTCCTTTAAATTTATATTTTTGTTACTTCTGTGCTTTCTCATATTTGCCAATTGTCTCTGATTTTATTTTTTGTGAGTATGGCATATAGCTTTACATGGAATAGGTGGGACCATTTTCATGGTCTCTTAAATGTCTTCCATGGGGCCAGGCGTAGGGGCCAGGTGTGGGAGGCTGAGGTGGGAGGATCGCTGAAGGTCAGGAGTTTGAGACCAGCCTGAGCAAGAGTGAGACCCCGTCTCTACTAAAAATAGAAAGAAATTAATCGGCTAACTAAAAATACATATAAAAAAAATTAGCTGGACATATTGGCGCATGCCTGTAGTCCCAGCTATTCGGGAGGCTGAGGCAGGAGGATCACTTGAGCCCAGGAGTTGGAGGTTGTTGTGAGCTAGGCTGACACCATGACATTCTAGCCCAAGCAACACAGTGAGACTGTTGTCTCAGAAAAAAATTAAAAAAGTCTTCCGTAAAGTTGTTCTTTTTTTTTTTTTAAACTGATCCACAGTTTTAAAAGGTTAAAGACTGCTTAACTGCTATTTTTTTTCTATGAACAACAATGTTTTTTATCTGAATATCCAGTTCTTTTTGCATATATAATTTCATTACCTTATGTTTGGAGAAGGGATGTCTTTGAGTACGTTGGTTTAGGGCAAGAAATAAATAGGATGTAGGTTAACAGTTTAAGAAGAATGCTTTGTTTGGGAATCATCTTTTATTCACAAAGATTTCTTCTTTTATAGTTGATGGAGAACCTTGTGATCAGTCTTTGAATATAACCTGGTATCTGAAAAGTGCTGATTGTTACAATGAAATCTATAGCTTCAAGGTAAGGAACGTAAAATTACAGACTTTTCTTGTACCTTAGTGGTTGTCTGGTTCTAATCTCTTAATTTTATAGAGGAGAGAATGTCATGTAGCTATGGAGGAGCAGAGCTGATACTAGAATGCATGCTTCCCAATTTGCAAACTAAACTATATCTGCAATTCTCAAACTTTTTAATCTCAGAACTTACATTTTTAAAAATTACTGTGGACTCCAGAAAGCTTTTGCTCATATAGGTTATTATGTTGGAAATTACAACTGAGAAAATAAAAGTATTAATTTAAAGTAGCAATAATAAACTCATTAAATGTTAATATAAATAAAATTTTTGGTGAAAAATAACTATTTTTCCAAAAAAACCCAACCATATAATAGTAGCATTGTTTTGCATTTTTACAGATCTCTTTGATATCTGGTATAACAGAAGATAGCTGGATATCTTCTCCTTCACTCAGTCTGTTACGATATTTTGGTTGAAGTATATGTAGAAAATCTGACCTCTTAGAGATATATAGTTGGGAAAGAAAATGGTATTTTAATAGCCTTTTCAGATAATTGAGGATATTCTTTGATTCTATACCAAAGCTTAACAAGTAGAGTTTCTTAAAGATAGTTGAAATGTGGAATCAAATCATATTAATGAATATTTTTGTACTCTAATACAAAATCTACTGGTGTGTCTTGTACTTTGTATGGATCTTTTATTCTTGCATGATTTTGTAATAAAGATTTTGCTCTTTGGTCATTTAGAAAATATTGGTTGACTAAATTATATATATTTTCTAAATATTAACTTATTTACATTTCACTAAAAATTACATTGTTAATAACCATCCCCTGAGCTCCTCTGTCTCATCAGTAGTTACTTAAGTATTGGAAGCCATTAAGATTATGGTAGCAGATACAAGTTCTTCAGAATTCCAGTTTTTGCTTGAAAGGTCAAATTTTATCATTGTCAATGAATACTGTCAGTTGTCTTCCTTGGAGTGAGAGCTTCTATTGCCCATTTTTGGGGAAATTTCTTATGAATAGTCAAGTCTCAAAAACTGCAGTTTGTTAGTCTTTCTTTCAAGTAAATGTGATATTTATTCCATGAGAAAAGTGATTAGTTCACAAGTCAAAACAGTTGTAAAGTGCTTATCTTAAGACAATCATTTATTATATGTTGAATATCTTCCATTTTGTCACCAAGATTAAAAAAGTCATGTGCTGAAAGTTCCAGATTTAATAACAGTCATAATTTTTACTACTTCATTAAAGATATTCTTACATAAAAGTGGCATTTTTTTTAAGAGTTGGGGTCTTGCTATATTACCCAGGTTAGCCTCAAACTCCTGGGTTCAGGTGATCCTCCTACCTTAGCCTCCAGTAGGCATGAGCCATTGTGCCTGGTTATCTTTTTTTTTTTTTTTTTTTGGCAATGTAGGATTGTGACTGTGAATAGTATGATGACTAGTACCATTAGGTGCCACTACCTGGGTTCCTGTTAAAGGGTAGCACTTTTACCCACCATTGCTTTTGTAATATCAGTGCAAGGCAAATATACTATTATTATGAAGATAGTTTTGGCCACTTAGACCTTGTGAAACAGTTCATCTACTATACTTAGAGAGTTGCCATGGTACACGATACTTGAGCATTAAAAATACATTGTTCTGAGATAAATTTTTCCGGCCTTTTCCATTCTGTTTAGAGCCTTCATTTCAGTTGGCATGATTTTTCTTAAGATTCTCCTATTCTTGAAGTTTCTTCTTTTTCTTTTTCTTTTTTTTTTATTTTAAAGATAAAATGTCTTGCTCTGTTGGCCAGATGTGGAGTATAGTGGCCTCAATTATACCTCCCTGTAAGCTCAAATTCTTGGGCAAAAGTAATCCTCCTGCTTACGCCTCCTGAGTAGCTGTGACTACAGGTGCATGCTACTGTGCCCAGCTAATTTTTAAATTTTTTGTGACGGTGAGGTCTCGTTCTGTTACCCAGGCTGATCTTGAACTCCTGGGCTCAAGTGATCCTCCCACCTCAGCCTCCTAAAGTACTGGGATTATAGGCGTGAGCCACCGAGCCTGACGTTGAAGTTTCTCTACAAAGATAATTTCACTGACCTTTAGAAAACATCCATTGTCCAATTTTTCAGAACTTAAGCAGTTGAATCTCTGCTTAGTATTAAGTTTTTACATTATATTTTTTGCAGTGTTGGTAATTATTTTTGCTTTTTGTTATATACCGTTGGGCAGGGTAGGATTGACATGATGGAGGAACTGAAAAGACTAGAGAATTTAGAGAGAAATAATAACATCTCTAGAATATGGTATGAAATATCATTGATCTTTTTCTCTCAATCACTGATTGAATTTGCAGTAAAAGGTTTATACATTTGAAATTTGGCATAAACTGTTCTAGAGCTTAGGAGATGTCATCTTCATAGGGCAGTGCAAATTAAGAATGTAAAAATTATTTTGGATTGCCACAGGATAAAAGTTTGGAGGTGACAAGCAGATGATTGAAGATGGGGGATTTAGAAAAAAAAGAGGGCAAGATTAAAGATATGAGTATGGGAGAGAAATCACAGAACTGATACGTGAAGCCACAGAAATGATGATTTTTTTTGAGTATCGGCAGTGGGCTGCAAATGGCTGTAGCAGTTTTGTGCTGTGTCTTAGCTTATGAGCATGAGTAAATTTTTTTGTTGATGTTACTAATTTGGTCAAGTAACTCTTTTAAATATATTTTCATGTGACAAAACCCTCTGGAATCTGGCAGTTTCCCAGCCTTCCTAGAATTGTTAGAGCAACTGCCCTGTGTGAGCCAAATACTAGAATTTTGCATTTTAAAGTCTAATAAGGTTAGATTCTTGTATACTATTTATATAGAGTGTTTATCTGATGCAAGTTGCAAACTCAAAATTATATTTGTACTACAGGTGATCTATTTTTTACCCTCTAAATATCTTATTTGTGAAAGGTAAGTTAAACACATTGTATTTTTTCTATTTTTCTAGTCAGAAGAAGTAGAGACATACTTGGAAAAACTTAAGGAAAAAAGAGGCTTGTCTGGGAAATATCAAACGTCATCAAAATTGTTCCAGAACTGCAGTGAACTCTTTAAAACACAGGTAATCTTTGAAAGTGGTTGGAGGAAGATTGAAGAGATAAAAAATGTAATTGTATTTTTGGCCATATCCATTTCTTGCACCGCAGTTATTCCTTCTGGCAGGTATAAGTTGGAAGCATGTTCTAATAGTGCATAGTCAGCCACTTAACATGTCCATCTCATCAAAGAGGGGATGTACCTTCCTTTTTATGTAAAAAGCAAACCTCCAATTTTTTTTTTATTGTGGTAAAATGTACATAACCTAAAATTTACCATTTTAACCATTTTTAAGTGTACAGTTCAATGGCATTAAATACATTTACATTGTTGTGCAGCCTTCAGCCCAGCTCCAGAATTTTCATCATCCCAAACTGAAACTTCATACCCATTAAATAGTAACTTCTCATCACCTCTATGTTCCTGCTAGTTCCTAGTAACCACTGTTCTACTTTCTTTTTTTTTTTTTTAGACTGAATGGGTCTGTGGAACCCACTGTTCTACTTTCTATGAATGTGTCTACTATAGATATCTCATATAAGTAGGATCATACAATTTTTTTCTGAGTACTTTTACTTACCAAAATGTTTTCAAGGTTTATCCATATTGTAACACATATCAAGATTTTATTCCTTTTTAAGGCTGAATAATATTCCATTTTATGCTTATACCACATTTTGTTTATCCATTCATCTGTTGATGGACATTTGAAACCTCAAATTTGTAATTCTCTTGTCACCTCATTTAATTGATATGTTCCCAGAAAAATCAAGGTTTTTAAGTTTTACTGCTATAGATCTACAATCAAAAGTGTATTATCACTGCCTTGTTTTGTGGAAAGAAGAAGATGGGAATAATATATTTTTAATGTTTCCATATATGTAATCATATAAGTGGAGATTCTGATATGATATTCTTTTATCTTAGAAATAGGATCTAATACCAACTTTTTTTTTTTTTTTTGAGACAGAGTTTCACTCTGTTGCCCAGGCTAGAGTGAGTGCCATGGCGTCAGCCTAGCTCACAGCAACCTCAGTCTCCTGGGCTCAAGCAATCCTTCTGCCTCAGCCTCCCGAGTAGCTGGGACTACAGGCATGCGCCACTATGTCCGGCTGATTTTTTCCATATATATTAGTTGGCCAATTAATTTCTTTGTATTTATAGTAGAGACTGGCTCTTGCTCAGGCTGGTTTTGAACTCCTGACCTGGAGCAATCCGCCCGCCTCGGCCTCCCAGAGTGCTAGGATTACAGGCGTGAGCCACCGCGCCCGGCCTAATACCAACTTTTGATAGAAAAATTTTAGAGGGTTGAAAATAGTATTATAACATAACCTTTACTTTATCCTTCTTGCATTTAAAAATTACTGTGGAATATTTAGCAAGTTGCCGTGAACTGGCAAGGAGTCCACTGGTCAGTTACTAGAAGTAAAGTTTATTGATAAGAAGATTTTAATAATTGGTAGTTGATAAGCAGATGAAGTAATTGATAATAGGATTATAAGGGTTCATTTCTTGGAGGGAAAAGAAAATAGCTTTAAAATGGTGGACGAAAGCAGGTGTAGTGGCTCATGCCTGTAATCCCAGCTGCTCAGAGGCTGAGGCAGGAGGATCACTTCAGGCCAGAAGTTTGAGATCAGCCTGGGTGATACAACGAGACCTGGTTTCAAGAAAAAAAAAATGATGGAAGAATGGCAGAAAGAGAAAGCTAGAAACAATGTGATTTTGAGCATTTTGTATGTTTTCTGATGGTTCTCCACATTTTCCCTCAGGCTGATAGAATTGGTTGTTCTTTCTCAGATTTGGTTATGGAAAGCTACTTTGTGTCCTGTTGCTCGAGGTTGACTCCTTTTAGATCTGCTATAGCCTTTCCAGGATCTTGGCATAGACTTCTGTTGGTAAAGTTTGCTTTTCTTCTCCAATCTAATGTAATAGAGTTGAATTATACAGTCTAATCACTCAGGAAGAAGAATGGCTCATCTACTGATAACCTGGTAAGATAGGTAATTACTGTGGTTTTTTTTTTTTTTTTTTACAGGCTTGGAATGTTATGTGGAAGGAACAGTGGACCTAAGTCAAGGATCTTAGGTTCAAATCCTATTTTTTCATCTAAAGCTTTATAGCTTTGACCTGCATTTTCCTCATCTGTAGAATGAGGGGCAGTTATCCAAGATCCTTCTATTAGAAAGCATATATACTATATCAAAGGCTTTGTCGTTCTTAAATGTTTATTATTCTTATAAAAAATTGAGTGGCCGATTTGGTTTGATCTATTTTAGTTCTTAGTAGGGTTTTATTCACTTGTTTGTAGTTGATTAGAAATCTTTTTTTTTTTTTTTTTTTGGAGACAGGCTCTCTGTTGCCTAGGTTCGAGTGCAGTGGCGTCGTCATAGCTGACTGCAGCCTCAAACTCCTGGGCTCAAGCAAAATCCTCCTGCTTCAGCCTCCCAAGTAGCTAAGACTATAGATGTGTGCCACCATGCCTGGCTAATTTTTTATTTTTTGTAGAGTTGGGTGGGAGGGTCTTGTTATGTTGCCTAGGCTGATGTTGAACTCATGGCCTCAAGCAGTCCTTCCCCCTCGGCCTTCCAAAGTACTGAAATTACAGATGTGAGCTACTGCGCCCAGCCTGGAAAACTTTTGTTTGCTATACTATATTATTATATTTGCTGTTACAGTGCTGCGTGTTAACCATTTCTGGGTATTTTGAGCTATACTTTTCTTTTACCATTTATGCATCTTTAATTTTTAGTTTTACGTTTCTTTTATAGAGCTTTTCTGGGGATTTTGTGCATCGACTGCCTCTTTTAGGAGAAAAGCAAGAGGTAATTTTTATTCTTATATATTTCTGAGGGTAAAGTAAAAATTCTGGTGGCTCAGGAGCTTTATCTCCGGGGAGGGAGCACTGCGTTGGGTAGTCGGTGGAGGTGGCAGCTGGAGGAACATTAGAGATTAAAAAAAAGTTCTGAATTTTCTTTTTTTTAATGTTTAAAGGCTAAGGAGAATGGAACAAATCTTACCTTTATTGGAGACAAAACTGTAAGTGTATTTGGGAATTGGGGACATTGAACACATATTTTAGTTTTTTTACATTCATGTATTTTTGAATTGTTTTTCGGTATGCTAACATTTAAAAAGAAAGTTAAGACTGGAAGCTATACACCAAAATGTTAAAAATAGTTGTCTCTGGATATCATGAGTGATTTTTATTTTCTTTGTGTTTTTTCTATTTTCTACAATAAACTTAAATTGCTATGGTCCCCTCACGTAAATATTTGTAAACAGGAAGAAACTTATTAAAAACCTTAAACTCCATTTGAAATTATCTATGATAGAATACAATTGGAAGAGTTTGGAAAATTGAAATAAGATCAAAAACTATAAATATGCTTTACATTTTCATAATTACACATTAAATGGATGCTTATTTCACTTTCTATTTCATAATAACTAATTCCTCAAAACTTTAGTGGGTCATGTTTTTTTACAAAGCTGGTTAAAGTTTTTATATTAAGACATAATGTGCATATCACAAAATATACTTTTTTTGAAACATACAAATTAGTGGTTTTTGGTATATTCACAAGTTGTGCAACTACTGTCCAATTCCAGAAACTCTTCAACACCATGTGCATATCACAAAATATACTTTTTTTGAAGCATACAAATTAGTGGTTTTTGGTATATTCACAAGTTGTGCAACCACTGTCTAATTCCAGAAACTCTTCAACACCACAAAAAGTAACCCCATACTCATTATCAGTCACTCCCCATTTCTGGCTTCCCTTAGCCTCTGGGAATCACTAATCTTTCTGTCTTTATGGATTTTCCTCATCTGGACATTTTATGTAACTGGAATCATATAACACATGGTCTTGTGTTCAGACTCTTTCATAGTTTGCAACTCTGTCTTAACCTTTACTTCCTGCTGCCACAGAGCCTTATGATCAGCCAGAGGTGAATGATTACGGCCATCTAAGGTCTCTCCTGGGCCCGTGCACAGCTCAGGGCATGTGTACATAGCCATGCACATACTTGTAGCCTTTCTAGATTTCCAGTAATATTTTGGGCATTTTCAAAGTTTCTGTAGACATCTCATTCTCCAGTTTTTCCTTTTATGTTTTTGGTCAGCCTTTTGGTAGTTTCAGCTGTTAATGTTGACTCAGGCAGCCATGGTGATCTGCTGAGTGTTTTTGACAAATGCCCTGAGTACAGGGTAGTTGACACTGAGTGATCTCTGAGTCAGGTCAAATAAAGACAAACTCTGAGAATGGGGATTTTCAGCAATCTGCCAGACAGCTCTGGCAACTGGTCTTTTAGGGACCTCGAAACCTGTGTTTTTTTTTGTTTGTTTGTTTGTGTTTTTTTTAGTGTCTTATTATATGAATTTGTATTTGCAATATTGCAATTTGTTAAATTCTCTATTGAACATTTATGAGTTTCCTTATCTTGTAATTTTAAACAGTGTTTTGATGAATGTTCTTGTAGTAGGTACATTTGTTTTTAAATCTTTATTTTCTGATTTCAAAAGATTTCTATATTGGTAAAAGCTTTTCATTCTATAACTTAAAGTAAAAATTCTTTGTAATTTTGATTTCTAGTAGTTTTAGCAGTTTGGAGTGTTTTCATAGAGCACATGCATATTAACCAAAATGAGATCATATTATTTATACCACTGTGTAATATTTTCTTTTCACTAACAAATTCATACATTGAACACTACTTTTTCATGGTTGCCTAATATTCCATTTATCACGATTTTTTAAAATAATCAACTCCCAATTGGTGTACATTGGGTTGTTTCCAGATTTTCACTATTGTGGATAAGATCACATTCATAATGTCTAGATATATCTTTGTGTACATTTATAATGTTTTCTTTAGGCTAAATTACTGGAGGTTGAACCACTGGATCCAAGGGTATGCACAGTTTTAAAATTCTTTTTTTATGCTTTGTCAAAGTGCTCTGCAGAGAACTTGTAGCACTTTATGGTCCCAAGAAAGTGAGAGTGAGTTTCCATCTTTTTCCACAAACATTGGCTATTACTATTTAAAACAGATTATATGCAGTTTGTGTAGTTAAGCAGTAATTTATTATTGTAAATTGTATTTTAAAAGTTATTGGTGAAGGTGAATGTTCATTTATATGCATACTGGCTGTATTTTTGCTTTCTTTAGTTGTTATCTGTGCATAGCATATGTTGAGTTCTACTCAAGGCATGAGCCTTGTTCCTAGTGATTAAAGGTGGCTGAAAGATGACCTATTGAATATCAAAAGTAATAAATTAGGAATACTTAGTATTGGCCAACAAACATATGAAAAAATGCTCAACGTCTCTAATCATCAGGGAAATGCAAATCAAAACCACAATGAGATATCACTTCAGTGAGAATGGCTTTGATCAAAAAGTCCCAATACAACAAATGTTGTGGATGCAGAGAGACAGAACACTCTTACACTGCTGGTGGGACTGCAAACTAGTACAACCTTTATGGAAATTAATACGGAGATACCTCAAAGAAATGAATGTGGAACTACCATTTGATCCAGCAATTCTACTACTGGGTATTTACCCAAAGGAAAAAAGACATTCTATAAAAAAGACATCTGCACTCAGGTATTCATAGCAGCACAATTCATAATTGCAAAGGTGTGGAAACCACCCAAGTGTCCCTCAATACATGAGTAGACTAATAAAATGTGGTATATGTATACCATGGAGTACTACTCAGCCATAAAAAATGATGAGCTAATACCCCTTATACTATCCTGGATGGAGCTGGAGCCCATTCTTCTAAGCTTATTTTTCCATAAGAATGGAAAAATATTTTTCCATTCTTATGGAAAAATAAGCACCACATGTACTCACCATTAAATTGGTACTAATTGATCTACGCTTATGTGCACATATGGACATAACATTCATAGGGCATCGGGAAGGTAAGAGGGGAGAGGAGGGGATGATAAATTTACACTTAATGGGTACAGTGTGTGATACCTGGGGGTTGGGCATGCTTGTAACTCTGACTTGGGCAGTGGAAGGGCAATATATGTAACCAAAGTGTTCGTACCCCCATAATATTCTGAAATATAAAACAAAGAAATAGTATATAGTCAAAAGAAGTCAAAGAATTACCTGTTTTTGATTTTCTTCCTGTAAATTGGGCCTGAGTCAAATACTTTATAGTCTTATTTAAGGATACTCACCAGTTCAGTACCTCCACTCTCTTTTATTAAAGCTCTGATGAAGCACAGATGTTTGTAGAGGAAAGGTCCTCTCTCTGTTACTTCCTCTAAGAAAAGATTGATAAAACAGAACTTTAATATTTCGATTAACTTTTTTTTATTTGATGTAAGTAGTAATTGTGATACATTCACACCATTATAAGTTTTGCAAAGTCAATAAACTATTTTTTAGAGCAGTTTTAGGTTCACCACAAAATTAAGTACAAAGAGTTTCCCTATACCCCTGTATACTCAGCCTGTCCCATCATTAACAAACTGCATCACTGTGGTACACTTGTTAAAATTGGTCAACCCACATTGGCACATCGTTATCAACTAAAGTACGTACTTTACATTAGGGTTCACTCATGGGTTTTGACAAATGTAAACCTTTTTTTTTTGAGACACAGTCTTTTTTTTTTTTTGAGACAGAGTCTCGCTTTGTTGCCCAGGCTAGAGTGAGTGCCCTGGTGTCAGCCTAGCTCACAGCAACCTCAAACTCCTGGGCTCAATTGATCCTCCTGCCTCAGCCTCCGGAGTAGCTGGGACTACAGGCATGTGCCACCATGCCCGGCTAATTTTTTCTATATATGTATATATATATATATATATATGTGTATATATATATATATATATATATTAGTTGGCCAATTAATTTCTTCCTATTTATAGTAGAGACGGGGTCTCCCTCTTCCTCAGGCTGGTTTCGAACTCCTGACCTCGAGCAATTCATCCGCCTTGGCCTCCCAGAGTACTAGGATTATAGGTGTGAGCCACCGTGCCCGGCCGAGACACAGTCTTGCTCTGTTGCCCAGGCTAGAGTGCCTTAGTGTTAGCCTAGCTCACAGCAACCTCAAACTCCTGGGCTCAATTGATCCTCCTGCCTCAGTCTCCCAAGTAGCTGGGACTACAGGCATGTGCCACCATGCCCAGCTAATTTTTCTATTTTTAGTAGAGATGGGGTCTCGCTCTTGCTCAGGCTGGTCTCAAACCCCTGAGCTCAAGCAATCCTCCCGCCTTGGCCTCCCAGAGTGCTAGGATTACAGGCATGAGCCACCATGCCCAGCTGACAAATGTTGACATTTCCACCATTATACTATACAGAATAGTTTCAGTGCCCTAAAAATCTTCTGTTCTCTGACTGTTCATCGCTCACTTTACCCTAAACTCCTAGTAATCACTGATCTTACTGTCTCCATAGTTTTACCCTTTCCAGAGTGTCATATAGTGGGAATCAGACAAATGCATAGTCTTTTCAGATTGTCTTCTTTCACTTAGTAATATGCACTTAAGTTTCCTCCATATCTTCTGGTGGCTAGATAGCTCATTTCTTTTTAGTGCTAATCATCCATTGTCTGGATATATCAATTTACATTCTCCTATTGAAGGACGTCTTGGTTGTTTCAAGTTATAGCAGTTGTGAATACAGCTGCTGTAGACATTTGTGTGCAGGCTTTTATATGGATGTAAGTTTTCATTTCCTTTGGGTGAATACCAAGGAGCTTGATTGCTGGATTATATGGTAAGAATATGTTTAGTTTTGTAACCGTTGAGAGTGTCAGTAACTAGATTACCACATGCAGCTTTAATTACCTTATCTTACTGATGGGATTAGAAAATTTGTGTTGAAGAAGACTTATAATTTTGAGGCATTATCAAGAAGACACTAGGAAGCAATGGTAGACATGGAGGGTTAAAAAAAGAAGACAGTGTTTTAAAAATTGTTCTGTTAAAAAGGAGGAAATAATTAGTAGTTATGGTGGTAGTTAAGAACACTGGGCTCTGGGGTCAGATGTTCTAGATTTCAAAGTCCAACTCTACAACTTAAAACTTCCCTTGGAAAAATTAGTTATTTTCTTGTGCGTCAGTTTCTTGCATGGTAAAATGGAGCTAATAGGAGTGACATCACCAAGAATTGTGGAGTAGGGAAGTCCAGGTCTCTGTGCCTCCACAAAAGCAACTAATAAGCCGTCTGACACTTAAAATAACAAGGAAAATTTTTACTGATGAACCTGCTGTATTGTATTAAGAAAGTGCACTGGTGTTTTAAATTGTCTATTTACTATCCCCTCTTTCCTAGTTCAGAGGCAGGAAGATGGCAACCAGCAGTCCTGATACAGATTGCTAATGCCAGAGGGACTGATATGAACCTTGTTCTTAAAGACTTGTGGGTGTGTGTTTTGACTTGTCTGGCAGCTCCCTGAAGGACCTGTGCAAAGACTTGCTTTTGTTTTGCCTGACTTGGGAGTGTTTTAGGGCTGTGGTGGCTTCCTGGGTTGTGTTTGTCAAAGCACTTACAGCCAGAAGTACTGGTTGCTTAGGGAAAGGAATAACAGTGGGGATGTGCAATAGATAGACTGTAAAGCCTGGGAAGGAAAAGGTATAGAAAGGACCAATGTGGGATTAAAAGGGCTTTTAAAAGCTCCTTTATATGCTGGAGAATTGAGAAAGCCACGTGCATTCTCAGGACTGGACATGTGCTCAGAAAAGACCTTAGAAAATCCTAAGCATTCATGTTGGCTGATCTTCAGGCTCTGCATAAGCAGAAAGTGAAGACTAAGGAAGGGCTTTACTTGGCCCAGCCAAGTGTTGAAGCATTGCCCCATCTGCAAAGTGGGAGGGTAATTTTTTTTCTTTTTGGCTCCTTTTAAGGAGATCTTTAAGAAGATCTTTGTTAAAACTCTAGCTGACCATTAAGCTAAAGGAACACAGACTTCAGTAGCAGACTTTACAAAAATAGTTTAGAAAAGTCATTAAACAAAACATCAACAACTCACACCAGCAGCTAACAAGTAGAAGGCAGATTCTGGTTTCCAGAGCTACTACATTATGTTATTCAGAATGTTTATTAATAGTTTTCAACAAAAATTATGAGGTATACAAAGAAAGAAGAAAGTATGGCACATTTATAGGATTAAAATAGAAAGTGCCTCTGAGGAAGCCTAAGTATTATTTACCAGGCAAAGACTTTATTTTTTATTTATTTTTTTTTTATTTTTCTTTCTTTTTGCTCAAGAAACTGAAATCTAAAGGCAAAGACTTTAAATGAACTGTCTTAAATATGTTCAGAGCTTAAAAACCCAGAGGTTGTGGCACACACCTGTAGCCCCAGGCTGAGGCAGGAGGATCGCTTAAGCTCAGGCATTTGAGTTCAGCCTTGGCAACATAGCAAGACTCAGTCTTTTTTAAAAAATGAAGAAATTATAAGATGATAAAAAGACTAAGAAAAACAAGAATGAAGAACTAAGGAAACCAGGAAAACATAGAGATAAAAATGTTAAAAAGAATGAAGACAAATGAACAGAGCCTGAGACACCTATGGGACACCACCAAGTATATCAATGTGCACGTAATAGGAATTCCAGAGGGAGGAGAGAGAGAGAAAGGTACGCAAAGAATATTAGAGGAAATAGTGGCCAAAAACTCTACACATTTGATAAAAGCATTAATTTCAAAAAGACTGAGAAGCTCACAAAGCTCAAACTCTAACCAGGGATGAATAAACAATGTTGTATGAAAAAAAAAATGACCAGGCACAGAGGCTCAACACTTGTAATCCTAGCACTTTGGGAGGCCCAGGCGGGAGGATTGCTTGAGCTCAGGAGTTTGAGACCAGTCTGAGCAAGAGCGAGACCGCATCTCTACTAGAAATAGAAAGAAATTAGCCAAACAACTAAAAATAGAAAAATTAGCTGGGCACAGTGGCACGTGCCTGTAGTCCCAGCTACTTAGGAGCTGAGGCAGGAGGATCACTTGAGCCCAGGAGTTTGAGGTTGCTGTGAGCTAGGTTGACGCCACAGCACTCTAGCCCAGGCAACAGAGTGAGACTCTGTCTCAAAAAGACAAAAAAACAAAAAAAAAAAACCAAAAAAAACCCCCCAAAAACAATGTTGTATGTCCATAAAATATAATATCATTCATCCATAAAAATGTAAGTACTGATACATGCAACAGCATGGATGAACTTTGAAAACATTAAGTGAAAGACACAGAAGTCCATGTGTTTATGGTTCATTTATATGAAATGTCCATAAATAGATAAATCCATGGAAATAGGAAGTAGATGAGTAGTTGCAAGTGGTGGTGAGAAGGACAAATGGGGAGTTACTGCTTAACGAGAACAAGGCCTCCTTTTGGAAAGAGGAAAATGTTTTGGAACTAGATAGAGGCAGTCTTTGTACATCATTGTGTGGTGTATCACATGCCATTGAATTATACACATTAAAATTGTGAATTTTATATTATGTGAAATTTACCTCAGTTTAAAAAGGAGGATTAGGCTGGGCGCGGTAGCTCACACTTGTAATCCTAGCATTCTGGAAGGCCGAGGTGGGCGGATTGCTGTAGGTCAGGAGTTTGAAACCAGCCTGACCAAGAACGAGATCCATCTCTACTATAAATAGAAAGAAATTAATTGGCCAACTAATATATATAGAAAAAATTAGCCGGGCATGGTGGCACATGCCTGTAGTTCCAGCTATTCGGGAGGCTGAGGCATTAGGATTGCTTGAGCCCAGGAGTTTGAGGTTGCTGTGAGCTAGGCTGACGCCACAACACTCCCTCTAGCCTGGGCAACAAAGCGAGACTCTGTCTCAAAACAAAACAAAAAAATAAATAAAAATAAAAAGGAGGATTAAAGAACATAATAGATGCTGAATAGAGTGCCTGGCATATAAATGTTTTTTTTACAGGATCAGAATTGCTACATTCCAGAGTTAAATGTAAACTTTATCAAATCCTGGAATGTGGAGATCAGTCCCTTTTGGAATTTGTAAGAGATGGTTTTAAGATATTTAAAATTGGTAACAGAGCAGTTTATTATACCAGTGTTTTATTGGTTAATGAACAAGCAAGTTCAGGAAAGGTTCAGTAATTACAGATAATAAGACATGTCATACCCATAACTTCAAAGCTACAAAGTTTTCTCACAGACTGCTCCTGAGTCTTGTCAGAGGGAGAGTATTAGGCAGAGATAAATCACTGTATGAGTTAGCATGACATTTATGCTCTTATGTTACTAAAATAACCTAGTAAATGTATAGCTGAAGAATCATTTAATCTGTTTGACACATTGAATTTTTATTGTGGAATATAATTTCTGAACTATTACTTAGCCTTTTCTTGGGTTTGTAAGACATTTTAACCATTTGAGAAAAGTTGTGGCTGCATAGGAAAATGCACAAATGTGTAAAATATGTTATCCACTTTTAGGGGTTTCATAGATCAGTGAAGCTTACTCAGAAATCTCTAGATAAATGTTTCTCCATCTAAAACCAAATGGTAAAAACTGCAGTTCTAGGTAGCAGTACCTTCTTTCACACATAAGGAAGAAGCAGCCAATCATTCTCTGTATCTTTATCTTTGTATGTTAGTCTTGTGTTCGTGAAGTTTAATCTATGTGGAAAGCAAGACTTACGGGTCAAGGGCTTGGAGACTGTTAATTTGTCTTCCTTGACTTTAGGGGGCAGTGACTTTTGCTGTCCACGTAAACTAGCCAAAGGTTAAATTTTTTTATATAAATATGAGGCCATGTCAGCAGATATTCTGGTAGTCTTGTGCAGGGTGTTGAACAAAGTGAATTAGATTCAGGAATTGGTGTTTATAATTCATATTTATTGACGTCATCATAGTTTTTATAGATGATTTAAATAATCCTTAGTTTAGATTCCTGAGCTTGTTGTGATATGTGTGTAAAACATAACCTAATATCCAAATGTGGCTTAAACAGAGATTCAGCTTAGTGATTTTTGTTGAGGTTTTCCTCATAAAGAAATGTTAAATGTATAAGATACAAGATATTTTGCCTTTTAGTATTTCATAATCTAGCCTACTTTATTTTATGCACTATAGGCTTGTTTGTTGTGCCTACTATTTCAATGAATGAAAGTACAGGACTCTACCATGTTTCTGGACACATTCTGGAGCAAAATTTCATATTATATTATTAACTTGTGCTTTCAATTTTGAAGATTTGAAGGTTTGGTACCTTTTTCCTCTCTCTAGGCAATGCATGAACCATTGCAAACTTGGCAAGATGCACCATACATTTTTATTGTACATGTTGGCATTTCATCCTCAAAGGAATTATCAAAAGAAAATTCACTAAGTAATCTTTTTACCAGTAAGTTCAATTCATTTCTTTTTAACATTTGAGTTGTTATCTAGTTACAGTTATAACTGTATAGTTATGTCATACATGGTGGTAGGTAGTATAAAATTGCTTTAAGTAAGGGATAATTCATTAAGATTGTTATGAAGTGGGGAAATTGGGGGAAATTAACATTTTTCTGTACCTGATATTACTAGGCACATTTGTGGGCACTTCACATGTTTCTTATTAGGTTTCATTTTCCTTCATTTGATCCTCCTGCATTTTAAATTTTTAATTAGCATCATGTTTTCAGTATTCTGAACTAGAATTGTCAAAACTTGGTCACCAACCCAGAACTCTAAAAATTTTAAATTAATTAACATTGGTAATTTTTAATGTCTCAAGAATTGTTTTTAAGTTTTTTTCTTTCTATTGTTGCTGCCCAGTTCATCTTTTACCTGAAATTTTATAATAACTCCCTAACTGGTCTTATTTCCTATGGATTCTTTTTTAGTTTCTTCTTTCTACTGTGTTGTTTCCTTATATACCCTGCTTCTCAAGTAGAACAATGATGGCAGACATCCTTATCTTGCTCCTGACTTCTCTGGCAGTGTTGGTACATTTCACTGTTAAGTATGATGTTTACTGTAGGTTTTTACAAACATTCTATTTTTCTTTTTTTATTATTATTTTCTCTCCCTATTTTTTTTGGAGACAGTGTCTTACTCTGTCACCCAGGCTAGAGTGCAGTAACATTATCATAGCTTACTCAAATTCCTGGGTTCAAGGGATCCTCCTGCCTCAGCCTCCCAAGTAGCTGGGACAATTCTCAATTTTGCTCAAGCTGGTCTCTAACTCCTGCCCTCAAGCAATCCTCCCATCTTGGCCCCCCAAAGTCCTAGACAGGCGTAAGCTAACACACCTGGCCTCAAAATACTCTTTATTTGGTTAAGGATATTCCTTTCTATTTCTAGGTTACTAAGAATAGTTTCCCTTTTTTTTTTTTTTCAGTATTAAGAAGGGAATACTCAGTTTTTTAAAAAAATGGTTTGATTATATTGGTTAAAATGATCATATGGGCTTTCTCATTTGGTATGTTGTTGTGGAACATTATATTACTTGGTCTGCTTTTTTTTCCCTTTTTGTGTGTGTGTCAAATACGCAAGGAAGGGAAAAACTGGTTTTCTAATATTAAAACCATTCTTGAATTTTTGGGATACCACTACTTGGTCTTGACATACAAACAAACACATACACACTTTCATACACATTATTGGATTCTATTTGCTAGTATTTTTTAAAGCTTGTTGTCTATGTTCAAATAAGATAGGCCTATAATTTTCTTTTCACATAATTGTTTTTTACTGGTTTTGGCATCCAAGTTATGCTAGTCTCCTCATACAATGAATTGGAGGATGTTACCTATTTTTAAATTCTGTGGAACAGTTTTTGTAAGGGTGGCATTATCCATTCCTTGAATGTCTGGTAGAACTCACCTATATAACAGTGTTTCAACCCAATGTTCTTTTCTCCCCCAGGTAGGTTTTAATCAACTGATTTATTGTCTTTTATAGTAAGAACTGGTTTTCGTTTTTCTGTTTTCCCATGAATCAGTATTTCTTTTTTTAATTTGGCCTTCTGAGAAATTGTCCAGATTTATTGATAGTTATTAATGATATTTCTTTAGAAAATCTACTGTATCTATAGCCTTTGAAATCCTTAATATTGCCTTTTCATTTTCTCTTTTTAATTTGTTAAATCCTTCTAGAATTTTATTTTATTATATTTTCATCCCAATGAACCAGCTTTTGGTTTTGTTAATTTTTCCAATTATTTTTTTGTTTCATTAACATCTTATTTATCTTTATTATTTCTTTCATTTGACTTAATTTTTTTTTTATTTTTTTTTTCATTTTTTTTTTCTTTTTGGAACAGAAATAGTGATGGAATTTGACTTAATTTTAAACTTTTGTTTTTTATGATTCTTGTATTGAATGCTCAACTCCCAATTCAAAAATGAGTCTTATAGGCCAGGTGCAGTGGCTCACGCCTGTATTCCTAGCACTCTGGGAGGCCAATGTGGGCAGATCGCTTGAGCTCAGGAGTTCGAAACCACCCTGAGCAAGAGCGAGACCCTGTCTCTACTAAAAATAGAAAGAAAAAAATTAATTGGCCAACTAAAATATACAGAAAAAATTAGCTGACCATGGTGGCACATGCCTGTAGTCCCAACTACTCAAGAGGCTGAGGCAGTAGGATCGCCTCAGCCCAGGAGTTTGAGGTTGCTGTGAGCTAGGCTGACACCATGGCACTCTAGTCCGGGCAACAGAGTGAGACTTTGTCTCAAAAAAAAAAAAATGGGTCTTATGCCTTATAGTGATACGGAGGTGTAGCAGATCTAGGCAACCAAAGGATGGCCTGGCACAATTTCTGGACCCCATAGTGTGCGTGTATATTCTCCTGTTTCTTTAGGCCCACAACTTTCCAATGGGTAATAGTCTCAAGGAGCAGTTGCCAGTGTTTATTTTCAACCTTCTTTCTTTGAAAAGAATGGGAGGGAAGTCCTTCTCCACTCCACTTTTTCCTCTTCATACATCAAATCTGGCTGTGATCCCTCCTCTTTTTCTTTGAAACCTACTATTAGTCTGTCTCTGGAGATGATCACTTCTCAAATCAGATTTTTATTTATTAATCATACTTAGAATTTATCTAGCTCATTGACAGTCTTAAAATAGTCAATCTTAAAATAGTTTTTCAGTTACAGACCATCTTAAAATAGTAAGTTTGCTTCAGTGAGGCAGATATGTCTTTAAGATTCATGCTGTTGCTATCACTTTTTCTGCTTCATTAAACACTTTGTAATTATTAACAAAGGTTTTGGAAAAAATGTTAACAAGTTTTGGGAAAGTTCAGTTCTATGTTTATGGGATGGTGCTTTGCTTATATCAGAACTTTTGAGTTATTTTCAGTTTGGAGTGAGGATCTAGGTAGGGTTCATGATTGGGAAGCTGGATTGTTTTCTACCTTATTTTATTAGGGAAAAATAAATGCAATACTGTGCATCATTTGTGTGAGTTAATATGAATTTCTTTTTTATATACTTTCTTCTGAAAATGATGCATTAATGTGGCAAGATCACATAAAATTGTAGTCGGTAGAAAAATAATAAAGCATTAGGAAAATATAGGTTAAGGAAGGAGAGAAAATACAGAAGGTGATAGAATAAAGAAAGAAAGTCCCGTAAAACATTAATGATTTGTTGTAAGAACAAGTATATATGAAATGTGTTTGGAATTTAGAGTACATGATGAGTAGTTCCAAATAGGCAGCCAGAGAAGGCTTTATGGAGGAAATATCATTCAGTCTAATCTTTAAAGAATGTAAGAATGGGGGGCTGGGCGCAGTGGCTCACGCTGTAATCCTAGCACTCTGGGAGGCCGAGGCGGGAGGATCATTCAAGGTCAGGAGTTCGAAACCAGCCTGAGCAAGAGTGAGACCCCATCTCTACTAAAAATAGAAGAAATTAATCGGCCAGCTAAAGGTGGCGTGTGCCTGTAGTCCCAGCTACTTGGGAGGCTGAGGCAGTAAGATCACTGGAGCCCAGGAATTTGAGGTTGCTGTGAGCTAGGTTGATGCCACAGCACTCTAGCCCAGGCAACAGAGTGAGACTCTGACTCAAAATAAATAAATAAAAAAGAATGTAAGAATGGGAGCAAAAGGGCTTTCCCACTTCAGACTGGGACAGAGTCATGGAAGCCTGTGCAGGACATAGCATGAACTGTGAGAACACTCAGTGAATTTCAAAATGCTGTACAAATGTAATATGTACTGGGATTGAAGTGGTTAAAAGCAAATGATCCAGTGAACTTTTCATTAATTACATTGAACATTAGACAATGTTTTTGTTTAATTTCTGTATACATTAAATTAATTCTAAGGACTGTGTTTTAACAGTGACTGTTGAAGTGAAGGGTCCATATGAATACCTCACACTTGAAGACTACCCCTTGATGATTGTAAGTGACCTTTTATTCTTTACCCTCAGCATTGAATGAGTTTAGCTTAAAAGATTGTTCGTGTTTTGTGGCAATATTCTTTTTTTAAAGATTAGTACCTACATAGTTCAGAAAATGTTGCCTACAATTCTGGATTTATTTCTTATTAGATTGAGACTTTGGGAGGGTCAGTGACCCTTGTGTGCCTTATTTTCTTAATTTGTAAAATGAAGGAGTCAATAATCTGTGGATTTTAGACTTGGGAAGTACTTCAAAGATTGTCTCACGTCTCATTCTCTCTAGGATCCATAGCAGGGCACTTCTTACTACAACCCTGTCGTTTCTGATCCCACTTAAAGTAACCACATGGTGAAACTTCCTCCTCTTCATTGTGTGCGCCTGAGTATGTGTGCATGCACCTGTGTCTGAGAATGTCCTTAATCTATTTTCAGACTTCCTTTGTTCGTGATTATTCTCTTCTTCCTTCCCCTTTATTAGTTTTCCCATTTTGTCAAGTTTCCTTGACTGTAGATGTATCCTCACCCAGTCATGCCTTTTTTCCTCTTCAGTGTTGTCTTCATTTATATAACTTTATTTTTTTTCTTCTTTCTAGACTCGAGCCAGTTTATAGATATATAACTTTAGATTATGAGCTGAGAAAGCTCTTTTAATATAGAAGAACAGTCACTCTTGAGAAAGTGTTACATTATTTTCCTGTGCTCAAGAGGAGATAATTCTTTCCTGTTAGTATTAAACTCTAAAGAAGTAATTATTTTTAAATAGAAGGTAGAATATGTATATTTTTGTAGTTTGTTAAAACTGTATATTGATTCTAAATCTAGATACTTGACTTTTGGCCCTAATTCTTCTTTTCATCTCTTATTCAATTTAATGACAGTTTTTTATGGTGATGTGTATTGTATATGTCCTGTTTGGTGTTCTATGGCTGGCATGGTCTGCCTGCTACTGGCGAGATCTTCTGAGAATTCAGTTTTGGATTGGTGCTGTCATCTTCTTGGGAATGCTTGAGAAGGCTGTCTTCTATGCAGAATTTCAGAATATTCGGTACAAAGGAGAATCAGGTATGTAACCAAAAAATGTTTATCAATTTGGATGATTGGCAGGTGAGATCTGTGAAAATTTTCCTAAGGTCAACGGTCATTAAACAGGTCTAACTTTCCAATTCCTTAATTATTAGACTAACTTAAGCAGAATTACTATGATTGTGACTTTTATTTTTAATCTCATAATTTATGGGTTCAGTGATGTGAGTAATTTTAGTGAAATATCCTCACAAAAGTTATAGACCATATTGGGAATGATTATTACCATTACCAAATCTCAATTGCTATTGATTTCTAAGTCACCATTATAATACACATCTAAGAAAGAAGGTAAAAAAATGCCAATTTATTTGTAAGATGGCATTGATTGTAAGATAACACCTTGATTTCAAAGATGTTAAAATGTGGGGTAAAGTGCATCTAAGAATTGATACTAGTAATATCAGGAAAATAGGAGGATATTTATGATATAGTAAGGTGAACTGGTAATAACAAATCGTTTTATGCTGAAGTTTTTTGTGATCAATTCTCTTATCAGACCATAGTAATAACTGTTGCAAAATATACTAATTAGATCTTTCGCTGGTCTTTGAAAAGTCTTGAAAATAGTAGATGTAAAAATGAATTGAAAACTATATGCTCCTACATGTATATGCATATGAGTGTATTTTGTACTTTTGTGTAGCTAAATTTCATAGCTTTTGAAAATGGTGGTGGTGGAGGGAGAGTTGAATTTCCTTGCTGCTACATACTGTCTATAGAGGTAGGGTGAGGTATTCTGTCATGGTTTTAGTGAAGTTGGGAGTGAGAGGGGGAGGAAGCTGAGTTGAGTACACCTCTATTGCCATACATACCCATGAGTAAGATTGCAAGTGATACCACCTTCTGTATTTATAAAAATTACAGTAGAGTTATTCTATTTTAGTAGGACTAATACCAATGCTCATTCTGGAGGGTGTTAGAGATCTACATTATGAAACTGGAATTATACCTGTTGCCTAACCTAGATAATCGTGTCATTTCTTCCTTTCTTCTCCCTGTCTTCTTTCTCAAGTGCAAGGTGCCTTGATCCTTGCAGAGCTGCTTTCTGCAGTGAAACGCTCACTGGCTCGAACGCTGGTCATAATAGTCAGTCTGGGATATGGCATAGTCAAGTAAGTATTCACTTCTTGTGTGGAAGAGCAAATTAAAATGAAACAGTATTGCAGGTTCCTAATGTGGTAGTTCTTAAATAGTTGATAAAAGACATAATTTTGAAATATGAAAAGATACCTGAAATTTTATAGCATTGTAAAAGTTGGCAAAATATTAGTATTTTATTTCACTTCTCACAGGGAGTGTCTGCAGGAAAACCTGCAATGTAACAAATTATATGGAAACACCAAACTTATGAAGTAAATTTATAACAACTTTATTCTTCTAAAATATTTTTGCAAATCAGATTTTTTATGGGAACAATCTATAGGCATTCTTCTAGGCATCGTTCTAGGCTCTGGGGATACAGCAAGTTTATAAAAGACTTGGAGTTTAAGGCCGGGCGCGGTGGCCCACGCCTGTAGTCCTAGCTCTCTGGGAGGCCGAGGAGGGCGGATTGCTCGAGTTCAGGAGTTCGAAACCAGCCTGAGCAAGAGCGAGACCCCTTCTCTACTATAAATGGAAAGAAATTAATTGGCGAACTAAAAAAAATATATATACAAAAAATTAGCCGGGCATGGTGGCGCATGCCTGTAGTCCCAGCTACTCGGGAGGCTGAGGCAGGAGGATCGCTTGAGCCCAGGAGTTTGAGGTTGCTGTGAGCTAGGCTGACGCCATGGCACTCACTCTAGCCTGGGCAACAAAGCAAGACTCTGTCTCAAAAAAAAAAAAAAAGACTTGGAGTTTACATTTGTGGAAGGAAGGGACAAAGACAAAATTTAAATAAGTGAGTAAAATATCTATGTCAGAGAAAAATGCAATGGAGTAGATAATTCAGGGGAAGGGGACAGGGAGTGTTAGTGCTAGGCAGGAGCTAGATTTTGCATTGAAAATAGGGTGATGAAAGAAGGCTTCAGTTCACTTAGTGGCATATAAGCAAAGACCTCAAGGAGGTGAGGGAGCTATATGTCTACCTACGGGAAGAGATGCTGAGATGAGATCAGATTCTGTAATATTTTGAAGGTAGAACTAGAACCAGTGGAATTTGCTGATGGATCAGATGTATGATGTGAGAGAGAAGAGGAATCAAGGATGATGCCAACTGTTTTGGTCAGATCAAGTGGCAGGATGGAATTGATACTTACTGAGTTTAGGAAGACCTTAAATGATGTAAGTTTGGAGTAGGGGCAAAATTAGGAGTTCAGTTGAATATCTAAGTGGGGGAATCAAAGGGGGAGAGGATGGGGCAGAGATAAAAGTTTGGGAGTCATCAAGATGTAGATCTTATTAAGTCATGAGACTGGATGTGATCACCAAGGAAGTGAGTATATACAGAGAAGAGGTCCCAGGATGGGACCCTTTTGATTTATTTAGAAGTCTGTGAAATGGAGTCAAGTTAGCAGAGGAAATTGAGGAATGACCAGTGAGTTGGGAGGCTAGTTGAAGACTGTGTTTCAAGGAGGGAGTGATTAATGGTATCAAATGATACTGATAGGTCAAATAAGAGGATTAAAAATTGATCGTTGGGTTTGGCTACTTGGAAGGTCTTAGTTACCATAACAAGAACAGTTTTGGTGACGTGGTACTCCTTTAAAGGAGTTTTGCTTTCTACAGGATTAGAGGAATGGCAGGTTTGAATTCTTAAAATTTATTTAACAAATATTTCAGTGCTTTCTATATGCCAGGAAGCATTCTAGGTTTCTAAGATGAGTGGGGGGGGGGATTGCCCCTGCTCATATGGAGTTTTTCCTGGTGTATAACAAAAAATATAAGAACAAATATCTGTGAGGCTTAGGCAGACATGATTTAAGGCAGTGCATCTCAAGATGCACTGCACTAAGGAATCACCTCAGGATTTTGTTAAAATGTAGATTCTACTTCAGGATTTTGAATATCAAGGATCTGAGGCTTTTCCTCCTTCAAGCAGAGGTTGCTCATAAGACTTTCATATTTTATTGGCTATTGAGCTTACAAATATATTGTTTATTTAATAAAGTACAATAGGATATTTGATTATGTTAATTTCTTAGATTATTTAATGATATTGTGCTTATTTTTTTTTAAGTTCATTTTGTAGCCATTGAAATATAAAGAAAAGTCCTTATGTATTAAAGACACATACTGGAACATATACATATAAAAACATGCTGTTTAGGATTTGCTTCAAGATAATGTAAGAGGATGGGGTATACATGGGGAAGAATTGGCCATAGGGTGACGGTTGTTGGGACTGGGTGATGAATTTATTATACTACTTTTGAATATGTTTCCAAATTCTGTGCAATAAAAAGTTTTCAAAAATGCAGTAACCAGGGGCCAAATCTTAAATTCTAGTATTCTGTCTTGTTTTAAGACCGTGTGTTCTTATGAGTATTTTTCCTGTCAGGTGAATCAGGTGTACATTGTTTATCACTTTAAATTGTTGGCCTGTAATAATTAACATGAATTCCTGTTACCTAGCTTGTATTGGGGGTTGTCATATTTATACTCAACTGTCTTTTTGCTTCCTCTTTAGGCCACGCCTTGGAGTCACTCTTCACAAGGTTGTGGTAGCAGGAGCCCTCTATCTTTTGTTCTCTGGCATGGAAGGGGTCCTCAGAGTTACTGGGGTCAGTACTGCTTAATTTGAATGTTTGTGGTCAGTTATATTGTTTCTATCTTGAGAGTGTGAATTAGAAATGTCTGTGGACTTCTTTACTGTTTGCTCTAAGTCACCTTTGGGTTCTGATTTGCAGGATGAATGTATAGTTCAGTTTTTCTTTTTAATGTGTCAGAGTTTTATAAATTTGATGTGTGACCCAGAATAAATGCTTTTCCATCCGTCCCCAGATTGATAATTATTTAGTCCCTTTTCCCAAGCAATGGACTCTCATTCTTGTGTAAGTGGCAAACATTGGAGTCATGTACTTATTGGTTAATCTAATCTTAAGTAACAGTGCTCTTTGCTTAACTAACACTTGAGTTTCAAAGACTTCCTTAAAATGCAATTTATTATAATAATTTTTACACCATTCCTGAGAATTGCATAATTATTTCCTTTACCAGGAAAGGAAACTGAAAATACTGAGATGTAAGTGATAAATTTATGTTATGTCTGGGTTAAAGTGAAGAAGTAGGTCTCCCTAGGCCATTCCAATTAATTTTCTTATTTATTTAAAAATCAGACTTTTTAATAACCTATTAGATTCAAGGTGATAAATGCTATATATTTTGCCTTGCCTTCAAGAAATCTGGACTCAGTAACTTTTGCAATAAATTGCCCCTTAAATAAAACCCTCTGTAGATGCAAATTTGTTTTTCAAATCACACTATCCTCTGTATGTAATTTCCATAGACTTTTAGCAACTTTAACCCTCTGTCAATTTCATTTTCTTTCTTCTGCTGCTGTAGTATTTTTCTTATTCCTTGGCTCTGACAGTAAACCTGGCCCTCTCAGCAATTGATGCCTGTTTTATTTTATGGATATCCTTTTAATAATGCACTGGTGATTGGGTAATTAGGGCTATATAAAAAGCATCTTATATATAAACTTGTGGAAACAAGGAGCATAGTTTTTCAGACAGATAATTGCCTTACATTTTGTTTTGGGTGAGCTCTTTCTTTATATTACAATCCTGTATATCAATAATCTTAGTATATGATGCAGTAATTTTTTCAAAATATGAGAGGAGCCTTTTTAGACTTGTAGCCAAAATCACAATAATAGGAAATGGTAGGATCGGATGGAGGCTTATAAACACTAGAACTTTTTTGGTGTGGTCACTTCATAACATGTATTTTTGAATACTAGGAACTCTATGGTGGTTACCTTTATGGTGGTTAGCAGCATGTGTCATTGTATTGAGATTGAAATTGACAATTTATGTGAAATGCTTTTAGCTGTATATTCTATGTGATGGTTTGTAAGAAGGGAAGAATGATTAGGCGTTGTCAAGTGTTAGTTGTTTTTATTCAAACACAAAACCATTCCAGATTATTATGTAAATGCAGAATTGTGTTCAGGTTTCTTCTCTATGCCTCTCTAGACATCTGTTTTTCACCACCTCTTTTTCTTTGTCTGCAGGCCCAGACTGATCTCGCTTCCTTGGCCTTTATCCCCTTGGCTTTCCTAGACACCGCCCTGTGCTGGTGGATATCCTTCTCGTTGGCTTGTTTGATGACAGTCCATTTTTTCCCCTTGGAGATGGGTTTCTACTGATATTTCTGCAAAGATTTTTTTTTAAAAATCAGTTTTGTTGATTACTTCTTAATCTGGGGAATAGTGTATGATAAGTCTTAACGACCTGAGAGGTCAGGTAAGCAGTTTTATTTGTGTTTTTTTGTTTGTTTGTTTTGTTTTTAAATCACATCATAAATTGGTGACTGTGGACTGAGCACAAGATAAACACTTCTGCCTTTTTTTTTTTAAATGAGCATTTCATCTTGATTTTGCACTTGTGTACCTAATCACAGTATTAGAATCACTGGCTACTCTTGTCCTGCTCTTTCTTTTAGCCTCTAGCAATTATTAAGTGCTTTGAAACATATGAAAAGATTTTCATCCTTAAAATGTGGTTTCAGGAACTACATATAGTGGTATGATTCTTCCAAAACTCTGTGTAGGTTTAGTAGGTTTTAACCCTTAACAGGGTGAATGTTTTGTTCCCTTAGTCCAAAGCCAACTTGGAATTGTCTGAAGACTTCCACCATTCAGACAAGTTTCTATTTCAGTAATCTTTTTCTTCTGTTCTTGAAAATTAAACATTTATCTATTAGGGACTTGGCCTGTTGGGTGAAGGATTCAAGTTTTTGGACTTTATCTTTTGGGGGCTGTTTTGAATTTGTTTTGGTTTTTTATATATTTGGACCTATTTGCAATTGTGCAGTATTACTGAATTGATAGATTACAAAAAGCTGAATGTGAACAAAATTGTAGTTTTGTGAATTTGAGTGGACTGCCATATAGCAAAAGAGTTTGAAGTAAAAATTTCCTGGGTCCAAATGGCCAAAAATTTTCTAGATCAGCATCTTTCCAAGTGTGTTTTAGGAACCTCTATGGGTATTGGGAGGAATAGAGAGAGAGGTGGGATTGGACTATGCAATAAGCTAACCCAATGACTAGGTGACAACTAAGGCTCTGTCAAAGGGCAGAGCAAGTGTAACTCCCTTATTTTTATATCTGCTTCTTATGCTGAAAGTTGGACATGGGAACAGATACTGTGTTTAGTAGTCATCACTTCCCCTCCTATGTTTCACTGGCAACTTCTGCTTGAGAATAACGTTCTGAAAATGAAGAGTCATTGCTTTTTGAATCAAACTGCGTGGGATTCTCAGCCCATCGTAGGGTCCTTTTAATTCACGGTACTGCAGGCAGCTGATGGCAGGTTCTGTAAGATGGCACAAGGGGAACTCTGTAGGTTAGAACTCTGGGAGGTTGTAAGCATGAGTGTAATTATGACCCTAGACTGGATTAGCTGGGACAGATGAAAACAGAGCTACCCACCTTAAAGGAAGAGAGAAGATGATGTTAACTCTTTGTCCCTTGCCTGTTACTCATTTTCATTTCCTCTTCTACCCTTTGTCTATTTTTTCATCTTTTTTCTCTAGAAAGCCTTTCCTGTCTTTATTTCTCTTTTTTATATTTTTTCTCTTTTTCTTTTATTTTGTGCATTCTTATTTTATCCTGGTTCTGTCTTCTCTTCAATGTCTCATTGAAAATGATAGCTTTCTTATTAATCTTGGGTGTTTGTGAGATTAAGCAAGAATAAGAAAGCTACAAGGCCTCTGAGATCCATAACTTTATTAGTATGATCCCAGATCCTAAAAGAAACCTGAGGATTAATTTACTAGCTTACTGTTTTTTCTGAATGTTGAATTCCTTGACCTGCAAACACATATTTATTAGCCTGACTCAAACGATGAAGCTATTAAAACTTCGGAGGAACATTGTAAAACTCTCCTTATACCGACATTTTACCAACACGCTTATCTTGGCAGTGGCAGGTAAGTCTAGGATTTTCTTCTTGCAGTTTAAATGTGATTTGTTTAGAACAGATTCTTAACCTGAGAGGGCTTGGGTGGGCATAGAAAGTTTTGTCCATTTCACTTGGGAAAAGGGTTCTTAACTTTTGTCAAATTCTCAGAAAGATCTATGGTTTAAAAAAAGTTAAGAACCATTTATTTCATGTATAACAGCTGAAAAATCAACCTCATGTAATTTCAGCTCTTAGTATATTCCTCTCTTGTCTCCATTCTTTTTCTGAGGCATTCTTTTTCTTGAGGTAAGTTAGCTTGAGTGCCAAATAGCATTTAGATTCCTTTTAGAAGATATTACCCCATGCTTATTTGGTTTTATTAAATAGCAATAGAATTGTAGATGAGGGTACATTGCTGTTATAGTGTTTTTACATATGTCACTAAGCACACATGAAATACAGACATTAGGTGGATGTAGCCAAACTAGGCTAACTTGCCTACCTCTTTGTCCTTGTACCAGACATAGAATAGTGAGGTCTGATCTGTGATCGGAACCAGCTCTTCTATTTGTGTTGTAGTCATTTTATCAACCATTTTTTTATCTGACCAGCCAAAGAAAAATTAGCATCACTATACTAAAAATAAAAGAAGGAAAAAAATTATGTTGATAATGTTGGAAAAAGGCATATTTCCAATACCTTCTGTTTTAATTCTGAAGATTACTGAAGTAGCCAGATGGCAAATAAAATTATTACAAAACTATTCTTTAAGTATAGAAAGGATTGACAAGAGTATGTATCATGAGCCTTGCTGATAGTAGGTGTTCAGTAAATATGTATTGAATACATTTGTTAAAACACCTAATAGAAAATGATGATGTATGGGGGGTTTGGAGTATGTGGAATTCCACTTAATCAGAAGTGGGGGAATATAATTGGGGATATAAACCAGCATTCATACCCTGACCAGGTTTTTCATTTACTATTAGCATCTATTGTATTTATCATCTGGACAACCATGAAGTTCAGGATAGTGACGTGTCAGTCGGTGAGTTATAGCACATATGTTTATGAATAGTATACCGTCTTATACACAGGTAATGATGTTGATGACAATGATAAGGTTCTTGTAGATGCACCTTATAAGAAATTAGGGCTAGTGCTCCACTTTTAAGGTTATAATACTTTCCTGCTCCTAAGTATCCTATACTGTCATGGTGCTTGGTATGGTAGTTGGTATGGTATGGTAGTTGCTTTTTGTTTTATGACTATATATCCAAATATTGGGAGAGAATTTTTTTTTTCCCCTTTTTCCCTTTTTTTTTTTTTTATTTTATTTTTTTTATGGGAGAGAATTTTGTAAATGATAATCATAGTCTGTTATGATCTTGCCTTAACTAAAAATCTGGAACAAGAAGTCCAGAATATTAAACATTAAGTACGATTTGTTGGAATAATAATAATATTAGTAATAATAATAATCTGAGTAGAAGCCATTTCCTTAAGATCTGAGCTAAAAGACTGGCCAATAGGATTTCTTTGGAGGGAGCTAAGGCTCTATTTTGGTAAAAATAAATAAATGAAAATTACAAAATATAACAACTTAATGTTATTATCTCTTCCTTATAAAAAAACCTTTCCTTAAAGATTCTTAGCTATGATGAAGCTTTGATACATACTCTATTCAGTGGTGCCTTTTTTTCTTCCTACAAAGAAAGAAACTATATTCATTAACTTTGTTTTCCCAGCACTTATCACAGTACTGAGCAAATAGTAGGCTCTTAGTAAATATACTTTGAATGAATAAATAAGTGATTCTTGTTCTATGCCAAGGGCTTTGTGAACAAAGGGGTAAGCTAATGTATATAAATGTTGTACTTTCCCCTTACTGTAGGACTGGCGGGAGCTGTGGGTAGATGATGCCATTTGGCGGTTGCTGTTCTCCATGATCCTCTTTGTCATCATGATTCTTTGGCGACCATCTGCAAACAACCAGAGGTTCCTGGACTTTTCGTATTTATTCTGCTAACCATTAAAGGGCATGTCAGCAATTAGGGATGGTACACTGGAGACAGTGTCAGGCTATGTCATACAGTGGAAGGAACAATGGGCCTGCAGTCAGGAGAATTGGATTCCTATCTCAGTTCTCTTCTTAACTTGCTTTGTGATTTTTGGCATGCTGCCTCTTTTCACCTCTCTGTTCCTAGTTTCCTTTCCAAATAATGAGGAGGAGTTAAATGAAGTGATGTGAAGTCCCTTTCAACACTGACATTTTCTAATAATACATAGACATACCTTGGAGATATTGTGGGTTCAGTTCCAGACCATCATTATAAGAGTGAATATTATATATATACACATATATATAAATAAAGTGAGTCACACAAATTTTTTGGTTTCCCAGTACATATAAGTTATGTTTACACTGTAATGTAGTCTGGTAAGTGTGCAGTAGCATTATTTTTTTAAAAACATACATCATTCCTTAATTAAATACTTTATTGCTATAATATGCTCATACTGAGACACCAGGTGAACACATGCTATTGGAAACATGGTGCCAATAACACCTGCATGATGCAGGGTTGCCACAGACCTTCAGTTTGTAAAAATTGCAGCATCTTCAAACCTCAGTAAAACATGATAAAATGAAGTATGCCTGTAGATATTTATATAGTAAATAAAGAAGGTAGATACATTTTGTCGCTTGTAATGAGAGTCTCCTGTCCAGAAGGAAAGAAAAATTTCTATAGTCAGCAGCCCAGCTCACTTTGTAATAATAGAAAGGATAAAATGAAAACTTAAGTGACTTTGAAATTAAAAATTCACAGGTGAGGCCGGGCGCGGTAGCTCACGCCTGTAATCCTAGCACTCTGGGAGGCCGAGGCGGGAGGATTGCTCAAGGTCAGGAGTTCGAAACCAGCCTGAGCAAGAGCGAGACCCCGTCTCTACTAATAGAAGAAATAATTGCCAACTATATAAATATATAGAAAAACTTAGCCGGCATGGTGGCGCATGCCTGTAGTTCCGCTACTCGGGAGGCTGAGGCAGAAGATCGCTTGAGCCCAGGATTTGAGGTTGCTGTGAGCGAGGCTGACGCCATGGCACTCACTCTAGCCTGGGTAACAAAGCGAGACTCTGTTCCAAAAAAAAAAAAAAAATTCACAGGTGAATTTGATGTGTCCAACTATAAGCAAATCTAAATATTTAAGAACTGCCCATCTTTTTGTGAACATCCATGCGTTTGTTTCCCTTTTTTCCTCCTTCCTTTGCATTTAGACAGTTAAGAGCTTATATTTACCAACCACACTACCAAAGAAGGAAAAGGGTAAGGTGGTATAACTATAATCAGACATCCCAATGAAAGATTAGGAAAGAAAATAGGGACATCCTTTTACTCCATGAAAATAGCCTTGTTATCTTTCATTATGCACTTAATATATGTTCATTTTTTAAAAAAGTCAAACAATAGAGTAAAAACAAGATAGAAAATAAAGGAGATCTGAAATCATACTGTTTAGAAAATCCTAGACTTCTGGGGACTGTCTGTTAATTACTGGTTACTTGATAGCTATATTTTTAAAAGCTTCCCTTCCGAATCATTTAAAAAATCTTTACATTACCTTCTTTTTCCTTTCTTCCTTTTTCTTTAAAACATGCCCATTCCTCATGACTTCTTGTTAACCGCCTAATATGGTGTATCTTTCCACATTTTATTCTTGTTCAATATATGAATCTTCCTTTACTCTCAGAACAGTACATTATGGAATTCCTTCCAAGATATCTAGTTTAAATTGAACTCATTCATTTTCATGGATGGCATAATATTACTTGGTGCATATATGGTACAGTTAAATTAACTTATTCCCCTATTAGTGGGCATTTGGGCTGTTTCCAGTTTGAGGTACTCCAGGATCCTCAAGACCATTCATCTGTTTAGTGATTCACTAGTAGGATGCATGGGACTCACATGTAGTTGTACTTACAGCTAAGATTTATTACAATGGCGTGGGCACAGTAGCTCATGACTGTAATTCTAGTGCTCTGGGAGGCCAAGGTGGGAGGATCGCTTGAGCTCAAATTCAAGACCAGCCTGAGCAAAAGCAAGACCCTGTCTCTACTAAAAAAATAGAATATAGCTGGATAGCTAAAATATATAAGAAAATTAGCTGGCATGGTGGACACATGCCTGTAATCCCAGCACTCGGAAGGCTGAGGCAGAAGGATCGCTTGAGCCCAGGAGTTTGAGGTTACTGTTAGCTAGGCTGATGTCATGGCACTCTAGCCAGGGCAACAGAGCAAGCCTCTGTCTAAAAAAAAAAAAAAAAAAAAGATTTATTACAACAAAACAATGGTGTCAGTAAGGAAAAAAGCACAGGTAGAGTCTGGAGAAATCCATATTTTCTTTCCTTATGTTCTCTTTCCCTTTTCTGAGTAAGTACATGAAGTATATTGCTTTCCCCAGCAACAAAAATGCAATGACAGATATACATTGTTTCTATCCAGGAAGGTCCATTAGACACTCAGCACTTGGGGTTTTTAAACGAGGGTGTTACCTCCTCCCAGCCAAATATGTGACAATATCCACAGAGAGTATTGTCAACCAGGGAAACTCACCTGAGCCTTAGGTGTCCAGAGTTTTTATTGGAGCTCAATCACATACTACCTGCATGACTGACGTTTAGTGTCCAACCCCTCCTGGTAGTCAGACTAATACCTTATCATACAAGTTTTTTTTTTTTTTTTGAGACAGAGTCTCACTTTCTTGCCTCGGCTAGAGTGAGTGGCATGGCGTCAGCCTCGCTCACAGCAACCTCTATCTCCTGAGCTCAAGCGATCCTCCTGCCTCAGCCTCCCGAGAAGCTGGGACTACAGGCATGGGCCACCATGCCTGGCTAATTTTTTATATATATTTTAGTTGGGCAATTAATTTCTTTTTATTTTTTTATAGTAGAGACGGGGTCTCGCTCTTGCTCAGGCTGGTTTTGAACTCCTGATCTTGAGCAATCTGCCTGCCTCAGCCTCCCAGAGTGCTGGGATTACAGGCGTGAGCCACCGAGCCCGGCCAGAGTTTTTTCTAAAGTAACCACAGTGTTGTTTCTTTCTTGCCAAATAGTCTTCCTGCCTCTTTTCTGATTCTTATATTATTATGTTGGCTAGGCCCTCCTGTATAATACTTAATAGAGGCAATGAGAGTGGGCCTCTTCATTTTATTCTGACTTTAAATGCTTCTCAAATACCATTAGCTATGATATTTACCATGGAATTTTGTTAGTTACCCTTTTTTTAAAATTTTTTTTAATTTAATTTTTTATGTATTTATTTATTTATTTTTTTGAGACAGAGTCTCACTTTGTTGCCCAGGCTAGAGTAACATGGCATCAGCCTAGCTCACAGCAACCTCAAACTCCTGGGCTCAAGCAATCCTGCTGCCTCAGCCCCCTGAGGAGCTGGGACTACAGCCATGTGCCACCATGCCCGGCTGATTTTTTCTATATATATTAGTTGGCTAATTAATTTCTTTCTATTTATAGTAGAGATAGGGTCTCGCTCTTGCTCAGGCTGGTTTTGAACTCCTGACCTCGAGCAATCCGCCTGCCTTGGCCTCCCAGAGTGCTAGGATTACAGGCGTGATCACTGCGCCCGGCCTGTTAGTTACCCTTTAACAAGTTACAGATGTTCCCTACTAGTCCTAGCTCATTAAGAATTTTTATCATGAAAGGGCAATTTAAAAACAAGGTAGAATGAAAATAGTAGATAATAGTAAAAATGGAAAAGTAGAGTGTGAGGTCAAAGCAAAAGCATTGTAGGAATTACCTGTCTGGCAGCTGCTGTGCTGAGTCTCTTGGAAGTTGTGAAGGAAAGTCATCTGAGATGTACTAGAGCCAGAGATCAAGCCTCCATCTCATTTAGAGATGTGGTCTCACTCTGTTGCCCAGGCTGGAGTGCAGTGGCACAATCATAGCTCACTGCAGCCTCAAACTCCTGAGCTCAAGTGATCTTCCTTCTTTAGCCTCACGAGTAGCTGGGACACCATGTCTGGCTAATGAAAACTGAGATTTTAAATTACCTGGAACACACAAGATTAGGCTTCTTTTCTCTTAACTCCTAATTTGAAGGCTGAGATCTTAAATCAGGTGAGAATTTACTTAACTCTATGTGATATATCCTTACAAATGAACATTCATTGAATACTTACTAAATATATCAGGGATTGTTTTAAGCACTTTATTTGTAATGATTTCTTTATTTTTCACAAAACACCCCCATGAGTAATTTTCTATTATCCCCTCATTTGCAGATGAGGAAACCAAGGGTACAGAAAGTAATTTGTCCAAGGTCACAGGTAGCATGTAGCTCATAAATATGGTTGTGCTTCTCCCTTGCTGCTAATGTAGGCAGTTAAGAGCTTTTCAAACAGGAAAAGTTATTTTATTATTCATTAAACTGATTTTACGAATTATTGTAATTGCAGTTTCAATAATTAGTTTTGTAAAATCCAAATAGTGGAGTGGTTTTTGTAGTTTTTCCTTATGTTCTTTCTAATTTTTTCCTTATATTCTGCCTTTGTTCTGTCAGGTTTGCCTTTTCACCATTGTCTGAGGAAGAGGAGGAGGATGAACAAAAGGAACCTATGCTGAAGGAAAGCTTTGGTAGTGACAAAATTCACCTTTTATTTGTGCTTTAAATATTTTTTTAATATTAAATACACTGTTATTATTTTATAACTGTATAATTGTTCCTTAATTTGGTATGGGATAAAGTCAGGGTTAAGAGAAAATAAGGATGAGTCTTAAGATGAAGCCGTGGTAAATTCAGTAAATAATTGTGCAGTAAATGTCCAATTTACTTGCTAGAAGTAAGCTGAAAATTTAGCTTTGATCTTCCCAGTATAAATGTAAAAATGGAGAAACATCTGTTGTATAATTCACAAGTGTCATTAAGCTTGAAATAAAACTTTGAGTCTATTTTTTCAATCATTGCTGGTCTGTTGGCAAAGTTAACCAATCTAAATTTTTTATTCTACAGAAGGAATGAAAATGAGAAGTACCAAACAAGAACCCAATGGAAATAGTAAAGGAAACAAAGTAGTAAGTATGACTTCTTTTCCTTTTTTGGTCTTTGTCTTATTCTCCAGCCCTTGGTGGAACTCAACAGTTATATATAGGCCTTAATGATTTTTGTACATGTGTTATGATTAAGCTTGCTTTATAAGTCCTTTAATAGATATTACATTTACATTTTAAAAACAGATAGCAAGTGAGTCTAAGATCTAGTAATCTTTAACTAGATGGTTTGCTACAAACTTTATAAAAGTACCAGACCAGTCTGATTATTGTATTCAATGTTTTTCACCAATGAACTAACTCATAGCCTCATTAATAACTATTTTTTTTATTTTTTTCAGTCAGGAGATTGTTTTATTAGAACTGGGCATTCACTTTACAGTAATGGGCTTTAGAATTTATCTCAACTTTAAGGAACAAAGCCTGCATGCCATAAACACTAGTAGCTATTATACCACTGAGAGGAGGACATTTAAGTCTGTAGGACATTATTTTCTATTTCTGCTATATAGTTTTAAAAACTAAACTATTTGGTCAAAGCCAGAGCAGTTAGGCAAGAGAAAGAAATAAAGCCATCCACATTGAAAAGAAAAAAGTTAAATTGTCCCTGTTACAGACAACATGTTCTTATACACAAGAGACCCTAAAAACCCTACCAAAAAACTGTTAGAACTAATAAGCAAATTAAATAAAATTAAAGGATATAAAATCAGCATAGAAAAGTTCTTAGTATTTCTGTGCACCAACAACTTTTGAACTATTCAAAAGTTAAATCAAGAAAAAAGTCCCATTTATAATAGGTACACAATAATAAAATACTTAGGAATAAACTTAGCCAAGGAGCTAAAAGACCTATATAGTGAAAACTGTAAAGCACTGATGAAAGAAATTGAATATACAAATAAATGAAATGTTACACTGTGTTCATGGATTGGAAGAAGTAATATTGTTAAAGTGCCCATACTACCCAAAGTGATGTACAGATTCAGTGGCATCTGTCAAAATTCTGATGACATTTTTCACAGAAATAGAAAAAACAATCCTAAAATTCATACGGAACCACAAAAGACCTTGAATAACCAAAGCACTCTTGAGCAAAAAAGAACAAAGCTTAAAAGCATCACACTACTTGACTTCAAAATACACTGCAAAGCCATAGTAATCAAACAGCATCATGCTGACATAAAAACAGATACATAGACCAGTGGAACAGAATAGAAAGCCCCAAAATAAATCCACACATTTATGGTCAACTGATTTTTGATAAAGGTGCCAAAAACACAATGGGAAAGGGACCATTATTTCAATAAACCATGTTGAGAACACTGGATATCCGCATGCAAAAAAATAAAATTAGACCCCTATCTCACATCATGTACAAAAATCAGCTCAAAATGAATTAAAGCATTAGTGTCACTAAAGTTGGTATTCAACCCCCCACTGCTAAATTTGACTGGCTTAAAAAAAAAAAAAAAATGAATTAAAGGCTCGAAATAGATGTAAGACCTGAAACTATAAAGCTACTAGAAGAAAACATAGGGGAAAAGCCCTATGTTATTGGGCTGGACAGTGATATTTTGGATATGACCTCAAAAGTATAAGCAACAAAGCAAAAATAGAGGAATGAGATTACATCAAACTAAAAAGCTTCTTTCTGCATATTAAAGGAAACAGCAGAGTGAAAAGACAGCTTGCAGAATGGGAGAAAATCATGTGCAAACCATACATTTGATAAAGGGTTAATATCCAATTTATATAAGGATCTGAACTCAATAGCAAAAAAACAACCCAATTAAAAAATGAGCAAAGGACCTGAATAGATATTTCTTTAAAAAAGACCTACAAATGGCCAAAAGGCATGTGAAAATATGCTCATCATTACTAATCATCAAGGAAACGCAAACTGAAACCATTTTCAAACTGAAACCCCCGTTAAAATGGCTATTATTAAAAAGAAAAAAGATATAACAAGTATTGGCAAGGATGTAGAGAAAAGGGAACCCGTTGTACGCTGTTGGTGGGAACGTAAGTTAGACAGCCATTATGGAAATTGGCATGGAGATTCCTCAAAAAAATAGAACTATCATATGGTCTAGCAATCCTACTACTGGGTATATATTACTATCTAAAGTAAATGAAATCAGTATGTCAAGGAGATATTTGCACTCCCATGTTCATTATAGTATTATTCACAATAGCCAAGATACGGAATCAGCCTAAGTGCTTGTCAGCAGATTAATGGATAAAGAAAATGTGGTATATACACACAATGGAATGAATAGTAACTATTTAGTCTTCAAAAAGAAGGAAATCCTGTCATTTGTGACAACAGGAATGAACCTGGAAGACATGTTAAGTGAAACAAGCCAGGCACATAGAGACAAATAATCTTTGTCTTATATTGCTCTTATATGTGAGATCTAGAAAAGTTCAACTCATAGAAGCAGAGGGTAGAGTGGTAGTTACCAGGGGCTGGGGGAAATTGGGGATATGTTGGTCAAATGTATTTTTAGAAAATTATTTGACTTTTCTTTCAGTAGTCCCATTTGTTATGTGAATGTACTACTTTAGAGTTACAAAAGACTAAAGATTTTAAGACCTTAAACTTCTTATTTGAGATATATTATGTGGTTCATTTTAGTAACAACTGATATTTGTATGTTCCCAGCAGGAAGATGATTTGAAATGGGTAGAAGAGAATGTTCCTTCTTCAGTGACAGATGTGTAAGTTTTTGAATCCTATTATTGAATCCACTAGGATCCTATTTTAACGTTAGTACTACTTTTTTTATTCTTTTAAATGAATGTGCTGAAGAGCATACTAATGAGAATATAAGATATTGAAAATGATTTAAAAATTAGGAGTAGGCCGGGCGCGGTGGCTCACGCCTGTAATCCTAGCACTCTGGGAGGCCGAGGCGGGCGGATTGCTCAAGGTCACAGCCCTGAGCAAGAGCGAGACCCGTCTCTACTATAAATAGAAAGAAATTAATTGGCAACTAATATATATATTAGAAAAACTTAGCCGGGCATGTGGCGCATGCCTGTAGTTCCAGCTACTCGGGAGGCTGAGGCAGAAGGATCGCTTGAGCCCAGGAGTTTGAGGTTGCTGTGAGCGAGGCTGACGCCATGGCACTCACTCTAGCCTGGGTAACAAAGCGAGACTCTGTCTCAAAAAAAAAAAAAAAAAAATTCACAGGTGAATTTGATGTGTCCAACTATAAGCAAATCTTAATTATTTAAGAACTGCCCATCTTTTTGTGAACATCCATGCGTTTGTTTCCCTTTTTTCCTCTTCCCTTGCATTTAGACAGTTAAGAGCTTATATTTAACCAACCACACTACCAAAGAAGGAAAAGGGTAAGGTGGTATAACTATAATCAGACATCCCAATGAAAGATTAGGAAAGAAAATAGGGACATCCTTTTACTCCATGAAAATAGCCTTGTTATCTTTTCATTATGCACTTAATATATGTTCATTTTTTAAAAAAGTCAAACAATAGAGTAAAAACAAGATAGAAAATAAAGGAGATCTGAAATCATACTGTTTAGAAAGATCCTAGACCTTCTGGGGAACTGTCTGTTAATTACTGGTTACTTGATAGCTATATTTTTAAAAGCTTCCCTTCCCGAATCATTTAAAAAATCTTTACATTACCTTCCTTTTTCCTTTCTCTCCTTTTTCTTTTAAAACATTGCCCATTCCTCATGACTTCTTGTTAACCGCCTAATATGGTGTATCTTTCCACATTTTATTCCTTGTTCAAATATGAAATCTTCCTTTACTCTCAGAACAGTACATTATGGAAATTCCTTCCAAGATATCTAGTTTAAATTGAACTCATTCATTTTCATGGATGGCATAATATTACTTGGTGCATATATGGTACAGTTAAATTAACTTATTCCCCTATTAGTGGGCATTTGGGCTGTTTCCAGTTTGAGGTACTCCAGGATCCTCAAGACCATTCATCTGTTTAGTGATTCACTAGTAGGATGCATGGGACTCAGCATGTAGTTGTACTTACAGCTAAGATTTATTACAAGATGGCTGGGCACAGTAGCTCATGACTGTAATTCTAGTGCTCTGGGAGGCCAAGGTGGGAGGATCGCTTGAGCTCAGAAGTTCAAGACCAGCCTGAGCAAAAGCAAGACCCTGTCTCTACTAAAAAAATAGAAATAAATTAGCTGGATAGCTAAAAATATATAGAAAAAATTAGCTGGGCATGGTGGCACATGCCTGTAATCCCAGCTACTCGGAAGGCTGAGGCAGAAGGATCGCTTGAGCCCAGGAGTTTGAGGTTACTGTTAGCTAGGCTGATGTCATGGCACTCTAGCCAGGGCAACAGAGCAAGCCTCTGTCTCAAAAAAAAAAAAAAAAAGATTTATTACAACAAAACAATGCAATGTCGCAACGGAAAAAAGCACAGGTGAGTCTGGAGAAATCCATATTTTCTTTCCTTATGTTCTCTTTC